CTTAAGCTAGGCCTTGTTTTTTATTAATACAGAAATGTAAAAAACAAATTGCAAACAATAATAATTAATCATTAAAAATATAAGTACTTAAATCAATATTTATTTCTCTTAATTTATCATAACGGAAATCTCTATAAGAAATACTATTTCTATAATTACAGATTAAAAGATATAATTTTTCAATTATCGTCTCGCCATTCAGCATAAAACTGTCGAGAAATCGGGCCATATAAAGAATCAAGGAAGCAATTTATTTTTACCATCCGGGTCATGAACCAACTTCTAGTTTGATGAACGAAGCGATGTTAATTTTTGACGTACGTTAAATTGGGTTACGGATAAGCGAGTTAAAAGCAACATAGAGTCTAAAATAGCCTACGATTATTAGCAATAAAGCCTTTTTTGTATTATATTGCACATTATTTACTTTTACAGAAAATATGATGAAATAAATATTTTATTAAGTTTTTAAGTTTAAGACATCGTCCTTGCGATCTTTATTTAATGCTTCTTCAAAACTCTTAATACGTTGTTCACTTCAATCATGTGTTAGGAAATGTTAACGAAATTAAATAATTGTGTAAATGGGCGTACGTTTAAGTTAATACGTCTGAGTGCTTCTTACATTGGCGTTTTTAAATTAAAATACGTTATTTCTTTATGACATAAATCTAACACACCTTCTTATTCATAGTTATTTATTTACAGAAATATAGGACATCACTCACCTTTCATTGTACTCTCTTAGAAGATCTTTCACGCTAAATATTTATTTATTTCGCTATGGAAATTACCTTTTATTGTCATTATTTTATGACACCTTACACTACACAATAACAAAATTTCCTGATTTTCGATATTTTGGCGTACAAAAGTCTTATCAACCACCTTTTCTAGATCTTTAATATAATTTTATTGGGCAAACATTGAGGTGGAGGTCTTTGGTTAAAGACAAAACGGTTTTGTCACTTTTTTCTATAAAGCAAAATTGACGTTCATATTCAAAATCTCAGTCGAACAAATCACATACATACATATGTTTATGTATGTATATAAATCGTCTTCACATACAAGACGCCTTTCACAGCGTTTCTCGCGAGATTTTTGTAATTATTATATTGCTTTCACTGAACCATAATATGCACATGTGTAGATGAACATAGAATGAAAGTAAAAACGATTCAAGGCAGTATCAGTTGCAAAAAATACAATTAAATTTTATTAACTAGATGTGAAATCGTACGATTTCGTACGTGAATAGAAAAAAAAATTATCCTTTAAAGATGAAATGCACTTGATGGAAACTGTAATATCAAAGGCATAACAAGATTACTGTAGACCTATTTTGTATGTAAAATTTACGGGAACGTTTGTCAGGTAGTTACACTTGAAATCGTCCATCACTGCCTGCTTAATTACAGTGAATTACATAAAATACTACTTTCCTTAGCGGTCAACCGGTAATCGCCGAAATATTTCGGATACGGACTTTCACTCGCCAAATCCAGTTTCGATCGGTATCGCTACAGTTTTACTCCAATACGTAACACTTATTTTTTATTGTGGCGATGTTTTAACCGCATGCGTAAAGGGGGCTTATGTTTTTACGCGGTGCTTTTTATCTATAGGTTAGAGTTTAGACATCGCGTTTTATTTGCTCATTTTGCATTAAGCAACCTAATCGAATTCAAGTCATACATCATTTTGTTCTGTCAAGGCATTAAATAAAACCTTCTTACCAAGGAAACACTTAACGGTTTATTTTTATTACAAAAAGGATCTAGTTAACTTACTTTTAACTATTACTATGCTTTCAAATAAAAAACTTTAACGGTTTAAAACCGATATTTAAACTAAAGTCCCCCGTGACTACGGCTGCTGCAAGCATCCGATACGTCGGCTTAAAAAATTTTCAAATAAGTTTACTAATAATATGGTTTTAAACCGTTAAAGTGTTTTTTAAAGTTTTACTCGCGTAAACTATTGACAGTATTTATGACTATGCTGCCAAATACATTTTACGTTAAATATAAAAAAATTATGTATTTGAATGTGTAATAATCGTTTTTTTTTACTAATTTCTTACGTGTTTTTAAGTAATAAAAACTTGGATAAGAACAATCGATAATAAAGGTGGAAACCGCAACGCGATTACAATTCACGGCTTTCTTATCTCTCCACAGATAAGACGCGACCCGTACAGAATTTCAATTAAAAATCTATTTGGATGCAAAAAAAATTACGACACGGGCTTAAATAAGCTTACCCGGCGTCCGAATATAGTGTTTTAGTGCTTACTTTAATTGAGTTTGAAATGAAACATTGAAGTTTCCATGTATATTAGATAAACTTCACAAAACTTTGCAGCAGCTGTGCACGGGGACACCGCGGCTGGTTCAAAGCATCCGAAACGTCGGGCTTGAGTTAAAAATATTTTCAATCAGTTTAAATATAAATATCGGTAGTTTAAACCGTTAAAGTGTTTTCATTTAAATGAGACACTTTACCGGTTTAAACTACACCGATATGTTATTATTGAAAAATATTTGACAAAGGCGACTTGAACCGGTAACTTACAGCGTTTGCCTGCGGCTCTATAAGGATAGGGTGTCTCATTGCTTGCACCAGCCGCGGTGTCCCCGTGACCACGGCTGCTGCAAAGCTTTGTAAAGATGTTTATCTAATATACATGGCGTTTTAAACCGTTAAAGTGTTTCATTTCAACCTCAATTAAATCAATATTTACAATAAACACTATTTGGTAAGTGCGTTATTAAGCTTATTTAAACAGCCCAAGTCTAAGCAAATAGTGTTAAGTCACGATTGTTCAATCTTTAGTGAAAATTAGTTCATTCGGTCAAGGTACCTATTATTAAAGATACGTAATCCATTTGCAGATTTGGTGTGATTCTAATATGAAGAAATGTGAAGGTCGTTGCAAAATACATTTACCTAAATTACCATATCGCATCCTAATTAAATACTGAACATGATGGTACAATCCTAAATATTAAATACCTACTAGCTGTGCCAGCGACTTTGTCCGCGAGAATCATTGTTTTGAGCATTCAAATTCGTTTTTGCAAACCCTCTCATCATTATGAACCTAAGCTGTTACCCACGACGTTGGTCGCGTCCCTTCCCAGACGCTCTTGCTAGTTAATCTTAAAAGATAGACATATAGCCCCGTTGACTTTTTTTTAGATAATTTAAAGAGGAATATTTCTTTCGAATGTATTTTTGGGTATCTTGAACCGTTTTTGCAGCGTACGCTTCGGATGAATAACTATCCCAATTTCTTTCACATTTCTCGCTGCATCTTCGCTTCTATTAGTCACAGTGATATTTCAAACCTGTAGTTCCAAAGATTTAAACAAACAAACTCTTCAGCTTTTATATTAGTATAGATATAGATTATTTTTATAAAAAATACCAACGCAGAGATTTACGGGTTCGAATTCCGGATGCAATTTTTAAAATGAGAAACGAAACTTGAAAAATTTAGTTTTCCTTATGCGGGGCATGAGGCGGACACATTTCTATGTCCGTGCCGCTAAACAATTTTATATATACACTTTGACACGTACTTAATTAGATTTCTATGCCCTATCCGATCGAAATTATAATTTTTCCGGAGTTTTTATCCAGGCCCTGTTACGCATTGTTAGCTTTTAAATTTTCTTGTTTATGTGGCATAAGAAAATGGCCATGCCAGTATCCTTCCTTCTCAGCAGGGCAAGTTGTGAATAATAAACCTTTTTCGCTACTCCATCGGGAATCAAACTTCAGACGTCGCAATCGGTATGAAGATTAGAATGATCAAAAAAATCTTGTATGAACAAATGATTCCTTCTTAAATGATCTAAAAAGTGTCCGCAACAGTATATCTTTTAAGATTTAACTTGCAAGATCAACGGAACGCAGACGGCATTGTTAGTAAAACTATATAATAAATTAGGATGCTATAAATAGGAGCTTTGCAAAAATAAATTTGATATCCAAAATAACCATGCCACACGCACGAAGTCGCGGGCACAGCTAGTTGTTAAAAGTAGGCTAAGGTCATAATTTCACTAAACCAAAGCAATTTCTCTGGATGCGCGTAGCCGATCTCATTGCTTCTTTTATCTTAAATCAACCGATTGTCCGCGTTATGTAGTGCGTGAAAATTTTGAATAGCGTTACGTCACTATTTGCATTCATGATACTACAATTTATGTAACGATGATGCTAGCTATCTGTACATCTCTTCATAATTTATGTTCGGTTGAACATTTTGCAATTACCAGTGTAATTATTAATATACATTTGATTGGCTGCATATAAAAAGAGGGAATATATTTTTTTCTTGATTAGGACAAATTAAGAAGATCTTTGAATGAGGGATTTAATGGGATCTTTAAATCTTTTAAAATTACAACCGTTAAAAGCTGCTCCAAAACATCCGAAACGTCGGGCCATAGTTAAAATAATTTTTAAATAATATTAAATATTTTTCGCATTTTAAACCCTTAAGGTATTTTATTTAAATAATTTGTTAGTATTAAAGCTTACTAAAAAGATTTATTGGTCTTAAGGTCAGGAAAACCAATATATTTGCATTTTAAACCGTTAATGTTGCTTGATTAATTTGTTTCTTGAGGCTAAAATAAACAGTGGTTGAAAAACTATTGAAATTAAAAATTTATGAAACACCATGAAATTGTACTGCAATAAATAAATAAAACATTATTTATTAACGCATATATATTCAAACAATGAAGTTAGGCATTTTGGTTAAATACTTTCATTAAAATTCCAACATAGACGTGCACCCTTATCGCTTACAAGCGATCTCTTTCAGTCAACTGCAATAGACACGACATGGTGACAAGAGCACACAGAATTACTCAATAAATCAACTCCAATTCGAATCTATTGTAACGCAACAAACTACATTTTTAGCAAAGTAAAAACAAAATTAAGTTCTTTAAACTTGTGTTTTCTGAAACAAAGTTCTCATGAAGGTGAAATTAGATAAAGCTTATGTTCAGTGTGGGAGTTACCAAGAATACAGGTGTAAAGTTATGGACGTGAGTTGTATGCTTTTATAAAATTGGTCTTTTATATTTTAGTAATAACAAGTCTTTGCTCAGTTTAAGAACGCCTAATGTTACGAAAGCAAAACGTCGAATAAGTCAGAAATACAAGTACGTCTATCTTTGCAATATGGCCGAAAGCATTACTATATGGGATAGGACAGTAATAAAAACAGATTCTCAAATAATTTTATAATTTGAAATATTAATAAGTTTAAAGAAATAAGCGGTTTTATGATTAATTTTATTTATCGAATAATAAAATGCATTTGATTATTTTTAAGCAAAGAAAATAAATTTTATTAATCATGATATTTCTCTTCTGTACTGAATCACCAATAAATGCGTCTTTTTCGAAAATTCCTTAATTCACAAGTTGTCAGATTACGCGACATGGAAAAAAATAATTGTCTATAGATAAAACAAATAAGTGTTGTCAAAATAAAGATGATAAAAACACTTTCCGAAAATTTGACCTATATCTCTTACCCTTCTTCATGTAATTCTCGTTCCCTGTATTTCAGATAGGCCCACCCGCCTAACATACGAACATATCTACAACACCACGAAGTACGCACAAATCCGCCCCACCAGGCCTATATACGAACAAAACAAACAAAAGTCCTACGTAAGAACCAAGAATCTTCTAGTGGGCTTCGCGCATGACCCCTTCAGGTACTCCGTGCCTGAGGCAGATTATCGAAGAGGTGTCAGGTTGGTCATTAATTTTAATTGATCCGTATTCATTTGATTATAAACGATCACTTAGTGAACAATCAGCATCCGATGTCTGTGGTTTCGAGAAAGTAAAAAAAAACAGATATCAATGGAAGTTTAGGTTCCGACACAAATCGACTTAGGCCTTCAACGTTTTTTTTCTCGTTTTATCATACCAGTATGAGCATGACGGTAAGTCACAGATTCTATAAGATATACAGATAATAATTACATAAGTCTAATGTTTACAACCTGACAGTAAAATTCTCCCTCTTCTCCTTCTACCGTTTTAATAATACTTCGTTACTTGATTCATCGTGTTTACAAAGTTCCACGGAGTATTTTTAACACTTTTTTTTTCAAGTTAACGGAAATAATGTCTATCTTTGACCTTCTTGTTAGAAAGACGAATTGCGATTATTATTATACATTTAACAAAGCCAGTCCACGAGTTCCATATCCTGGTTTTTGAATTGGGACGTTAAGTCGTTGGTCCCGGTTGTCGCCACTAATTCAGTGGCGGCAATCGTTAAAGCCCACCAAACCGCGCTGGTGGCTCAAAAGTTAACAACCTTCTTGCGATAGCCTGAGTCTAGCAGTACACATAAAATTAAAACGTTAATAGTACCACGACCGCTATTATAGAATTATTATATTATTATATACGCCAATATTACTGTGAAAATGTTAAGGATGCATTTTAAGCTATTTTTTTTTATTGTCATTCCTTAGCTACTTACGTAATGTATCTGTTTGTTTCCTTTTTCTAAATAAATAAATATTCTAGTTATATTCACAGGATCAATCTTTTATTAATTTTATCTCACTAAGACAACTCAAATCAAGCTGTTAGATTAGATCAACCCTCTTTTTCAGGGTAATAGAACCACAACAGCACACGAATAGAACTGACCGAGGCAAGCGTGGTGTTTCTCATCTTTATAACATGTTGACTTGTACTACTGGCTGCAACCCGATTGACTATAAGGGCTACGGCTGCTACTGCGGCTTGGGTGGTTCTGGACGACCTGCTGATGGGATTGACAAGTGAGTAATAACCCTTTGATCTAATTTTCCGATGGTTCTAGATTGTTTGCTAATTATACTAAATGTCTAGTGTCGTTTGTTGAAAAGTATTGTCTGTAGTTTACGCGAGTACTACAAATTTAAATAAAACGCAAAACATCAGTTAATTTATTTAAACGACAGCCTGATCTTTCGGATGCTTTGCAGCGCCGCAGTCAACTTGAACTGAAGGTTATGTCAAAAACCAAATCTGTCCCGGGGACCACGGCTGCTGCAAAGCCGAAACATCGGCCGTAGTTAATAAATTTAAAATAACTAATATGTTTCGCGTTTTAAACCGTTAAAAGTGTTTTACTAAAATAATAAGCTTTCTTATACCTTTATAAAAACACATCAAATTTTTCCCGTAGTGTTAATTTGTAATTTTCCGTATATCTAAACATTTTTCTCGCTATGTTAGTCTTATCATCCCGCATTTCATTCCATTACAGCTGTTGCAGACTACACGATCAATGCTATGAAAATATACACTGTCCATTTTACACAGTATACTTCCAGCCCTACTACTGGACCTGTTTCAACAACGAGCCGCTCTGCGCTCTTGAAAACTTCCAGAATACCTATATAAACGGATGTGCTGGACGGTTATGTGAGTGCGATAGACGATTCGCGATGTGCGTTAGGAAGTACAGCTGTCCAGTTGGGAGACCGCTGTGCAGGTCTTCACCGTTTCGTCTGCTGCAGAATATTCTTATCGTGTCTTAGTATTGCGATAGTAAGTGTACAAATGTTGGTTCATCGTGTGATTTTGGCATTGCTGGTGGTGAGGATCTAACTTCTCTTCTTCCAGATCGCTTTCGAAAATTCCTTAATTCTGACGTCAATATCTGAATCGTGATAAATACTAGGTGTACTTATACATTGTACATACAATAATAATTAATTATTTATTCTAGTCTTTAAGTGTACATACTATGTGATATTACCTACTGGATAAAGAACCACCATCAAACACTTTTGAAGGTAGAAGCGGAAATAATCCCTATTACCTAAAATCTCTGCCTACCGTCAAACACTTTCAAAACAGTTAATTAAATACGTTTGTAAATAAAAGATGTAAGACAGTAAATAATAGGTTATTTAATATGTAATAGACTTGCGATTAACACAGGAAAATCAAATATACATAACGTTATGGTAATACTACTCGTGATGACTATAAAACAAGGACGCTATCGCTATACTAATTAGCTTTAGAGCTTCTTGGTTAAAATACTCGTGATGTAAAAAAACAGTCAATATTAAAAATATGAGAGTGGGACTTTAGCACGAAGGATTCCTTCCTATCTTCTAAGTACTCGAACCTTTTTATTCCATTACCGACATCGTTATCAAGGAATAAAATAAGTGTACCTAGTATATTATTATTTGATAAACAACAAATAACTACATGAATATTACGCTAAGTAAAACATTCGCTATTTGAAAGTTGGCATTTTGAACAGTGTCTTTCTTAAATGGAGACCAAACGTAAAGTTGGCGACTGTTCAGTTGGGAATTAAAAACAAAATTGTGACAAGTTGGCAAATGATTATTCTGCGAAACGTTAGTTGGCAAGTGATAATCGGCTGAACAATTTTCGGCGAAAAGGCTGAGATCGGATTTTTTCATCACTTATATGATTTTTATTAATTTAAAGATTAGGTCAATATTCTAAGTAGTTCATAACGATCAGCGAGGTTGGTATAAGTAGTATAACTAGTTAAGTGCCACAGATATAGTACAATGGTTCTGTAATAAATGTATGTTTTTAACTCTGTTTTGTTCTTATTTCCTCTTAGCTAAGTTATATATACTAAAAAGCCCTTATGTAGAGTCTGATTAACATTTCTTAATTACTTAACTAAATTCCAACATTTCTAACTGTAAGACTATTACTTGAGGCTGCTAGAGGCAGAGTGGCCTAATAACAAACTTGATTTTCAATAAGGAGGAAAATAAAAATGCGCAATTAACTACGGCGTAAATTAAATTTTACTATTATTTGTGTAAGAATTATTGTCGACAATTCGGTCACTGGTCTTTTGTAGATTTACATATTTAGACTATAAAAAGATAAATAAGTCAAGTCCTAAAATTACTCTTAGGTCTGCCTCAATTTAGATGTATGCTAATGACAATTGATATAAAAGTAAGATAACAGCAATTTTCTCATTTAAGAAAACTCTATAAGATCCAAAGTTGTTTTAGTAATATACAAAATCCCTTCTACTATATTAACTTGAAAAATATACAATCTGTAGGATAATAAACTTGTCGACAGAAGCGTCTTGAAAGTAAAGTAAAGTTATTAAAATAAAAAATGAATTCGTCTTACATTTTACTACCAAACGTGATTCTCATAAGTTTAATTTTCTCATTTTGGTGTTTCATTACTTTTAAGATAATATTTCTTTGTAAGAATTAATAAATACACATTTCCAAATAGCCAATATATTATCGACACGTACAATTATAACATACTCTTTCAAGTGAAAGAGCACCTTGTACTAAAAAAAATATTAAAAAATCTAAAATAACATTTATTTCCGTCTTAAGAAGATAATTGAAAAAATTCAATTAACCAGAAAAAAACACATATTTCGTCTCAATGTATATCTACTAGACAATTAAAACAATTTTCTTCGCTTATCCATTATAATTGATTATATACCATTTTCGAGACGCTATTCTAATATTTTATTTTTTAACAGTCTGTAGCCACCGTAGGTTGATTATGTACCTTTCGGTAATGGGAACTGTAAGTATAGAGATACAGTATTAGATTACAATATACAGTATTTAGTATTTTAATAATTTGAGATAAATAATTTTCACGACAAAAATTCCGAGCCTAGGACATACGAGCATGCGGTTCACTCGATGGAAAATAAATACCCCAGTCATATAACATCTCAGTAAGATGCGCCGTCGCCCTATCTTTGGTATTGGATTTTCAAAAATCCACATATTGGAAACTTTTATTTCTAGAGAACTTTACCTTTGACTTGAACTTCTCTAGAAATTAAACTTTAGTCTCTAAAGAAGTATTAAATATAAACTCGAAAAAATATATAATCATATTGGACCCGGTGGGGATCGAACCCGTTGATTTTCAGCCATACATTGCTACCATAAGACCAACAAGCCCTTCAACGTTATGTAAAAATTTTTTTTTATAGTGCGAATATATAATACAGGAGAATTTTCGTAGAAGTTAATATAGCTTCCGTTTCTCTCCAACATGCATAAACCGAAATAAACATTTAGATAATTAGATTCATTTTTCAGATAAAATTATGGATTATTTTAATAGTGGTACTCCATGTATTGTTCTGTTCTGGCAAACCTGATTATCCGGAATGCACGAAGACTCGTCGAAATGGAGAAAAGACAATAAACATTAAATGCATTATATACTATCCTTACTATTATCCCTATTATTACACTTATCCGTATTATTATTATTATCCTTACGGGTACTATTATTACCCCTATTATTACGTTTATGGATAAATCAATAATACAATATGTATAATGATTTTGTGGACTTTAATTTAAAACTAGCTGTGCTTTTGCAAAACCTTTCATCTTTATGAACGTCGTTCTTGCAAGTACATCCCAAAGGTAAACATATAGCGGACTTTTTTTAGATCATTTAAATAGGAATCATTCTTTTATATATATTTTTGGGCATCTTCACCCGTTTTTGCAGCGTACGCCTCGAAAGCCCATAATGATGATAATTTTCCCAATGTTTTTCACATTTCTCGCTATAACTTGGCTGGTATTAGTCACAGGGCGATGTTTTATAGCCTTCCTAGATAAATGCTCTAACCAACACAAAAATAACTTTTCAATTCGAACCCGTAGTTCCTGAGATTAGCGCGTTCAAACAAACAAACTCTTCAGCTTTATATTAGTATAGATTACACATTTGGAAGCACATCGACTAAAACCTAAACACAGATAATATTCCTTATCCACCTACGAATGGTAGTTCGGAACCCGGACAGTTCCTCGTTATTCCTATAAGCATCCATCTCATAAGCTACACACAGTATTTCTAATTCCTAAATTTACCCCAACTTTGTCATTTGACACAAGTCGGTCGTAATTAGTAACAGTAACGTATTGACCCTCTCTATATTATATAACTTTTCAGCAAGTAACCGATTTGTAAAAAGAGACCATGTAATAAAAATGTAACAATAAATTGTCAAATATATATTTGAAAATAAAAACAGTGTCATTAACATTCATATAATATACTTTACATAAATTTAACTCCTCCGATGATATTGACGGGGCGGCCTTTGTACTTTTTCGATATCTCTTTTTCAATCTGCAACGGAATATAATTTTTATTTATTGCTTTAGCACACTTAACATACAGACAACAATGGAATATAAAAATATGAAGTTCAATGGGTCTTAAAAAGCAATAATTTTTGCCACTTAGGTTTTCCAGTGTACGGTCGTCGTAATCCAAGAAAAATTTTGAAAATAATGTAATGTTTGAAAAAAAAAATTAAAATAAAACACTTTAACGGTTTTAAGCAATTCCTGAAACCAAACAAGTGTACTACCCCTTTACAAGATGCAGGCGTTTACAGACTGGATTGTGATTGTGGCCTATCCTACATCGGCCAAACAAAACGTAGCATCTCAAACAGAATTAAAGAACACGTCGCGGATATAAAACATAAACGTCTCTCCAAATCTGCGGTATGCCAACACTCATTACATTCGCTTTGGCCAGCCAAAAATCCTCGCAAAGGAGAATCGATTTTTTCCAAGATTGGTACGTGAAGCAATTGAAATAAAAAAACACCGAAATTTCAATAGGGAGGACCGGCCACAAATTATCAAACACCTGGGATACCAATAAACAGCATACCAGCAAACGCGAAGACACCGTTAGTCAATTTTGTAAGGACCTGGCCAGTTTTGCCAAATACCATTTTCGACGGAACATATGACGCTAGCGTAGCAATTTTTTACTTTGAAGTCAGAGACTTTAATCCTCCATCGTTAGTCTCCCCGTGACCATGGCTGCTGCAAAACATCCGAAGCGTCGGGCCGAAGTTAAAAATAATTTTCAAATAAGTTTAACTAATATATCGCGTTTTAAACCGTTAAAGTGTTTTATTTAAATGTGTACTACTCGCTTAAACTATAGACAGTATTTAAAAATTATATTTTTTCCTTGAAATTTATATTGACAAAAAAATTATTCTATGTATTCTATTTCTAGTATTTTTTGTTGGTATGCTTTTGTTATGTATATTAAAACTAGTATAGATTACTAAAATAAAAACAAATGTTTTTGGAACTTAGCAAATTTTGTTCAAGAATATTAGTACTTACTATCATATTTCCACATAACAAGGCAGTAATTTTTCCCCACATTTCTCGTGGATCGAAGGCATACTTTATATACTAATAACATACCATAAATTAGCCAATATTTAGTAGATACTTACATTAGCTTGAAGCTCCACAGTCCTCTCAATAAGCCGCGTTAGTAAAGGCCGTAATTCCGTAGCCCTATCGCCAGCAGCGCGTCTCTTCTCATCCTCCCTCTCCGCGAGACGAGCCATCTTCTCACATATCACCAACTTCTGCTGCAGCTGCGCGGTTAAAACGTCCACGTATCTGTTATTTTAAAAGTAGGACTGTTACTGTGTTACAATTCAATTGCTAGAAGGTCTCTTTTCCGGTTTGGATTATTAATAAGATTTGTAAATATGAAAAAGTTACAAAATAAATAAATAAACAAACGATATAAGTCGCACAAAAATATACGATCAGGGAAGTTTTATTATTTAAATGTGTAAACTGCATTAAAACTTAAATGGATATTCGATTGAAATAATAAACGAGACCGGCAGGACCGTGTCCAACACGTCATCGACGATTTTTTTCAACCTAACGATACTTGCACCTCTCGCGCAATGTAATTTCAACCTTAACACTTGCCCTTAAGGTTCAATGTCTTATGCTATGCTGGAAGGGAATTATTGAAAATTATATTACAGAGTTGAACGTTTGAAAACCTTTATATTTTCACATGATGGCGGTTCAAATCCAATCTAAAATTGATTTTTAATTTTTATAATGCTATCATGTGCGACAGCGCATCTTATGTAGGTGTTACATGGCTGGGTTATTTCACTTCCTATCAAGTGAACTAAATATTTGTCTGTCCTCCTCTATCATTAAAAAAAAGTATTTAAAAGTTTTCAGATGTATTAAACTTACTTATGAGAATGCTTAACGTTGTGTAGATGAGATATTTCAGGCGCTAATAACGCACGGCTGCCATCTTGAACTGTCGTCAACATGGCGGCCAACGCATCAGCGCTCTCTGTCGGCAATTGCTGGATCAACGAGAAGCTTTGACTCTCGTTGGATATGTTTGTCTCGTGTACTCGCATCTTTAGGAATGACTCTAGCTATTAGAAGAGAAAAAACATTGTGAAATTGATGTACATTTGATACAATTGGCAAACATATCAACATATCTGGTTAGCCTCTTGAGCCACAGCCATGGTAAACCAGCCACCAACATCAAGATACTTTGGTTAGGAATCAAATAGCAATTTAAGCCTGTATGCTTGTGTATTTTATGAGGCCCTTTTCTCCTAGACACTTACTTCTACTAGCTGGTCAATCAACTGATTCCTAGTGGTAGGGTTATCAAGCAAACTGAGGGCCTCTTTTCCCCTTGCCACACCACCTCCAACACCATGATCTTCAACAATAATACCAGATTCTTCTAGAGATATATTTGATACCTCAACAGATAGATCCTAAAACAATAATGAGTAAGGATTGGACCAAGTTCAACATAATTCTAATCAATATATAATTTTTCTAAAACATGACAGACGTTGCTTGGAAATCTAGATATAAAATAGATGGTAGAACTAACAAAATTCCGACTGGGTCACGAACTACCGTCCACAGATGTCAAAACCGTATAATTTAATCGCATTTCAGTCTGTGAATTTCCAAATATCTAAAGCCTAAAAAAAAATATGGTTGACATTGGCACCTGAGTTTTCCTAGACAAATGTTTAGTAAATTATTGACTATAACATTTCTACTGCAATATATAAGTGATGCTATTTCCTTCCTGCCTTGATTTAAGAAAAATAATTTGCTTCTCTGACCAATAAACTTTCTGCAGTGTTACTATTAAGAGTACTGAATACTTACTACATCACCTGGCGCAGCATCAAGATTTCCCCAGTCTATTTCACCCCCAGTATCACCATCACCAAAATCAATTTCAGCTGGAGCATCAGATTCACCAAAGTCAATGGTATCATCACCAAAATCTATCTAAAATAAAATTGACAATCTGTTTATACAAATGTATGTGCATATTTTATATATTAAAGTTGAAGCATAAGAAAATATTACTAAATGCTAAACAAAGGCTTTGCCTACAAAAAATAACTGGGTTTGAGCGAAACCCACAATTTTTCCCTCAATAGAGACTAGTAAAATTGGAAATAGATTTCATTACCTGATCTCCACCACCCTGTTGTACATCCCCAATGTCGATATGTATAGGATCTGGTTCAACGCTTAGGGGTGCTTCACCATACATCCACTGATACACAGTGGTGTTGCCATGGTGCACAACATACTGAAGTAATGGCAATACTTCTGGGGCGTCCTCACCCAGAATATATTTTGTGAAAGCTGAATACAGTTCTATACTCGGTCTTAGTGGTTTTAGGGAATGGCCAATCTAGAATATAATTAAAAATTCATAAGATAGATATACTAATTTAAAATGAAAACACTAGGAACATTAGTTAAATTCAAAGTGCATGTTCCTTAGAATTGTTATATTAATGATTCTCACTTTATCATAAATTTCGGGCAACTCTTGCAATCTCTCTACTAATTCCTGCTTGATCTTATCACCTTTGATTCCTAGCTGCTTGCATAAGTGAAGAAATTCATTCTTAGCTGTATTTTCACTTTTTAAGTAATCACCTTTTTTCTTTTCACAATCCTGAAAATTCATTTCCATTTATTATACCAACATGGAGGTTTTATCAAAAAATACTTATCTTAAAATTACAAAATACAACTACTATTACTAAGTATTTATAGGCAATAAAAAAAAAATTAATAACATTAATGATAAACTGTTGGCTGTAGATTTGATAAATGATATTAAAAATTAAAAACTTTTTCCACCTTGAGTCAGCATTGATGTGAAATTAGTAAACTATCCCTAGGGTAGTTATATACATAGGTAAAACTATAAAATTTTCTTAAAAACTCACAACTTGCATCTGCTCCTCTTTAGCAATCTGCCGCTTCAACCCTGGGATCTCATAACTAATGTTTCTTGCTAACATCTGAGCTGCCTCAGCCAAAAACAGATTATCCCGTTCATAGCTCTTAACAACATCTAACCAATCTTTCATTCTCTGTGACCCATATCTACCAAAAAGGTTTTTAGTATCTGCTTCTGTTTCTTTTAAAATTTCAATAATCTTGTGACAGTGGAAGTAGTTAATATAGCTTCCGGAAAGCAAGGCAGCTATGTCGTTATGTACTGGCATATCTTGTATTGCATTGTTAATTTTTTCTCTGATAGGAATTATATTTTTCTGCCAGTCCTTATTTACGTGTCTGCGGCTCACTAACCAATCTTGCAGCTTCCCTATGTTGATATCTATAGGAATGTTGCTTTCCTGTAATTTAAAAATTTATTTTATTTACCCTATCTCCAAGACCAAAATCACAGATGGTTTCTAATGAGAAAGATAGCTGGTACTTACGTCCATAGTGGATTCTTGAAAGGCAAGCTAAAAGAAAATACTCTTCCCGATAATGAAAGTGTGATAAATTATATTAATTTAAAACAGGCCATTAAATTTTTTGATCAAATATTTTGATGTGTGAACATTTGGGATTTGTATCGTCAAATGACGTGTAATTTATTTACATTACACTTGACGAGAAATGTCATTGTCAGCAATGTCAAGATTCATGCTGTCATTTTATTCCCGCTTATAATATCACAATGTGGCTGTTTGTCTTATCTGTGATCTATTTAATAGATTATTTTAGCAAATACTAGACCTAGACTGTAACGAAGTAGAGATTGAATGAATTATTAAACTTAATGCAATGCAATATTATCTTGTAGCCATGCCTATTAGAAAAGACGATAGACATCTATATGTAAATAAAATCCTTGATTGAAGACACTGTGTATATGGCTAGGGTGCCACGAGGAGAGTATCTGCCGCGGCTTCGACCACTGCAATTTGGCCCAAATTATTTGGGTGGGAGCTTGAAAGAGCTAAACTTAAAAAGAAATAAATAGCATGGACAAAGATTTGTTTTTTTCTTAAATTTAGTGCCTACCTACATTATTCTTATAACTAAAAACTGATATACACCTTTGATTTAATTTGGGTTTTTGATTCGATACTGATTTTTCACAAGTCTAAAAAACGCCATATAATTTAAGTTAAACATATTGTACTGCATGTAATTGCGTGACGCAACAACTTATATTCGCGTGCATTTAGCACGATTCAAAAAAACTATTCGATTACGAAGTTAACTAACTGGCTGAATATTTATGTATGCAATAATTACGCATCGATCTAATTATTTTGTACAAGTAAATAAACATACAGTTCACTAACTTCTTGATAAACAATTCTTATCTACCCCTCTGGTGCTACAGTTTGATAAATTGTTATTGTATGTGAATGTCACATACTTCTATTGTGAAATATAGTTACTAAAATGGAGGATTTTCCGGATAAGGAAAAATAGTAAGTCTATATATTAGTCTATTTATTTTAAAAATTCTTTACATATTCTAATTAAAAACTCGTATCGTGGTAACAATTGGTTAATGCGTCTCTTTCATATTAAAAAACATTACGACTTAGATGGAGTGTCAAGTTTTTGGAGTAACATAAATACAAAAGATTCTTAATTATCATACACGTCATTGTTTTACGTTATTCATTAAACATAATATAATTAAATCCGTTTCCAATAGCGGAGTAGCAGATATACTCCATATCTGCTACTTCGCTATCTCGAAATATTTAATCATTTAAATTAGATATAGAAAAACGTACACGTTATTATATATTTATATTGTTAACGTCAAACTTTCTTTAATCCTAATTACATTGACAATGATTCGGTAAATAATTACATGTGTAATACACGAGGGAAAGTTACAACATTATAGGCAAACATAAGTCTATCTTCTATTGGTTGATATCTGTCTACTCTTGACATGATACAGATAACTTTATTGTGCCTGTAATTAATTGACAATTGACAATTTATATTTTTAACTGAAGGATCAAGGAACTTGGAAAAATAATAGAAACAATACAGGCGAAGAATACAATTCTAGAGCTGTTTACAAATTAAACTGCGTAATTGTATATTTATGTTATAATTATCTATTATTCCATTTTATTTTACTTACTTACTTTAATTTCAATATCCTATGTTTTGGATTCCTAATAGTAGCAGTCATAGGGCTAAATTGAAATTTTTACGTGTAACAACTAAAACGAATACTTTTTTCACATTATATTAATAGCATAGAAAACATATAATTAACTAAGTTAAAGTCTACACTTAGTTCAAGGTCGGCTGCGTGATAACTTACGATTTATGGCTGCTAAAAAATAAAAATTCTTATGAATACATTGTTATTAATTTCCTACTTATAATAACTGGTTTGTATAATATTTTTTTGAATATGTGATGTTGTTAACAGCCCATTTAGTGTGCCTCCAAAACACGATGAAGGTATTATAGCTGTGGATGTGTCTAGTAATGTAATTGTAGATTCTGTTACTGCAATGGAGCAAACTGCAATTTCCTCCAATTTGATTGGGTAAGTTGGGGCAAATGTGTAGTATTATTTTTATTTGGCAAATACTTATCAGAAAAAAATGTGGATTAAGTTGTGCTATATAGTATGAGGAAGTATATTATGATTACACCATCCTATATCATTCAGTATCCATAGGAGATGACAAAAGTAATAGATTTTTTTACTTCGTGGACTTTTCCCACATCACTAATAAGAAGTACTAATAGATTAAATGGAGTTACTCTTTTTTTTTAATCATGTGGATTAGTGGCTGATATACAAGCATTTTCATAGCTTCCCTATCTTTAAATTACAGAGTCACAGAAAGCACATGTGAAGAGGAAGAATCTACAAAATTGACACTGGCCTATGAACGATTGTATGAAATACCAAGAACTATTGTTGAAAAGTTTTGCAATTATATTCAGTACTTAGATATAAGCCACAACAAGATCACGTGAGTATTCAAGTTTTCTTTACCAACCATTATATAATTAGCAGGATTTTATTGAGTTTAGTTGTAACACTTATATGTATGTAAAGTTATTATAAAATGTCATATTAAATAACTATAGGGAAGGAAGGGAATCCTTTTTTTCTTTATTAGAACTTAAGATTTGAATATCAAAAGATCAAGATGCATTTTTAAGAAATATATTTATCTTGTAATGTTTGTGTACTTTACAGGAACTTAGAACCTTTGGTACACTTCAAGCATCTCACATCATTAATAGCTGATGATAATCCAGTCACGGAAAACAGTTTTTTGCCACCATTACCAAGGTTACAGTTGTTATGGTCAGTTTTATTTTCATACTTGTTTGCTAACATTTTTATTATTATAAATATTTGGTATTTAGCAAGAAAACACCTTAAATACAATTGTTACTTAGAAAACAAGTATGGCATTTGTTGTATACTAGCTGTGCCCGCGACTTCGTTCGCGTGGAATAGTGACTTGGGGTAGAATTTTTAATTATTTAGGCTGTTTATTAATTTATGTAATTGCGCATTTATCTCAGCCAATCTATGTTGTAAGTACTACGTTGCCGCATCACTCTCACCTCACATCACTCCTACTCTAACTCCCACTCTCATCCCACTCCCATCCAAACAAAGATTCCATTTTCTAGTTCAAAAACCACAATTTTATATAACTTTCACCCCCTTTTAACCCCTTACAACCCCTTTTCGAAAATAGCTTTTTTTCTCTGGTCTAAACCATCTATAAATTTCAAATCCGTTTAGTAGTTTTGGCGTAGAGTAACAGACAGACAGACAGAGTTACTTTCGCATATATAATATTTTATAGTAAGGATGACTGTACTGTGTATGTCTCATTAAAAACCCCTGCATCTTTTATTAATATGAGCAGTAATAAAGCACAAAATACACATTTGTTCAGAAGAAGAGTAATACTAACAACAGTACTAGTAAACAAATTAAGGTTTTTTGGTAAGATGAGTATCTGGTGTTTGGATTATTTCTGTTTCAGGTTAAATTATTGCAAAATAGGCTCTTTATATCCCTGGGTGGGAAAATTAAAGGAGTCTTGTCCAAATTTGCAGTATCTCTCTTTAATGGGAAACCCTGCTGCACCTAGTTATTTCAATGGTGGTACTTTCTATGAATACTTGCAGTATAGGTAAGCTTATAGATGGCTGATGTTGAAAACAAAACAATTATAGACATGAAATTGTAAAATGCAATTCATCCAGCCTTAAACCTACAACTGACTCTGCTGTGCCAATGTTTCGCCAATTCTGTTACAATATCTATAAAAATTCTAAACCAATCTATTTACTTCACACTAGTGTTATTTCGACCTTCAGTTTCAATTTCATAAACTTTCTCATTTTGTAAAATGAATTTAGTTAGAACATTTCAACTAATTTTCTTATTAACATTCCAGGCTTTTTATTATATCCCAATTCCAATACCTCAATCACTTGGATGACAGGAAAGTAACAGAGGACCAAAGAGAGGAATCACAGAGGCTCTATAAACGACCCTTCCTGCAGAGAATAGCTCGGCCTAACAATGGGCTGTCACATTTGATGAACAGTTCCGTATCTTGGAGTAATTTACAGAGCAAACTAACTTCACTATGGGGAAATAAGCAAGGTAGAAACTTGTTGATATAAATAACCATACATCATTATATAGAATTTTTGTCATTTTTGATAGTAGAGTGTCGCAATAATACACTATAGTATTTCTAAACCGTAAGTTGTTAATAAAATATTGGTAATTATGACTTTTTGAATTTCTTCAAAAAAACTTGTGTAGAAACATTTGATAACAATAGCTATCAAGGTTATAAGTAGTTATTTCAAAGTGTCTTTATCTCTATTGTCTTCCATATATAATCAAACATTTATTACTAGACTGATATACTGTAATTTTATTATATACTAATGTTATATATTTAAGTAGATAACTATAACAATAAACTGTTGAATTCATTAATGTAGTTCTTCATCATCCTTTAGTAATAAATAATATATTTTTAATATTGTAATACTTTTAGTGAGATTCTTATCTTATAAAAATATACAGAGATTGATTTATATTTTTTCTAGTCATATAGTTCGAACTTAGGCCTCTTCCATGCTGTCAAATCAACGTGCGGTATATTTTCATAGTCTTCACAGCTGAGCTTAGGATTGCAAGGAGATTCCACTTCGAAAGCTTTTCTTTGAATTAATTTTACACCCTCTGTATTGTCACAAATCAGTCGCGCTATTGATGCCTTTTTGATTTCTTTTAATTGTTCTGCAAAGGGAAATACTTGTATGTGTTTGACTTTTGATTAACTTCGTATAACAATATATATTCTAATAAACAATAGAAGTGAAGGGTGAACAAAAACGGCACAAAAGAACCATAACAAATTAATTAAAAGTGAAGGTCCCAGTCTAGTACCCTGTGCGACGCCATTAAGATGTAATATGGGATACTAACCTGGCGTAAAGGAATGCGGCATTTCACCGTTATCATAGAAGTATCTATCGCCTATACGAGTTCTATAAAACTGCTCCGCAATTATGCATTGAAACGTATGACCTAAAACCGATCCTTGGACGTCCTTTTCCAAAGCGCCTCCAACAAATAAGTCAATGTCATCTACGCATTCATATAACTGAGCTAGTGTATTTATTCGCTGAAAGAATAAGATTTGATGATTAAATAAGTCACTTTTTATTAAAATAATAGTAATTAATTAGTTCAGTCTTGGTCTTACATCTTGAGAAATTTCGCCAATCAAATCTTGAAATGTTGTCGCTCTTCTTAATCCGCAGGTCTCTCTGTAGGGATATTTCATGTTACATCATTTTTATAGGGTGTTAGAGCTTATTACTTTACTATCTTGCTGTATAGTAAATTGTTTGTCGTTAAATTCTTATCAAATTTTTTATATATTTGGACTATTTGTTTTGATATTTTGTTTGAATAATATAAAAAACGGTCTAGCCGATTTCGAGAACTTAAGAACCCATACATACCTATTACCCATCTATTTACCTTACCTGTAGTCATTATACGAAGCGATACCGTGATCTCTACCTCTCTGGATGTCCATTGCAATCAGATCCAAACCCCATTTATCTCTGCCTTTAAACATCAAATTAGTAACTTCACTGCTGAAGAAGGGATCCGGTTCGCTCGATGGCTGAGTTACGATGCCTCGAACGATATTATCAAAGGAATCTTTACTTGTCTCAACTATATTTGGATTGAAGTAGTAGTCGCTTAGTCTAGAAACCCAAAGAATGATAAAATTAATTATATTATAGTACAAAGATTTTTGTATGTCAGAGCGGAACAGATAAGCATAGTTTTCACTTGATTGAAAGGAAACATGGTATATAATATGACTTCAAAATAGAAAGCTCTATCGGCCTATTTTGGTTCTGAACATTCGAAGATTCACAGACTGTTATTACAACTATGGCAACGATGTGTGCGAGAGGTACCAACGAAACAGAAAATGCGAAGTGTAAATTTTTATGCTATGTTTTGATGAATTGTAGACAATATGTGTTCAATACTTACTTATACATATAGGCCGCTTGATAGTTCGAAGAACAGGCCATAATGGAGTCTGGTATCATTGTGTGGAGGAACCTGAAAGCTCCAGAAGTGAAACTGCTGATTATTCCCGGGTTCACGTCTTCACTGTAACTGCGACTGTAGAGGGATCTCGGTGATATGCCATAGTACCGTAAATACGCTTCACCTATACGTTTTAGATGGAACAGTACAGTGTGTAAATATTATGGGTTTCCTACGATTTCAAGTTCTTAACTAAAAAATCTTTATGAAGGCGATATTCCAAATCTTCTAAAGAAAGAAGTTCTTTGGTCTTCCGTCTCCGTCACAAACAGTGCAATACCATTCAACCAACTTGTGGTCAATCCAAATTGAAACATACAACAGGACACGAGTAACGAGTCTTCTGAGCGAGGATCTCGTCTGAGTAAAATTTATATGTACCTATCAAAATCTTCACAATTTAAATGATCATCAATATCACTAAAACCTTACCAAAGTTTAACGGCAACCACTCCTGGTAAGTTATATGCTGTATCTGAGCGATTACTATCTTCCTCGCCTCCTGGTAAATCTTTTCGTCGGTCCAAAGTGGATTCATCGAGCTGAGCTTATCAGCTACGCGGTTATGTTCTCTCAATAACAACGTATGCAGCACGACCAGTGTTGGAGTTTGATTAACTCTTACGTCTCCTATAAAAAAGTAATAACTAACCTAACTTGCACCCTGCCTTGACATGAATCCAAGTTATCTCCAATAACACAAATGTTGTCGTAGTGTTTGTCTATTGGTAAGATGCGTTGCCACAAATTGCGTTAAGCAAGAGACGTTTTGGAAAAGTAGTCTGGAATACCAAGTAAAAAGTGGCTAGTAGGACGATTACTTAGTTTCTTTGTTTAAAGGTTCCTCTTTAGCATTTGGGAGCATGTCGTGATTTGCCCATCTTAGTTATTTTTGGCAAATTACTAATAAAAGTTTACAAAAAAAAAACAAAGAAATAAATTCACTATACTACCTACTGTCAGTAGTTAATACGAGTTAGAAAGACATTTAAATGAAATACGTCTGATATTTAAATAAAACACTTTAACGGTTTAAAACGCGATATATTAGTTAAACTTATTTGAAAATGATTTTTTACTGGCCTCAAATTATCATCACTGGGACCCCATTTAAAAACTCTGGATGCCAATAAACAGCATACCGGCAAACGCAAAGACACCGTTAGTAAATTCTCAGTTTCGCCAAATACCACTTCGACGGAACAGTGCGCTAGCGTAGCAATTTTTTACTTTGACGTCAGAGACATCCTCCATCTTTGTCTCCGTGACCACGGTGCTGCAAAGATCGAAAGTCGGGCGAAGTAAAAAATCATTTTCAAATAAGTTTAACTAATATATGCTTTTAAACCTTAAGTTTTTATTAAAGCTATTAATATATATGAATATTTAAAATTATATGAACTACGGCCTGGTGACGAAGAAACTTTGGACCGAACGGAACGTAGAGAGCCGAAAATAACTTGTAAATAAGTTTACTAACACATTTCGCGTTTTAAACCGTTAAATTTATTTAAACACTACATTTATATTAATCGCCATTTTTTTACGTTGCTAGCTATATCTTAATACGTATTCAAAAAATATTTCTTATTGAACCTACACTATCAAAAACACATTTCTACCTGTAAGATAACAAGGATGTGATATATTTCTCAAATCACACGTAGCAAATTTATCATCAACAGTCGGCAGGAAGCCTTTTTTACATTGTCTTTTATTTTCCTCCTTGAGTCTTCCACCACTGTAAGTTCGCAGTTTTGTGGCTGTCTTCGCATCAGACCCATACACCACCGAGCCATCTAAGTAACTGGTAACTGTGTTCATCTGCAATGATTTTTTAATTGCGCGTTCATTACAAACAAACTTATCTAGATAAGATAAGGGGATGTTATTTTCTTAGCACTTACCGATTTGTAACAATCGAAGGAAATAACAAATAAATCTGTTTCTGACCGCCTCTGTAGCCAAATGGTTAAACTTGTTGCCTAGCATTGCATTACGCACGAGAGGTTCTGGGTTCGAATCTCAGGGAAACAAACAAAAATGTTTCGATCGGGCAAGGCGCAAGTCTGATCAACTACTTGCCTGTTAAAGAACGGATCAGTAAATCGGACTCAGAAATGTGTTTGCCCCATGCCCCACGAGGGAGGAACGGGAACTCGCACACACTTTTTCTAAAATATACCAGAGGATCTATTAAACCAAGCACCCAACTACATACTAATCCGATCAATACTAATATTATGAATCCGAAGAGATTGTTTGTTTGAACGAGAATCAAAAAAGTATTCTTGTGTTAGACCATAAAACTTCGGTTTGCGACCTTTTATGGGAATCAAATTTCGTCTAAATATTTCAAAAATTAAAAAACATCAGCTAGTATATAATATTGCTGGTTTTACTTCTTAGATTTTGACTATACCTGCTCTGCGTAACCTAAACTGCAATCGTCCTTCGGTGTGGTTATGCTCCTCACAAAATTCAAGCATTTAATTCCAAATTGCCGATAGAACACATCGCCTTCTGGTACCGCGATGGGTATACATTTGTCGTTTAACATGTCTTGTGGGAGCATATCCTGTCCATTTCCCAAACAACATTGAATGCCACCTTCGTCTGTTAAGAGAAGTTTTTAGAATAATTTTTCTACGAGTCTCTTTCGGCTACTAGAATGTACCTAAACGACTTCAAAATATGCGTATTGCGTTTAGTAATAAATAAAGACAATGGTAATTACCAGACAATCATGGGATTTCACTTCATGATAGGTAAAATATTACCTTATCTAACATCTAAACAAGATGTGCTGTCGTTCAATTTTTGATATTTGGAACATACAATAAATTTAAAACATTGAACAATTACCCTAAAACTACTGAATAATTGATGAATATTCTTTAATTGTAAAAATTCCTTCATACCAGTATATTCCATAGCCTGGGATGCTATGTCATGCGTCACAATTTGTCCCCACTGCATGTTTAAATACGTCGACACTCGACTGCCTATAGGTCGGTCTGCGAAAATTCTTGTTGACAATAACCGTGGATTGGGTAGAGCACGACCACTTTTTGCTACAGGCATGCCATAAATACCTAAAGAGTCAAATCATAATATGTGAATCGACTTTTAAAGTAATTGTATTTTGAAGGATGAACGCTTAGTGCTGCTTAAGACTTATAATAAGTTGCCTGTGGTTTTTTGAAGTGGCAATCCTATCCAAAATAAAGTTGAATCAAAAATTTAGATCAGACAAAATTTCGTAGGCGAAGAATTCTTTTTCGTATAATACAGTAGGATAGACTTGATGGTTAGTAAAATACACCAGTCATAACAGCTAAACCAGATGTTCTGTGGAACTATTTTAATTTTATATGTTTAGAAATATACAAACTGAAACAAAGTCAGCGACTTTTTCATCTGTAGACGGTTATTCGTGACGCGGCTAATTTCGATATTCCTACCCCCCATTTTATATCCAGATTTCCAGACGAAGTCTAACATGTTGCAGAAAAATTATACTCGAACACAAAACCAGTTGAATATTAGCCAAACACCGCTACCATCTCCCCAACGAGCCCGTGAAAATGTCTCTTACCGTCAGAATAACGTGGAACAGCAATCCTCGTGAACGGAGCACCTCGGCGTCCCCAGCCTGGATGCTCCTTGTTATTACAAGTTCCGTCGATGGTCCGATACTTGTCATCGAGGCATTTCTTGCTGAACGGCTTGCAGTACAGCTCGTGTGGTCGTATCACATTGTTCTCCAGATAAGCGAGGAAAGTGTTCGGTGTCACTTGAGAACTGAAAGTATAAAAAGCTATTCTATTACTTTGAAGACTATAGAGAAATTTATGTAAAGTCAAATCCCGAATGCGCAAAGAATCATAAATCAAAATAAAAATAATTTAAAGCAAACAGAAGTGGCAATAAAATTCTACAAAATCTAAAAAAAGGTGCTTAAAGTGTAAAAGTCCGTTTCCCCCTCATAGGGCATGGGGCGAACACATTTCTGTGTCTGTTTTTTTACCTGGCAAGTAGTTGATCAGACTTTTGTACCCTGCCCGACCGAAACAATTTTATTTTTGGTTTCCCTGGGATTCAAACTCAGGACCTCTCGCACTCAACGCCAACGTCAGGTGCCTAAAGTAGTAGTTTGTAATTTAAGTATATTAAAGAGTGCTTTAGTAGCTTGTGTAGCCTTTTAGCGGCACCTGTAATTCGACTACTGCCGTAAATCATAAGATTGCGACGACGCATGCATGGAGCTCTTATCAAAACTCACTATCTTACTAAATAAGGTCTTAAACAGCAAAACTATACATGGCTCATACTTGATCATAGAAAACCTTATGCTGATGCATCGATTAAACTTTTTTCGCTCTAATTCTTGAATTCTAAAAAAGAGGGGGGTCTCTTTTTTCGATCTATCTCGTTTCTCGAATATTCTTTTTTTTAGGTAACTAAGCATACCTTGAACACAGCTTCATTCTTATCAATTTTGTCGCTGAAATTAATTCCTGAGACACTTGGGCTGTCTTCTGTGTATCTTTAGAAACTTCTGTTGTAAAGAAGTGGTGCAAAGACGGCGAATAAGCCTCTAAGCTGACTCCGTTTCTGACTAGCTGGTTCCCTCGTTTGTTCGCTGTTCGGGCGATATCGCGACCACATCTAATACATTCAGATACCATTTCGGTATTGAAGGGGCCAATTTCTTCTGCAAGAGGTGGATAAGGGAAAAAGGTTTGTTTGTAAAATCTAAATTCAAATGGACGCTGTCGTGCTTTATATTTGAATTTCGGTGGAAGTAGACAAAATCGTAAAATGAAATCTATAACCTTCAATATGAAGAAACTTTCCTAACAACCATGTTATATGTAGCAAGGTTTTAGTGCTTCAAAAATAAGAATATTTCGAATATCAGAAAATTATACACAGTTGTTCACTAAAATGCGGCAAACATGAGCCAAATTTCTAATAATTATTTTCTTATAACTTACCGTCGGAAGAACAACTGAACACTTTTTTGAGAGCGGACCTAGTGCTGGCAAGAATGGGACACATCTCTGATATCACATCATCTAGAATACACTCCAAGCCATCTAGACAGCCGCTGACGCTAGCGCAGATGAAGAAAAATCCAACAAAACTATTCAACAATAACACCGTACCCATTTCACATTTAATCGCTTTCTGACTATCGTTAAAATGTATTAATTTCTTAGGACATCCGTTGGTTGGTAATTAATTTTTTCAATTAAAATATTGAACAATATATTTGACTCCTTGAATCCTAATAGGGCGTGTATCCAACATCAAAATGAGTAATAATAAAATATTAAAGTTACTGTTTCACCTTATCGGGTCACGTAAATTTTGTAAATTGCAGGAAATATTGATATCTGTTTGTCTTTGTCAATCTTATTGCGATGTGACTCACTGTTAATAATTAGCCAAGCAGTAATTGTTACATTCGCTTTATCGGTTATGTAACGTACGGGTGAATTTAGTGTTTAGGAAAATGTTGAATTACTTTTAATCCCATATGCTACATTTTCAAGCACGGTACGGTAAAAAGTAGGTTTCAAAGAAGAAGATATTAGTAACAATAATTTATTAGATTTAGTAAATAGTACAAGTAGCTTATCACTATAACAAATACTGTGATCTTTGTACAAATGGTTTTTGGGTGGATTATAAATAATACAGTTGGTCTTACGCTATTATATTCTTAAGTTCTTATATATGGGGGGCAAATCCGCTCATACAGGCGTGGCGTCATAGTGAGGGGCTATCGACAGTAATTTGCAGTTGCAAAACCAGTGTTTAAAACTGAATTCTACTAAACATCAATTGCCTATGAATAAAATACTGTACGACAATGTCAAGACAGTAATAAGTCATTGTGTAGAATATAAAAAAAGTCAAGGTAATGTAACGTTATAAGTGTTGTGCTAAGCCCTACAAGCCGAGTGCAGCCAAGAGCCATGAGCAGCCAGCCAGAGCCAGAGCCATGCCAGCCATGCCAGCCAAGCAGCCATGCCAGCCGCTAACCATCATGTTAGCAACAGAGCCAATCCCCACCGTGACTGTGATATGTTGTGATGTGATAGTCTGTGGTGTGATTAGTCTGTAGTGACAAAGATATTCACTCCGAGATACAGATCGTGCATGCACATATCGGGAAAGGGGAAAGCGGTGAATTGGGTTAGGCATTCTAATTGTTGACTAATCAAAGGAAAGCTCTGTTAGGTATAGTGGATAAAAATTATTTTAATGTGTTGTTTATTACTACGTACCAACAATCCAATGTAAACAGCAGAATTAGGTTTCTGTTTGGCTAATACATAATTATATAGCAACTAGCTGTGACCGCGACTTCGTCCGCCTGGAATAATGACTTGGGTATTTATTCATTTAGGCTGTTTATTAATTGGTGTAAGGGCGCATTTAAGGCAGCCAATCTATGTTGTAAATGCTACTTTGCCGCAACACTCGCACCTCACATCACTCCTACTCTAACTCTCACTCTCACTCCCACTCCTATCCCCAAAAATCCAAAGAAGAAAGTTTCATTTCGTTTCTAGCTGCAAAATCCACGAATGTCCCCTTTTTCAACCCCTTTTCAAACGCTTATTAGGCATTAAAAAGTAGCCAAATTTCATTGAAATCAGTTCAGTAGTTCCGGAGTTAAAGCGGGACAGACAGACATAGTTACTTTCGCATTTTTAATATTAGTATAGATAATAATTTCTAAGAACGAATTATTTCATATCTTGTGCAAGGTACTTGGCTTGTAATGAAAGTTCTATAGAAAGGGTCTTGACTTTGTTTTGCATCATGATTAGGCATTTTAAAACTTCGATATTTTTGTAATGTTATTGCACATAGTGTAAATTATCAATTCTAAATGGAAAAGAGAATTTCATTGAAAACCGTCGGTGCCATGAACGATGCGGGTTAAAGTTATGCCCGTGTTGTGTGTTTTTTTTTATCTAAAATTATTTTTTAATTTACAGGCTTAGGTATTTAAGGACAGAATTGATATTTTTAAAATGTGCCAGTAACCTAGGCGAAAATGAATTTGTACTATTATTTGTGTAAGAATTATTTTAAAAAAATTTCGGTCACTATGCTCTTGTAAGTTAACATTTTTAGATTATAAAGATATCAATTATTCAAGCCACAAAATTTCAGTTAGGCTACTTTGCCTCTAGCAGCCTCAATTATGAACATTATTTGAAAGTATTGAAAAACTATAAATACAGGTGGGGTTCGAATCGGCGACCGTAGGTGTACTTACGGTGTCAAAGCTGTCAAATACTATTTTAAATTCTATGGTTCCTCTTCAGGAACATGATTGTCACTGTTATCACAAGAGTGACTACCATCTCAAACTAAATCTTAATTTCTTCACTTGCACATACGTGTCGAACACCAAATCCCAAAATTTGCTGCTTATGCCGAATGCTGAAAAGAACATGTAGCGGTTTATAAAATTATAGTTCTCTAAGATATAACGGGTCCCTAAATTATTGTCTAGATCAGAAATTACTAGTAGTCCTGACATTTTTTAAACCACAACAAATAACAATAACAATTGTCGGTTATCAAATGAAACTAAATAAAAAAAAAAAAAAGTTAAAATATTTGACAATTTACAACAACGATTTATAAATAGTTATATTTCATAATTCTAACAATAATGATGTTTTATTCGAATGCCTGATATTTGTAAATATTCGGAAATATACCTTTATCGTGGTTGACGAAATGATGATTGGAGTGATATCTCTTCATCGCGTAAAGATATGACCCGTCGCGAGGCGAGCCGTGGTGCACGTAGTAATGAATCATGTCGTACGTCAGATATCCTGGAATTATTAACAAACGCTTAAAAACCGAATGTTTTAACTTCTAGCGTCGCCCGCATGCGTCTGAGTGGACAATTGTTTTTTTTATCTATTTCGATTGACTATAGTTTATTTTGCTCGTATCCTAATACAAAGAATCAAGAATTTTATTAAACTGCATCAAGCTCTGTTTATGTTTACTACACTCAGAATCAGTTTTGTGCTTTAGTTTTTAATGAAACGATCAAGGAGAATCTATAATATATGTATACTTTATTATAGGATGTTTAAAACTACTGTATGTATAAATGATGTATTATTAGTCAAGAGAATCCCGTACACTCGAATCCCATCTTTCAAACATTACTATAAAGCTTTTTTTGCGCTTGCTTTAGCTTATATTACCCACTTACCAATAAGACCACCGGTGACTTTAATTACTGGATAAGATAAAAGCAGCCACACTGGAATGGATATAACACTTGTGATGACTAGAGCTGGAATTGGCGGGAATACTTGTCTTAATCCATCAAACGGCACCTGGAATATAGTTGAACACGAAATTAGTTGTTGAGTTCAAAATATAAAATTAATTAAAGATGCCTTTCTCTGTATAAATATAATAGCTAATCGATTGGTTCTTGTTTTTCTATCTACATCGTAAAGGTGGTAGGAATATTGAATTCGAAATCCGCAGATACGAAAGCCGTAGATTATTAATACGCGTTTTGATTTCAGTCTGACTATTGTCCTAAGATGTAGGTCGGCTAATTAGAATTAATTAGATGTTACAGGGCTCTGACATTTTATGTCTCATCAAGTGACTCTTATAATCAATTATGCCTTAATAAAAAAATAGACATGTCCCTTGCTTTTAAGCGCGGGAAAAATTTATTTAATTAATAAATCTGTTATTCACCTATATCAAATTTACACATTCCACTGAATATATAAATAATACTTAAGAAAAAAAACAAATATTTAAGAAAACGCTTGTAACCTAGTGTAATTATAAAGCTAGGTTAAAGCGCTTATTTTTAACAATTACTATTCGTTTCAGCTGTTACGCAGTTGATATTTGATTAAGGACATAATTGTACTATTCTAAAAACCTAGTAAGCATTTGGAAGTCTCACTTCTCCGTTATTTTATTTCATAATATTAATTTACAAGCAAAACGTATTGCCTCTGATTTACAGTACCATAACAAAAATTGTACAAGACAAATAAAACTTGCGTATTAACAGGCTCGGGTCTTCCTAAGAAACAACAAACAAGATTGCTCGAAAACTTCTGACAGGATTAAATTTTATAAATCGATCACCAAGATTAGGTATGATAATATTGTATGTTATCTTTATATCCCAATCCCGTCTAAGCTATTTTCAAAATGAGTCTAATCTTGCGTCATTTGTTTTAATAAAAAGTAAATTATTATTATGTATTCAAAAGTCAAAAGTCAAAAGTCAAAAATCATTTATTCATGTAGGTAACTATGTACACTTATGAACGTCACAAAATAATTAAAGAATCTAACTTTACATTTACTACCAGTTCTCAAATCAAGGGCGTAGAACGAACGAGAAGAACTGGCAATAAACTCGCCGTCACTCCTTTTTCGCCAAGTTCATTTTTTCTTGATTACTTTTAGTAACAACATATTTTTCCTTGTAAGAGCCGGTTCCTCCACACCCCAAGCATTTTTATCATTTAAATATTGATTAACATGATAATAACCCTTTTCAAGCAATTTTTGTTTTAATGATTTAAACCTATTTATTGAGAGTTTGCACTTGCTGGGGATTTTATTAAAGTATCGTATGCAGTTACCTTGAAAAGAACTACTACTTTTATGGAGCCTTTTGTTTGGTACACTTATTTTGTCCTTATTACGCGTATTGTATGATGAAAGTCTTTGTTTTAAAAGTATCTACGTTTTTCCTTACATATAAAACATTTTCATAGATATATTGACTTGCCAACGTTAGGATATTCAATGCTTTAAACTTATTTCGAACAGACTCCAGTAGTAAGTAATGTAATAGTAAGTTTTTCTATCGCACAAACTAGGACGCAACAAAAGAAATATTTATTCAGTCGTTTCCATGGTTAGACTATGAACTAAACCAGTCAACAAAATAATTAGAATTCCATCTTAATACCGCGGACGCAAGTATTATTTGAAGAAAGAGGTTTAAACAAAGAGCACTTGGGTCCTTTTCTCAATTACGCACTTTGGCGGAACAGCTCAAAATCCCTAGCTTTTCAAAATGGCCGCGACATCCTTATAATATTTCTAAACGTTATAAAAAGCTCACAGATTGATTGAAAATAAATTTTTAAATAAAACACTTTAACGGTTTAAAACGCGTAATTAGTTAAACTTATCTGAAAATTATTTTTAACTTCGGCCCGACGTTTCGGATGCTTTGACGTCAGAGACATCCTCCATCTTTAGTCTCCCCGTGACCACGGCTGCTGCCAAGCATCCGAACCGTCGGGCCGAAGTTAAAAATAATTTTCAGATAAGTTTAACTAATATATCGCGTTTTAAACCGTTAAAGTGTTTTATTTAAATGTGTACTACTCGCGTAAACTCTGAAACTCGCGTAAACTATGAAACTAAATTTTATCAAATAAGATCAAGCGATTAAAGCTTAAGTAACAAACGCCAAAACAGGTTAATAGCGCATCTTGTTTAGATTTTCTATGGTTGGCCTATTTCACCTAACGTCATGCTTGTCTGTCCATCTTAATCATAAAAAAGGGGAAAAAACATACAACAGATTATTCTATAATACCTTATGATGCATCCCATGTATAAGGAAATGTATCTGTATCAACGTGACAGACGAACCGGGGTCGTAATGAAACACCCATCGATGCAAAGAATACTCCAAAAGGCTCCACACAACGACACCGAACACCACGTGATAAGCGTATTGGCCTATCGTTATCCTATCTTGACAGTTATCTGGAAATAAGAGATAATTTTAACTATGCGTTGCGTAAGACAAACACAAGGCCAATATATTGATGACATATACATAATTAAAGTTGTTAGGTATACTTACAACGAGAAAAAAAAAAAAAAAAAAGGAAAGGGAAAAAAAAAAAGAAAAAAAGGATGCCAAAAAAATGAAGTGAAAACTTTTTTTAAATACCTATCACATTCAAACAAGATGTTGATTGTTGATGTTGTTGCACTTATCGTTTACGTTTGTGTATTTCATATTGACGCCTCCTTTCTTTACTCCACAATGAAGGCAAACATTACTAAACAGTATCATATTCTAGAACTAAGAATTCGACATTCATCTAAAACGTCGGGCCGTAGTTAAAATAAATGGTAAATAGTAATATTTTAATTAATTTTAAACGGTTAAAAGTGTTATATTTAAACGCAGTTATACGAGGATTTCATTAAACTATATTTATTTTATTTTAACTAGTACTTGACGTTTCATATGCACTTAAAATTTTACTAATATGTATCGGGTATTAAACCGTTAAAAGTGTTTTATTTAAGTCGGTACTCGCGTAAACTACAGACAATATTTAAACAAACAATTGACATACCTGTACACATCACATGCTCGACCCACTGAGTATAAACAAGATATAAAATAATGGGCACCCAAAATACAGGCACCAAATACCACGGTGTGTACGTTAGGCTTTCTAGGATAGGACTGGAAAATAGTCTGCACTTCCTGTATACTGCGCTGTTCACCCATTTGTCATAGTGTGGTGATATCTTGTCCAGTTGGCAGAGGAGTGGCTTCGACCAATCGAGTCTGCTCTGAAACAGAGGGCAGTTTACGAACTATAATGCCAACGATCGTCGTGAAAAACAAAATAAAAACTACTCATAATGAATCTATGGTAATAGTATTTATTTAACTATAACAAACAGAGCGCTCTTTAGTTTTGATGCCCAAAACTCATTTTGGGAGGGTAGTTGTAAAAAAAATTAAATTGTAATATCTGTTTGCTTAATTGCTTCGAAAGTAATTAAACAATTTTTACCACAGAACATACCGAGTCTACATATAAAGGGACTAGGCGTTCACGATACAGGGTGTACTATTTTTATTTAAGTGCTCTATCAGAGAGCTCGGTGGTAATACCCACAAAAAGCCACATCGATCGGCCGCCATTGCCACGTGGTAGAGACTTTGGTGGTCTGTGGTGGGGAAGGTTTTCCTCAGGGATTCGTTCTGAAAGACACCAGATTGGTCGGAGTCTGAGGTAGTTTGTTCTTTCCCCCCCTTCGATTCCTAAAAGACGTGCAGCGAAACGTTATAGTGAATACTATTGTGGGTTGTGCAGAACACAAAATTGTAAATATTTGTTTTCCAAGAATTTATCATTTTAATTTAGAAAGATGTGACGCACACACTCTTAGTACTAGCGTCGATGAGATTCTATCATGAAGACTGTCTATACTAATATAATAAAGGTGAAGAGTTTGTTTGTTTGAACGCGCGAAATCTCTGGAACTACTGGTTTGATTTAAAAAAACTGATTGAACATATATTGAGAAAGGCTTTAACCTACAAAACATCAGGCTACAACCAGTGACAGAGGCATGTTGGATTTATCTTTCAGGGTTACCGTTTCGGGTATATCTTTTAAGATAGACTCACAATAACCGTGCCATAAAAAGGCAATCAAATTTTGTGGAAATACTTCATATGGCAAAATAACGTTCGCAATGACGGACACCCAGTTATTGATAACTCTCGGACTAATATGGAATTGGTTGATACGATAAAAATCTTTAGACCAGCGGCTCGAATATAATTAAACTATTGACACTATTCTGTGAAAGCAAGCATCTGAAACATATATAATGCATGGCATGCATCACGGCCGCTATCGAAGATGCTTCCAGAACGAAACTGCTGGAAAATCGATATTTGACAAGCTATCGGTAAATTGATTAAGACAGGGTTTAAAACGGACGAGGTTACAATTCATTATTCACAATCACTAGACATCGATATTAAAAAGTGTTATGCATTTCCCCAGTAAGGAAACATATTTCTGTGTCCGTTTTGCGATTTTATTTACAGAAGTAACAAAGTATTATGTGTAGTTTACAGGAGCAGTATAGTTTTAAATAAAACACTCTTAACGTCCGCCCGTGACGACAGTTGTTGCAAAGCACCGGTAATGCCGGATCGTAGTTAAAATAAATGTAAATAACGTAGCAAATACATTTAGCGTTTAAAACCGTTGAAAGTGTTTTATAAAAAAAGGGGGGAGAAAAAAAAAAAACCCCCCAAAAAAAAATAAAAAGGGGGGGGGGGGGGGGGGGGGGGGGGGGGGGGGGGGGGGGGGGGGGGGGGGGGGGGGGGGGGGGGGGGGGGGGGGGCCCCCCCCCCCCCCCAAAAAAAAAAAAAAAAAAAAAAAAAGGGGGGGGGGGGGGGGGGGGGGGGGGGGGGGGGGGGGGGGGGGGGGGGGGGGGGGGGGGGGGGCGGGGGCCCCCCCCCCCCCTTTAACCTTTGGGGGGGGGTTTTTTTTGGGGGGGGGGAAAAAAAAAAAAAAAAAAAAAGGGGGGGGGAAAAATTTTTGGGGGGGTTTTTTTTTTTGGTTTTTTTTCCCCCCCCCCCCGGGCCCCCCCCCGGGGGGGGAAAAAAAAAAAAAAAAAAAAAAAAAAAAAAAAAATTTAATTTTCTCTTATTACCATAAACCATCAATTCCTTAGCTCATGTGGTACGTGTTCTTGGATTCTAATGACGAAAAAACATAGGTGATACCTTAATTCGATTTAAAAGTTACACACTTAATATTATTAGTTTATTTAGTACTGCTTGTTGAGCGACTTGTTTTTGTTTACTTTTGGCTTCTAATATGTATCTTTCTTCGCTTTCCTACTATGGTGTAATTAAAAGATAGGATACATATTATGATTGGTATGTATGACCCACTCTAACTCTTATACCACTGAACCGAGTTGTATTCATGTCATTATTTTCACATATGTTATTAAAAGTATTTTTTTTTAATAACCACGTTCTGGTGCCATGGGGGATTATGTATGGTTTTGCTGTATTAAATATTTAGTTTCAATAAGTCATCGTTTTAATTATAAGATCAATGTTGTACAACGGTTTAATCAAAAGAGAGAGACATCGCCACAAGTGTTAGATAAGGAACAAAGAAATGCTTGCGTTTTATTACAACAATAATTGTATTAAACCCTACTGTTCCATTTGTACTGTGGTGCGAAAGAATTTTTACTAATAGATTTGCGTGGACGTGATACAGATAAGATATCGATACGCAATTAATAAAGGACACATTTTATTACTCACGGTAGTGATAAAAATATGCCATACAACTTGACTACTATCTGTGGTTCGGTCTCATACATAATTTCCAAATTAAGTATTAAAATGCTTTTAACGGTTTAAAAATCGAATAAATTTCAAATTATTATTAGTTAACGTATATTTAACAACGACCCGAGGTTATTGGCTTAATAAGTTGGCTTGAAGTTAAAAGCGGACCATACGTTTTAGAGATTGTCGCGTTCAAAAGAAGGAATAGACTGACTCAGCTCTTTAACTTATTACTATTCTTACATTATAATTAGGATTAGCTTACGTCGAGACACAGAATAATATTTTCACACAGTAGGATCACGTACGTATTCGATTGCATAGTAATTTTCTACTCCTTTAATGATGGTCGTTGAAATATAATTTCATACAATTAATATAATTATAGTATCCATTTCCTATATTCTATTGTAAAATATTTTTAGTTAAGTTATACTTAACAAACGATAGGAACTGTTTTTTGACGATTCGAAAGTAACTTAATTTACTTGCATGCGTGCGATCAACATCATCTTCTGGTTTTCAAAGACTCGTTATGGCGAGAACCATTTCTTTATTACGACATACCAAGCTCTAAAATGTGGGAGACTTGTGCCTAGTGTTGACATCGATAGGTTGAAACTATCTGTTTTGATGTATTGCTAAATAGTTAATCATAATAAAAAATCTATCATTCCACAAACAAGATCTAAATTGAAACTTTGACGAATTATATATCTGTCTATTGTAACATGTGTATAGGTGATTCACTCGTAATCTTAGATTACATTTGATAGATATCTCAAAGTTATATCTAATTCTATGAAGTATTTTTTGGGTGGTATTTTTAGGCCTTTTTTATACACTCTGTAGTTAACACAAATATAACACATTGAAGTAAAACAAAAGCAAAAACTTATTCTCAATTTTAGCAATTTTCTCCAGATAACTAGAAAAAACAGATGGCGCAAGTGTAGCAGTTTTTAACATGGCGGTATTTGAAACGGTTTGAATCGCGATATACTATCCAATTATTTTGTACGATGTTTACGATACTTTTCAGTTGCAGTGACCACTTTTTAAGCCGTACAATAATGTTTACTTATTATGTACCACTCATATAAATCGCAGACAATAGATTATTATAATACTATATTACAAATGATATAAAGTTGTATGTAGGACCAAGTTTATAAAATAACATAATCTATATTTTTTTAAATCGGATTATTCGTTCGTTCGTTTACATTAACGGATTGTAATGGCGTGATAACTTATAGCCGCTATCACGGGCAACAATTAATGACTATCGATTTCTAATCAAGCAAAGTAGATTTTGACGTGATTAACAATTATCTATCCCATGGAAATGGGCAGGGCGTAACGGAGGCAGCGTGAGAATAGTGAATATTATGACTATGTAAAATGTGTAAAATTGAGACAACATACTAATATATTATGAAGCTGAAAAGTTTGTCTTTTGAACGCGCGTTTATTCATATATCTTATCTTTGTTGATTTCTCTTAGGTACTCTTCGAAACGGTTTAAGGTACCCAAAAATGTGTTGAACAGTTGAAGACACTTTTAACGACAAATATATGGGTTAACTTATTTTTATTTATCATTAATCGAGACAGGTACAGATTGAAAAGGTTTATTTTTTTTGACGAATCTAAATATTTTTTTTATAATTTTACACAGAATAAAGTATATTTTATTTTAAAAGAGTAACATTTTTCAAAATCAAGACAATAATTCCACCTCTTTTGTTTAGTAGAGTAGCGACCTCGTCCGCGTAGAAAAGTTATTTTGGGCATCGAAATTGTTTTTTTAAACCTCCTCTTCATCTTTATAGATTTACGCTATTGCCCACGACGTCGTCTGCGTCTCGTTCTTGCAAGTCAATCGTAAAAGATGCACATATAGTGTCGCAGACATTTTTTAGATCATTTAAAGAGGAATCATTTTTTCATACATATTTTTTGGGAACCTTGAACCGTTTATCAGGTTTTCTCTTTTCTCTACATTTTCCTCTGTTTCTTCGCCCCCTTTAGTCATGGCGCGATGTCTTACAACCTTTCTCGACAAATACTCTAACACTAAATTAATTTTTCAATTCGAATCAGTAATTCCTGAGATTAGCGCATTCAAACAAACAAGCTCTTCGACTTTATATATTAGTATAGATTAATAGTTAAATTATTATTCTGATATCAAAATAATGCCGCGCTTCCTTATTTATCAAGTATTATCTGTGTATAATTATTAGACACAGATAATACTAAACAGCAATTTATCTGTAATTAAAAATCTAATTACTGGTTAATCACAACATAGGTATTGATAACCCACTACAAATATTATTTGAACAGCTCAAATGAATGTGAATCGATAAAATTCTTTGTAACTGATGAAATTCCTGTAAAACATATTTTCAAATAGGTCAACAGATAGTGCTATCGGATAACATTTATCAGCCGAAATATTATCGATTTTAAGGTATCGGCTCAACACTAAGATAATAAAAGTCGTTCGGCGACTTTTTCGATTCAACAGCACTACTAGGTATATAACTTTACGAAGACGAAACTTAAACGTCTGGTAACACCCTTAGATAAAGTTCTTTTTCTTTAATAATATTTTATGACCTGGTATCAAGACCTTTAAGCCATAGATAAAGTTCAAAGTTAAGTAATAGAGTCTGTAATAATAGACATAAATGTAGATTAGCATAACAAACACAATAAACATAGATAATAATCAAATTTAGAAATAATAAGAACTAAAATCAACTTATAGTTTTTTTACAACACCTTTTAGTTTCTGGGTATTCAATAAATTGTAAGGAATAACAAAACTCCGTCCTAGCACAGACGAAAAAGCCGTAATCAGTAATCGCATTTCGGTTTCATTCTGTGGTTTTGTGAAGATACAAAAAATACGTCTTTGATTACTATATTGTTCGATGTTCGATGTTATATACCGCTGATATTAAGATCCGAGATTAAGTCCTTCCTTCCTTTAACCGCATATCTGTCTATAGTTATATATAATTATTTATCTCAATGATATTTGAAATATTTTCTTAGACACCCACATCATTTACAACTAAACTAGAAATAAGGTTGGCTATCGATAGCTTATCTATAACGTTACTAATACATAACACAAGTACATACTTTGTTATAGCAAAGATCGAAATTCTAACGGAATAAATTATTGATTTTCTAACTGTTTCAGAAAAAATGGAAGGTCACATAACGTTCTAGGGCGTTTCAAGTTCCTGTTGGAGTTTCAAGTATTTTATTTTCAAATAAAAGACTAACTTCGACTAGTAAAGTTTATAAGACAAAAATATATTTAAGGTAACTTATAAATGTTATAATTCGGAACATGACAGAAAATATGCGGTTTATTAAAAATAGAAAATATATTTCCAAACATACTAGACTGCAATGTGAATATAAAACCCACAATCTTCTTAGTTATTAATACCTACTAGACAAACATTGCTGCACTTCTTTCAAAGATACAAGACTGAGGGTACTCATAGGAATTACATTTTATAAGTATTAATAAATAGTGCTGTTGAACAATAGACAATAAATGATGTCATATTGCCACGCAAAATAATAAAACACCAGTTACGCGTAATTTGGAGATGTGAAGAATGTGACGAAAAATTTAACACTACACAATCTAGAATCGTTGATGAGAAATTGTATATGTTTATTGGTTCTTACACGTTAGGCAGATGGACATTAATGTTCAGAAACCTTAGCCTATTTTCATTCAAAGCAAATAATATTGTGAAATGAAGTCAAAATTCTATTTATTACATCATTGCTCATCGACAAGTTACAATTGTATCCGATTCCGCATATCTGTACTTAAAAAGACAACAGACAAGTCCGTAGATTATGGCCCAAACATGTTTCTATATAAATTTATCTTAATTTACCAGGTTTCGAACACTAGACTCCCCGATTATTTCAATGCGTATATATAAAGTTGAAAGTGAGTCAGTCTCGCTAATGTCATGTTTATCTCTCACATATCCACGACGAAGAACGAATTTAAGCTAACACAAAAATTACAAACTAATTCTGACGATAACGTAGGTATACTTAAGAATGTACTGAAATTTTTTATTGATTTATAATATATTTATTTATTGATTGTTAACCATATTTCCTCTTGATAATACGTTACAGTGCTACGCATAGTCTTTAAGATCGTAACATTTTTTTTATGATAGAAGAAGACATAATGAGGTTGCTAGAGGCATAGTGGCCTAATAACAACAAAACATGATTTTCAAAAAGGAGTATTTTCCTCCTCCAAAATGCGCTATTGACTTACACGAAAATGAATTTGTACTAGGTATTATTTGTGTAAGAATAATGTTGAGAATTTTCGGTCACCGTGCTCTTATAGATTAACATTTTTAGACTATAAAAAAAAGTCTCTTATCTCTCTCTCTCTCTACCTCATATAAGCACGGGCTTCACTCGATGGAAGCTGAAATACACCAGCTATGTAACATCGAAGTGCTACATACCGGTTTAGTAAGTACATCTTTTATTACTAAGGTTGTTCAATAAATTATGTTTAATTTTATTACCACATTTGTGTGATTAGTTGTTACTTAGTACTTTTGTTGCCCGTAACAAATGAAATAATAATCGAATTTTCCGTTACCTCTAGTTCCTCCAAAAACTCAATCTCCTTCGAACTTCTGAAACTCTCTTCCTTGGTTTTAATCCTTCCATTTTCACTGATGCCATTCGATATATCCACTTGAAAGTCACTTAACATGTGATAGGCACTGTCGCTATGGCCGTAGGCTTTCATAACATGTGTTATGGACTTGCCCCTATATTCCTCCAAACTGTTAACGCCGCCCGGATGGTCGCGTAAAAACTTATTTATGTCATATTTTTTCCCGCCATAATGCACGTTGAAAGCCATGGTGTCGCCGACAGCGACGCGCGACAACTGAATTCACGGATTCTTATCATTTCAGTTTTTTTCGTTAGATATATGTACTACGTTCGAAGTTTTGTCAATTAAACATTAAAATTCCAGGAAAATTCAAATAATTAAAGTATCAAATATAACTTAAGTTAAGTATACATACGCACAACATATTATATAATTTATATATTTTTAAATTATTAGAGCTTTTAAGCGCAAAAAATATTATTATTTTCATAGAACATAACATTTTGACATGATAGTAGTAATGTATGGCTAATAACCAATCGGTCGTGAGTTCGTTCCCCAACCGGTCCAACATTTTTTTATCAATTTATATTTTTTCTGTAACTTGTTGGACTTCGTCCGGATAGATATTGAATGGGTGGTAGAAATATCAACCATCCGTATCTTAAACCAGCGGCCACAGATGAAAAAGACCGTGAAGTTTAATCGCGTATCGATTTCAGTCTGTGGATTTCCGAATATCCGAAGCCACAATAGGTTGACAGCACGTCTTGTTTCTATGTTATATAGCTGCGGTATTTCACCTAAAATCAAGCGTACCCTATACTTGCCTATCCTCTATCAAAAAAAAAACACTTAGTAAAATCCCGTTTAACCCGTGGGGCATGGAATAACGTTTCGCTGATCAAATTTATTTACAGGCAAGTAGTTGATCAGAGTTCTGTACCCTGCCTGACCGAAACAATGTATTGTTTTCCCGGGATTTGAAGGTGGTCGACCTTGTATCGACTTGAAATTCGCGCAATTGGTACAGCAACAGAATAGTTCTTGATTGTGGGCTCGAATTCTGCATGTGTAAAACTTTAAAATTGAAAATTGTAAACAGAGACTCGAACTAATCATCTAATGTCGTTCTCTTTTGCGTGTTTTTTAAGTCCTTTTTTGAAAATTTAAAGAAGAGTAACACGTATTGGATTTTAATGTTCTGTTCTGTTCTGTTTCTATGTCAATGTTCAATGCTATTGTAATTGTACAGTACGATTAAGTATTTTTAGTCCAAATAGTTTTGGCTACATTTTTAATTAACTTGCTATCCGCAACAATCGTTTAACTAAATTAAAGCTTAGTTTTTCCTTCCTTAATTTTTTACAATATTACGTAACTATTGAGAAAATAGACCGCCTCTGTAGCGAAATGGTTAAACGTGTTACCTAGCATTGCATGCGATAAACTACTAAATGCAATAGGTCCTGGGTTTGAATTCCATGGAAACAAAACATTGTTTCGGTAAGGCATCGTACCGAAGTCTGATCAACTACTTGCTTTTTAAATAACGGATCAGTGAACGGACACAGAAATGTGATCGCCCCATGTCCCACGAGCAGGAAACGAGATCTCACTATTGAGAAAATAAATTACAATACTTTGCTTGAACTGTTCGCCTTTTATGTATTTATTTAGTATGGTCATAGTGAGGCGTAGATTATCTTGAAGATTGTTGTAACACAAAAGAACGCTTTTGTTTTCTATGTGATTACAGTACGTAACTCGTACAAACCGTTAAGTTAAATATTGGCTATATGTGTCATTCCTTATCTTATATTGTGAAAGGGCTATAATGACAAATCAATAAAGCATAGCTATCGACAACGTATTTCAGAATAAGTAATAAGACGAAAGTGATTGAATATATGTCACGAAGGAACACAAATAGATTAAACTTCTAATACGTATACGAGTAGAGTATTCTACTACGAAGACTGACTAGTCGAATGGTCATGAATTCGATACCTATTAAGTCCAGCATGGTTTTTTTTAATATGTTGGTTCATCTGTCGAGAAACTCTTATAAGTCTTTTGGGCATATTTAATAAAAATAAATCTCTGGCAAATTTGGATGACCGGTAAGGAATAACGAAATTCCGGCCGAGTCACGATCCAGCGTCCACAGGTGGCAGTCCCTTTTTGTCTATGGATTTCCTATTGTCAAGGCAAAAATTTATCAATATATATCAATCTTGTTTGAATGCAATAAATATCTAATATCTTTCTTACACATACTTGAGCGAGTAAGAAATCTCAAGTGAATATTTATTTTACTGACACGCAATGAAATGCTTCTAATAATAATCCTATACATTAATCTCACCATACTAATAGGAACTCGTAAACAGTATTATGACGGTGTTAATTACATACATACAGTAAAATAATATTATTTGCTTCGAAGGTCCTCAACATCTTTTATAAGTCGAGGCTACATCATTATGCAAAGCTGTAGGAAGATATAAGAAACGGTTAAGGGTAAGACGTACTTTTACGGATGTCATATATTTTTAAAATTAGATTTTTACATTACTTTTTAATTCCTTAGCTCTTGCGTGCAGTATTCATATCTTCTTTATATAAAAGAATTACTTCTCTTAAAACAACGGACTTTGTTAATCTCTTTAACAGACTGTCCTATCTATTACCATTCTGTGTTCCGTTTTATCAAATGAGCTAACGTTTAAAGTAAGCTAAAGCTATCTTGTACATTTCTTTGTGTTAACCCCTATTATATATATAAGAGATTGACTTATGCAACTAATGTTGAAATAGAGAACGACCAATGGTCTTTTTAATAACATTTCACACCACACAACAATATATCTACAGTGTTAAAATTAAACCATTTTTAACGAATTAAAAACGTGAAATATATTAGTTAATTAATTTATTATTTATCTTAACTAGTTTTTAGGTTTTAAATTGTCAAATATTAAAGTGGGTATTAACGCAGGATAAATATAAAATATTTCCATTAGTAGAAGCTACAAAGAAAAGAAAAAATGTAGGCGCCATCTTGGACGTTACAACGGATCCCTAAAAGGTAATAAGTTGACTAATGAGTTTGCTATTAAAAGTCAGGTGCGGCGTGGAACCTCCTTGTTAGTTACATGACATCTACCTGTAAATAAACGCTATTCCGGTATTCCGGTCAACTAGGGTGAACTAATTACTTAGTTGCACAGACTATAATACAACCATAGACTAAAGCTCCCCTCCAGAATAAGTATACGATGAAGACTTGGAATTAAATACAACATAATATATTTATCCATTTCTTTTAGACAGTATTATTATATACACTGCATTATTTATTTCATACAAGTACCATTACAGAAATAAATAACAATATAATTAATGTACAATAGGACATTACAACGTATTACAGAATTAATTTATTAAAACACTAATTAGTATTCATTGCACTGCATTTACAAGCAATATCAATCAATTGAATAACAGTAAGAAGAACTCAAATCTAGGGAACTGAATAAATCTGTTAGGTAAATTAACGATAATTACTGTTTTTGTGATAAGGACTGACATATTCTTGTATAAGCCTGTACTAAGTACCCATTGTCCGTAGTTTACGCAAGTACATATTACAAATTAAAATAAAACGCTTTCAAAAATTTGAAATGCGAAATATATGAATTTATTTTAACTATGGCCCTTCATTTAAAATCCCCCCCGTGACTACGGCTATTTCGTTTTTTAGCGTATATTTCGCAATATAAAGCGTTAAAAGTGTTTTATTTAAATAGGCTTGTATCTATCTCTATAAGAGCCCAATTCTATACATTAGATTTATGGTGGCTGCTTACCAATGAATTATACAAGACGCTTGCTATATTCGCGTTAATTACTACCACATGGTACTAGCTATTTTCGAAAAAGTAGTAGAAACATTCATATAATAATTTGACTTGTTTCGACTTTTTATACCTTCGGGTGGATTGAAAAAAAAATCTTTAAAAATCGAAAATCAATCGAAAAATATTTCAACTCGAGCAAGACTTGAACAACTCGATTCGTTGACTCGGTAGCTCAATTAGTAGAGCAACAGTACGGAACGCCGACGATGCCGGTTCAAGTCCTGCCCGAGTCGAAAATTTCTTCAATTTATTTTCGATTTTTAAATTATATAGTGCCTTCATCTGCACTATATATATAATTTAAAAATCGAATATAAATATAACATGTAAAAAAAAAATAAAGTTTTCAAACATTTCTTTGTTGAGTACATATTCCAGAACTACCCACATATAAAATCTATTATATTTTATTTCCACATGTCCGGCTGGGTTATACAAAACTCCTCCAATGTTAATTAAAATCACATTCGCCAACTACTTGATGAAATTGTGGTGATCAAGAAAGAGACGGCGTTAATTAATTACACTCAAACATTGATTACAGCGGCGCCTAGCTGCGCATCAGGAAATATAGGTATCTATTAGGCAATTGCATGACCTAGTACTTTGCGGGCGTGCTTCATTGTGCAATATAAATATGTGCAGATTTTTGGGCCATGATTTACTTGGCTTATAATTTTTTTTGATAAAGAAGAATAGACAAGCACGGGATTCACTTGATGGAGGACGAAATACCGCAGACATACTACAAAATAACCATCAATTGATTAGAAACATATTGTACCCAATGGGGATTGCACTCACCATTAAGATTACCATTAGTAACTTCGTGTTTTATCTTACCCCACGTCCCTCTTAGGACGGCCATAACTTTTGATAGTAAGGGCATACGGATACTTGTAGTTACTCATAGTATAAGATAACCGGAAAATAAACGCCTTAAAATAAAATAAGCAATTTATCTTAATGGTGTCTTACGTCCTGTTATGCATTTATAGATATTTCAGATCACATCCAACGGAATACTATAGGTACGGTACACGATTATTGGATCTAGGTACCAAAATCGATCTTTATAGTATCGCAAATAAAATCGTATTATAATTTAAGATGACAATTGACACATAACTGTTCAAAAACTTAACTAGTTGAAGTAAACATGAAATATACAGTAAATATTTAAACAACTTTTAAGTTAAGGATTATAAATGAAATCATTACTATTTTCGATCCTAAACAAGTTGTGATGTTTAGTAATCTTAGTGTAAATGGAATAGTGCGGTTTTATGGATTTCAGTAATGACTTTCTTCTATTTATCACCTGCTAAGGGTAACCTACAAATCCATGTTTTAGAAACAATTGTAATCAAGAGATTAGAACACTTAAATGCAATCCTGAGCAATAATGCAATTCAATATAATGAATATGTTATGGAAGGGAGCGTCTATGACAATGTTGGCCATTTTATGTTATGTTTAGCAGCTATTATTGAGCAGAGTATAGACTTCTACAAGTTTGTTTTAAAAACTGAAGAAGCTCTATTCCAACATAGACTAAAATCGTTATCTGGTTATGACTTAAGACGCTTTGCTAAGAAGCTATTAAGAATTATAAGAAAAACTGACTTGAATACAAGTATTTCAGAACCTTTACAGGTTTTATGCCAATATCTGTCATTAAAAAACTATGCTCACCATATTTACTCGGAATGTGACAATCAGTGTTCTTCATATTTTCTAAAGTTCAAATTTTTTCATTGTTTACAATTCTTATCTAAACGGCAGGTAGAAGTACAAAATGGCATAGCGCTGGTACCCTGCAAGAAATGGAAAGAGTATTTGATTATTTTGTTTAAGAATAATCTCAAATATAGGCTTTATAATACACAGTTAGACAATATAAATTCTGATCCTAGAATAAGTGGTATCATAAGAAGCATAAGGAAAACATTATCACTATGGGAAGTACCAGTACCAAATGTATTGACTAGTCAGAATGTGGATGAAAAATCTAAACTATTTCCACCCTGCATGGTAAATTTGCATAAACAGCTACGAACAAGGCACAGACTTTCTCATGAGCAGAGATTTAATTATAGCCTCTTTCTCAAAGACAGTGGAATGCCATTGAATGAGTCAATATTGTTTTGGAAGGCAGAATATTCTTCATCACCAAATGGTCATAGTTGTAGTCACAATTGGGCGAAAGATGAAAAGAAATTCTTGTATGGCATACGACATATGTATGGATTAGAAGGTGGTCGAAAAAATTATTCATGTAGAAGCTGCCATCAGATTCAAGGTATAGAAAATGCATCATCCGAAGGAGGATGTCCTTTCAAATCTTTTCATGAGGCTCAATTAAAGGAATTATTACATAGTAGTCAAACTGGACCACCCTTGTCTGAAATAAATGACCTTATAGAAAAAAAACAGTACACAAAAGCATGCCTAACTTTCTTGCAAATTGGTCACAAAGATGTTATAGACTGTAATAAAGTTAATTTAAATTTTACACCTGTTAAGTTTTATACGTTAAAAAATAAATAATATACAACATATCTGGCCATTTTATTTGGGTAACAAAATAGAAACAGTCTCCCCACGGCTACTGCAAAGCAATTAAAACTTCGGGCCGTAGTTATAATAATTTTCAAATAAGTTTAACTACTATATTTCACGTTTTAAACCGTTAAAGCGTTTTATTCAAATGTGAAGTACTCGCGTAAGTATTTAAAATAGAAAAAGTTAGTTCAGAACGGCATGTTCATGTCTCGACCGTTCGTCAGGTCTTTTCACTGCAATTCGATAATCCTTACTAATATTATAAATGCGAAAGTAACTCTAATTGTCTGTCTGTCTGTTACTCATTCACGCCAAAACTACTACAGATTTGAATGAAATTTGGTACACAGATGGCCTAGACCCTGAGAAAAAACATAGCCCATAGGCTACTTTTTATTGCGAAAAGGGGGTGAAAGTTTGTATGGAAATTCGTGGTTTTTGAAGCTAGAACAATGAAACTTTTTTCTTTGGCTTTTTGGGAATAGGAGTGGGAGTTAGATTAGGAGTGATGTGAGATGAAAGTTTTGCGGCAAAGTAAAAAAAGTAAAACAAAGATTGTCTGCGATAAATGCGCATTACATAAATTAATAAACAGCCTAAAAAATTAAAGTCGCGGGCACAGCTAGTTTAAAATACAAATAATTTAAAAAGATATCATAAGATCTCATATTTTCCAAACAAATACTTAAATATAACAATTGTTTGTCGGAAAATTAATAGAAAATAAGGCATTGAATCTTTATGAGGTCGGAAAAAACAATAAAATATTTGTATAAACAATTTTTAATAAATCCGGCAACAACAGTTCTAAACCCCAAATATCTTAATATTATGCTCGATTTTTATAAGATTTTGCTCCATAAAACACAATCGGTATTTACGGAAGTCGATGTTATCTGTTTCTCTTGACATTGACACATCTCGGATTCCTTACTTTATTCTATGTCAAAATTAAAAAAGTGGCTTGTGACTTGTTTCATTAAGCGCTTGTTTGTTAAATTATTTTTAAAAAGAACTCCCAATCAATATACCTAATATCGTACAGATTTAATAGTGTTTTACGCGAGTGGGACTAGCTGCTATAGTTAAATCATTTTAATCGAGAATGGAATGTGCGTTGTTTGTTTGACGAATTCCTTGTACGGGAGGAATCCTAAATAGACTTTTGATGTCGGGGCCGTGTATAAAAATAACATTGGTTCGTCGCGACCGGTCTGGCGGCAGTGATTCCTGTACCATACGTCATAATGGCTATTAAGATTATACTTCGCGTTTCTCTGGTTGTCTTGGGTGAGTACCAAGAAGGAAACTTCTAAAAAACAGTCGACTCTACTAACTTGTTTATCACGAACACTGTTGTTATAAAAAAAATTCAAACTGTGTACGTAAATGATTATACAAGTGTTTTTACAGTGTGTTAGATCTGATCTGAGTGAAATATTTAAATATAATATTTGGGTCACTTGAATATTAAATTTAGAATACACATAACCACAGGATTATTAGTCATGAATCTATCCTTATAGTTACAGTACAAAATGTGGTTATAGAACCATAAATAACTATTACTTATTCTGTGAGTGATTTGAATTTATTTATTACATTAGTATGATAATAAATTATTTTAATTTCTATTTACTTTTACTAAACTTTGTTTATTACTTAGGTGAGATTTAAATTAGATGAACACAAAATTATTAACTTTGACACATAAGTAGTTCATTATATATAATAAAAAAATCCATTATAGGCATATATGCGGCACCACCAGTTGATGAAAACCTTCCACCCAGACCCAAAGAAGGGGGTGTGACAACACGTTTCTGTGAGTTCTACAATAACACTCTACCAGAACCTTGTGACAGAACAAAAAATGAGACATGCATACCAAACATTGTCAAAGAAGAATGTCAGCCGCTTGAAGCTGATAAAAGCAACCATTGCTTCACTTTATGGCAGTTTGATAACACCACCAACACAGCCACCGTAAAAGTCAAAGGATGCTTTCTCGACACAGTCGCTTGCAATGATAGATCATCAAACTGCCGTTTGCACAACATGAAATTACCATTACTACACTGCTGCTGTGAGGGTGATATGTGCAATGAGAACGCAACATATCCAGGCTTAGAAGCCAGCATACAAACAGAGATGCCACCAGAAAGAGTACCTGCCTCTCCTGTACCAACACCTGATGATGACACAACTAGAGTGGTAGCATACACACTTACACCATTATTTGTGTTGTTTGCGGTCTTTGTCGGATGTTATCTATTATATAGGAAACGTAAAGGTGGCTCATTTGCTGAATTAGCAAGCGGAGAAGCATCATTATCAAGACCTCCATCTGCAAATGCTGGTATGGAAAATGATGGAGCCAGTTTGCAAGGTCAAGTGACACTATGTGAAGTTAGAGCCAGAGGTCGCTTTGGTGCAGTATGGAGAGCTAAGCTTGGTCAACGTGATGTGGCTGTCAAAGTTTTTCCACTGCAAGATAAACAGTCATGGTTGGCTGAACAAGAAATATATAGGTTACCTAGAATGGACCATCCAGATATTTTACACTATATTGGTGTTGATAGGACTGGAGATAACTTGCAGGCGGAGTATTGGCTTGTCACTGAGTATCACGAGAAGGTAAGAATATAAATAAATTTAATTTAAATAGGAGCTTAAGCAACAAGTTTAGTAAAGTTTTTATCCATAGCAACTAAAAAACAATCACTAATATTTTAACATTTATAGCTTTAAAAAACTAGATGTATTATTACAGAAATCAATCACTTGAATATTAAGTCTTGATACATGTAAAAATAAAAATCTGAACAATATTTGTACTCATTATTTTAAAAGGTAATTCAATATTATTTAAAATTGTTTCTTGACTTGATCTTTGATTGACTTTAAATTATAGTTTAAAAAATTGCAATTACCTAAATTAAACGATGTTACGCAATTCTTCCTTCTAATGAAATTATTATAGACACCTTACCCTAGTATGGAGTATTTTCGAGTTTAAACCTCAATACTTTGATGTCTGTGTTTTAATTAAATCGCCCAATCCTTTTTAGGGATCGCTTTGCGATTATTTAAAGGCACATACATTCACATGGGCCGAAGCGTGGCGTATAGCGGCGTGCGTGGCCAGAGGTCTTGCGCATCTGCACGAAGAAGGAGGCGGAAAACCAGCTATAGCCCACAGAGACTTCAAATCCAAGAACGTCCTCCTCAAGTCGGATTTAAGCGCTTGCATCGCTGACTTTGGCCTCGCGTTGATCTTTGTATCCGGTCATGGATGCGGCGATGCGCATGGCCAAGTCGGTACCAGAAGATATATGGCGCCGGAAGTGCTTGACGGGGCCATTAACTTCACAAAGGACGCGTTCCTAAGGATAGATATGTACGCTTGTGCTCTGGTGCTATGGGAAATCGCTTCACGGTGAGTTAATTTTATTGTTTTAGTGCATGCGTCTTAAGATCGTGCAAACGTACGGTATTACGTATATACCTATATGTACTTTGCATACCGGCTGCATAAATCTATGGTTAGCTGCTGGATTCGGATCTCAGGAAAAGAACATATAGTTTCAGCCAGATGTGGCACATAAACCTTAGCGACTGTTTGCCTATAAATAAAATTGATCAATTATCAAATGAAAAAATTAAGATGTATTACGTATATGTCAGATTCGTAGCTATGTTGCTTGTAATGTTTTTCTTTTTTAAAACTGGTCCAATGAAAGAGAAAATATTGTTTTCTCACTTAAATCAATACCATTTGCTGATTTTTTTAAACAGATGTGAACAAGGCGGAAATGACCCAACGGCGCAATATCGGCTGCCCCTCGAAGAGGAAGTAGGTTCGCATCCCGGTCTCGAAGAGATGCAAGAAACGGTCGTCCAACGAAAGATGAGGCCACACATACAGCCGCAGTGGAGAGACCACCCTGTAAGTTTTTTTATTGGAAATGATAGTTTTTATTTGTATGAGTAAACTTCTATTCACACACAATTTATCGCCTCTCCAAATTTTATAAATGAATAGTTAGTCGAACATACATAATTTGTTTATTATTGTCCCCTCAAGGGTACAATTGTTGACAGACTGTTTGTTTCAATGAACGGCTAATAATAGTCAACAAGATCTATCTAAATCAATTCATAATTATTTTTTTATTATTTCACGGCTATTTTGATAATTTCTAAACATGCAGTGAAGAAAAAGATAATAGTTTACCATCCACTAAGTGAAGCATGGAGGCATGTGCGTCCTTTTCTATTGTAATAAAAAATGTGTTAATCGGTAGCAGTTCTAGGTTTGAATTCGGGAGTATAGAGTATTACACACATAGATTAATAAAATTACACGTTTGTTATAACAGAATAAATCTAAATATCAAATGTTGCCTAACAAATTTATAAGTAACCAGATTTATTTTGTTGAGACCGCGACGGCTATAACTCTATAAAACTCACATCCCAAGGATTCCGTCAAATTTCTCGATTATCCGTACTCTATAAATAAAAAACAGACGTCGATTTTCAATAGCTCGCAATAGACGAAACTGAAAATAATTTTAGTGCTGTAACGAAAGAGACCTATGACATGACCCATTTACCCAATCTATTGTTGTCTAACACTAGCCGACTTTGACTTATGATAGTCGATTTTACTATTTCTGGACACTGGACTCCAATATATAGATTGTCTTTGTTTGTCGTTTCGTTTTCAGTTTATTAGTGCTCAATAGCCAAAGGTTAAAAATAGTCCGACTTGCACTTGACTGATTTTATAAACCTGAATAATTTTAAACTGTTTAATAAAAAAAGAATAATTACAACTACGATTAGGGCCGGGAAACTTAAGTACTATGAAGTCGATCATCTTTGATTTAATTTAAATTATTTTTCTCTGTGTAAGCTCTGCCTGCCTGTGTCTTCTCTGGCCAGTTGGTGTAGTAGTAGCAAAAGTATGGCTAATAATCAACGAGTCGTGGGCCCGATCCCCTTCATGACCAACATGTTTCAACATGTTTCGTCTAGAATCTGTTGCAACACAATGGTAGTTGAAACGAAATTCCATGTGGGTCACGAACGAGCCTGGTTTAAGCGTTAAAGTTTGAGATTTCCGAATTACAAACTCTTATGGGAAATTAATAACTGCTCTATTTTAATCCAGGGTCTCTCGGTGCTCTGCGACACGATGGAAGAATGTTGGGACCACGACGCCGAAGCTCGGCTGTCGGCCTCCTGCGTTCTAGAACGCATCGCAGCGCAGCGCCCCACCACCAACCGACCACCATCGACCCCCGACACGACCCCCTTACTGATACACGAACTGAACGATCCCCAGCCCTGCTGACCGCTGCTTAACGACGAGGTTCCGTTAATACTACTTTGATTTACATTAATATTGCGATTGTTTGTCTGTCCGACATTACCGACAGACCAGATAAATATAATTAAAAAACAATAACATACACATGAGCATATTATATGCGTCGGCAAATGACCCAGTTTAATTTTTAATAAACGCAATAAAATAAATATTATCGCGCGAAAAGTACAATACCACGTTTATATTATGAGTCTTAAAGCAGAAAAACGTAATAAGAATAGTTTATATGTTGAAAATTTAAATTTATTAAAAACTGTTAGCGAACATATTCATTTTCTACTTCCCTATATGTCTTTCAATATTGCGAACGCAGAGCTACGTAATTGTATTATTGTACAGTTCAAAAGTACAGCTTCCTTCATAATATGTACATAGGAAATTGGTTCTTTGTCTTGAATATTTCGACGCGTAGCTGGAATGATATCACTTATATAGATTATACTGTTTGGCAATAGTTAACGAAAAGAAGCAGAGATAATAATCGATTAATCAAACTTTTTTTCTAGTCGTAATTGTCTATGGCTCGCGGCCATAGCGGGAATGGGGAAATTTAAGAAAAAATATTGGCTTTTGCAAAGTATTATTTTTATTGTGAATATATGAAAACCGAAATCGTGTACAAAGGATTTATTTTTTAGTGCATTTTACATTTTTAATCATTTTATTAGATTATTTTTTAGCCATTATTATTATAAGTTTGATGTAAGTATAATTAATTTTTAACTGTCCTCTATACTAACAACTAAAAAGTCTTCGAGGTATTTTATTGAATAAATATATTGGGGATGCCCCGATTCAATGAGAACTTTCTTTTAAAATAGTGTTTTCTAAATATTAAATATAATATGTTGTTACGCCTATCAAAATGTCATGGCAGTGTTGCCTTTCAGAAGATCGAAAACATAATATCTGTGGGTTTAACAACGTAATCTATGCTTCCGCAGCTACATATAGTTTTAGGGCTTCTTTCTTCTTAAGCATACTGGGGGTTCCTTACGAGACAATAATTCCACCAACTTCTTGCCTAATCAAGGGATCCCGCACATAGAAAGACTGTAATTCTTTTTAATTTTTTTGGCGTTTACTTAGATACGTTTCAACATTTGCCATATTGCCTAGTCTTAAAAAATAAAAAAAAATAACTTGCATATTAGGATGAACTTTATCAGTAAAACGGACACACCTCTACCTATCTTAACATCATCTATCCTAACAGCATCAGGCAATCTGCACGTCAACTTTTGTTGAAGTGCTTGAATATTTTGACCTCATATAAAACCTAATTTAAGTTGAAGTTTCACCGTTTTTAGATCGAAAATAACAACAAATACTTAGTGTCTTTTGCATTCTGTGCCTTTTACGTTGTATAGATTATACACGTTGTTTTCATTGTTTTTATTAGCGAATTGTTGTTTTTATCTGAATTTAGCGTTGCCTATTGTTTTAGTACAATCTGTACAGAAAGTTGATTGTTAAAGAAAATCGCTTACTATAAACTATTATTATTATTATCAAATCAGAATCTTTTTATAAATTCTTGCATACACATACATATTTCATATCCTTTTTTATAATAGAAAAGAACTCAAACAGTTACTCAAATTTAAATAATACATTTTCCAGTTCGTAGTATGCGATCTTCTGTATGTGATGTAAATTGTAAATTAAAATGTTTTACCAACGATTCAAAACGCAAATAAAAAATGGCCGTCTCTTTTACTTTGCTTATAGCGAGAGAGATAGAAATACTATGAAAAGCAAATTGTGATCGAGGCATATGTTTGTAATATCAGTATGGGTTACCAGACTATTTGGTTTCCTAAGCCATACGCATATCACCGTACATAGACTAAGTGAAATTGCCAAATGTAAATATTTTAATTATAGGATAGCTTTAGGTTTTGATAATGTACAGTGCTCTGCAAACTTTTGGTCGGGCTGAAGTTAGCGCGGACGATTGCGCAGAACTCAAAAAAGCAGGTATCAGTTGCGACCCAGAGGGTGCGCGGGTGCGGGTGTCGGTTTTTTGCTTAAAATTGATAGTATCATGCGCAAGATGGCGGTCGCGCTAACTTCAGCCCGGCCAAAACGTCTGGAGAGAACTGTACTAAATGTCATCGATGAAATGACTATGGTTCAGTATAATTGAATAAAAATCTGAAAAAAGAAACAAAGATAGAAACGAATATCGAAACATTCTAAAACAAAATCTATGCTACTTAAGCATAAGGTTCAAATTTGTTTACACATTTCGGAAACACTGAGAAAGAAACATCAGCTGATCTTTTGCTAGACGTTCGTTATATTTAGTTTTTATTTCTCTAAAGACAGGTTATTTTTAAGACTATTTGTTTATATTTAAAAACAATAAATGATCTTTTTAACTATATTCAAAGGCCTACACTTGTGAGTCACAATTCCTATTTTGTAAAATATAGCTGTACATTAAGTGCTCAGTTTTATTTTTATATTATAGGCTAAGTGTTCACACATCTAGTGTAATGGTTCATAGATTTTTCTCTAGTATAGATATAATGAGAGATTTAATTATAGAAATGTACGTAAAACAGGTTATGTCCAACAGGACAACTTTTGGAGGTAAAGTCGTAAGATGGTAAATACAGATTGTAAACTAACGAACGTATTAAATCTATTTAGATTGAGAAAAAATAACGACACGGGCAGAAATTGAACCGGCACCCACAGCGTCCCGTGCTGCTGCTCTAACCAATTTAGCTACCGTGTCCTACACGTCATCGTAGAATTTCTTCAACACTACAGGTGCATACCTGTAGCGCAATGTAGATGGCGTTATTTTTTCAGTCCATATAGAATGGCATCATGTAAAAAAATATTCATGCTTTCAACTAACGAACGAGTTTATAAATAAATTGTTTAGACTTTTGCGGCCGAAGTGGAAATTTCAACTAATTAAAATAATATTTTTCGATAGATTACAATCCTAAACGAAAACATCTTTGCGATCTTATGGTGTATTAGTTTCTATAGGTAACTAATATTCTCTTAACGTCTATAGTTAAACCTCTGTTAATTCAAGTAGTCATTTGTGACGTCAACGATGTGTATCATATTGTATTTTTTATTTTTAAATCATGAATGTCTGTTGAGAATTGATGTATTAAAATTTATTTTCTAGATAGTTGTATATCTTTTTAACCCTTTTCCTTTATAACTAATTATTTCCAACAATTATAATAGAAATAAATGTTTCGACAATGTACAAAATATAATCTGAAATACCATTGTGTCTTCTAAAAAATAAGAAATTGCTTTTATTGAGGATATCACTATTTGAATAAATATTTATTGAAGTTAGGTTTAGGAAAACTTTTTAAGTTAAATTCCTAGGATTATTTCTATACAGATTAGTATTAACCTAATTATGAATCTCGGTTGATCTCAGGTCTTCTCTCTGAATTAATTTGCTATTAACTCGGTCTGACACTTTTGTCAGTCTTGCTTGACCAACCAATTTCTTTGCCACCTATTAAACTTGCTAAACAAATGTTTTTGGTAAGTACATAATTTGTTCAGAATGTAAAATATACGTGAATTTAAAAATCGAAAATAAATTGAAAAAATTTTCTACTCGGCAGGACTTGAACCGGCATCGTCAGCTTTCCGTGCTGTTGCTGTACCAATTGAGGTACCAAGTCCGATATATGTGAATTATTGATCATTTATTAGCATTATACAGATAGTAGTTTAGAAGGAAATAATTTGATATTTTTACATTGCGCATCGCAAAACGATTGCGTTTATGCAAATATAGGAATGAAATATAGGATTCGGGAGTAGATACATAAAAAATATTTAAAGTATGAAAATTCTGATTTATTATCTGTATAGCAGTTCTTTTCACTGTACAAGTTGTCAGTTGGGTATGGCAACATCTCACATTCTGCATTTCTATCTGAACACTTTATGTACACTAACTGTGAGAATACTCGGTGTTCTTGGGGTACATGCCTCACTCAATTTTACATTGGGACAGGTTACATTCAACTAGACCAGAGCATAGTCGTCAAAGGAGACATTTTGTGCTATATGTCATAATTTGATCATTATCTATACATTTACACTCTTTACAAAATTATAACTTCATAACGGTAATAGAATAAACGAGACTAAAAAAAATTACATAAAATTTAGATCGACTATAAAAAAGGCATGCATAGGTTTCATCCACAACCGTTAGTTGCAATGTTAGAGGAATCGGCAAGGCTTCCTTGGTAGACACAAAATTTCACGTTAGGAGGGTAGTTCGAGTGTCGTAAAATTGAGTGAGCTGATGGCAACGCTACGTCGAGCGTTCGCCGTTGTCCGTAGTGGGCGGATCTGGAGCCCTGGAAGCGGTGGCGCGCATACAGTCGCCATGCACCTTATACTCGATCGGCATACTTGTGGGCAGCTGAAGAATCCTGCGCAGCGCATCGCGAACGCGACCCGCAGCTGCAACGTCTGAGGCTGTTCGATGCCAAACCGCTAAATGATCCTCCTAAAACAATGTTTTTCAGTTTAATCTGTTACAGAGGCAAAATGAAGGGTATTTATTATACTTTTTCTGTTATGTTTGTGATAGTAATTTACTTTTGTATCCATAAATATAGTCTTTTAAGAGTTAGAGGAGAAATATATAAATTATTAGTAAAAAAAATTGGTTTTCCTTTCAGATTGATGAAATGAAATTATATATGGCATATGGTTAATATAACCAAAATCAACTGAAACATTAACCAAACTCATAAAAGGTTACACACCTGGAAGCGTACAGACAGCACAACACCGCATAACTCAGGCCCAACCATGAATTGTTCCCCGAGCATTGCCATACAGAGGTCTTCCCAAGCTCGCTCCGTCTGCGATTTTTTCAATCGCACAACCTAAAATTATAAATGTGCAAATTTAAAATAAATTAGAAGTTCTACAGCAAACATAATTATTCTTCCTCATAATCTCTGACATCTTACCCACTTCCCACCATTCACATTACTCGGATCTTCCCACATGGGTTTTATGCCAAGTTTGAACAAATGTAAGTCAGAGAGCGGAGGGAGTTCATAGGGCCTTGACAAATGTGTGTAGAGGCCCCACCATTGCTCAACCGACCCTATGCATCCCACCATACGAAGAGCCTGGGAAAAGAAGACTTTTTTATTAAACTGTTTCACTCAGAACTCATTTATGGCTTTAGAGGGCTTTTTATTTAACAAAGGCATTAGTAAAAAATGGTTTTTTAGAACGGTCATGTATCACAGTGCATATTTAACATTTTAGAAAAGGACAGCACAACAACTGGTTTTGTAAAATTAAATATGTATGACAGATATCACATATTCAACTTTTATAAGTTATAATGTTGGTAATTAATTAATCTTTGTTAGTATTATAACCTGGATTCAAAATCTGGGAAAACATAAAAGATTTGGCGAGGCAGGGTAGTATGATCAACTTGTAAAAAATCTATCAATGAAACATGTGCTAACACAAAAAAATGTCTACTAACTGATATAATTAACATTTTAATTAATCTACTATCTGTTAAAAACTAATGTTTTCCATTGATAAAAAATTAGTTTGTCTTTAATATATAAACAGTAGCAGTAATGTAGTTTATACATAAAAGGTTTGTTTACTACAAAAATATTTAATAATCTCATAACTTATAAGACGCAAGTGCAGTTTCATATGTCCCAAAAACTTGGGAGAAACTTTAGAACTCTAATCCTTATGTAAAATCTATTTTTGGACAGCTAACCTGCCTATAGCCACTGGTAGTCGACGACAGTTCTCTGGCGGGCGGCCGACGCGAGAACCACATCCAGTAACTATACTCCAATTTGTGCTCATGTGGAGGCACGTAAGGCGCCAAGGGGTCCTCGGTGTGCCTGTCGTCCTCCTCGTTTCCCCCATGGTTTTGAAGTCCAGTATCACCGCTACGTCGTTCGGGCACATTCAAGTTATAGAATTTACACATTTTCCTTTCAGTCATGTTACGCCAGCAATAACATGATTCCTCTAACGGCCTAACCTAGGACACGTTCTGCCGTTTCAGTACGCTAGAACAGGTACGCAGTGTTCTTCTGTATTTACAAATATAACCGGCGCAGGGATAGATATAATTAAACTAGCTTAATACTTATTAATTCAATTCAGTATATTTTCTACTAATTTAATTCAGCCTATTTCCTCTTTTTCTGTTTATAACCCGTTATAACCTTCTTCTTTCCGTCATCAAATGCACAATCAAACGATCAAATTAAATCTGTCAAACGTAAAAGTGAAGTTTGTATAAGTGAAAGCTCGACCACAACACTGGGTTTTGTGTCTTACTATAATTATAGCCATTAGTAAATCAGATGAATAGAAAAACATTTTGCCAACTGAAACAAAATTTAAATTTCAAAGTAAATAAAAAAAAATATTATTTAATGATAAATTACTTTTCCATTAAATAAAGATAACACTGTCAAGTAATATTATCTGTAACTATCGTTAATCTGTAGTTATAGTTAACTGTCACATTACAAATGACAATGTACAAAAGAGCGTTGAAGCGCGATAAAACAAAATGTTATTTTGAATATCAATTACAAAATATTGTAAATATATGTAAAATATATAAATTTTAATTATTTTGAGCCATAATTAGGAGTAAGTGGAGAACTGTGTATTTTTATTGAAGAAGAAGAAGGAATAGCAGCATTATTTTATAAAGACATGGCTAAAGCAGAGTCTTGTACAAGAAATAGTGTGGAATGCCTAAATGTTGACTTCATGCGGTCACTAGTAAAACAATACTCAGAACTGGTAATGAAAAGAAAAATTTTTAGACAACCTAATCATTAATTCAAAATATATCTCATTTTAACATGTCTAATTTATGTTCTAATGGAAAGTATAGTATAGTGTATAATAATACACTTAAGACTTACTTTTTAAGCTAAAACCATACCTATTCTTTTTACCCTTTTGTTTTGCTTATATTCAAAATATTCTTCAGGGACAGTGGAGCAGTGCATTCTTTTGGGCAGACGCTGCAGCCGCATCCAGTGGTTCAGAAGTGCCCAGTGGAGACGACATTTGGTTACTTGCAAGCACAATGCTCGCTAAGGGTGAGCTACACAGGGCAGCTCATGCAGTGACCTCCAGAGGACTTCATACGTATGTTATTTAGTTATGCTGTGCATTCAAATATCATAAGCCATTGTTCTGTGCTGTTGCTTCCCGAGCTGAATCGGTAGCCCAATTGGTAAAGCAACAGCACGAAGGCTAAAGCATGGTTCAAGTCCTGCCTAAGTGGAAATTTATTTTTGATTTTCATTTATATTATGCCATCATGTGCAATAATAAAGTTTTCAATTATCATTCAAATTCAATTATCAAAACTCCCTCTTATTTAAAAGAGATATTCATCCTTTTAAGTTCCCATCAGTTAAATCTTTGTTTGATCGATAATCTCCTTTTATTTATTCCCAAACATAAAAGCTCTTTCTTCAATAATTCTGTCACAGTTAAAGCTATCCGTCTTTCAAATCTATCTATATATCTCTCTTCCCACTAATAGCAGAAAAGCTTAATCACTCCGTTCTTTTAAAAGTTTGCTATATTGGAAAGGTAAAATTGATAGTTCCAATATTTAAGTTTCTCACCTACTCGTTGTGTGTACTTTCACTATGTACCATTAATATTCTTTGTTATTCCTTACACCTACCCACTAAATACATTATTTTCTATTTCTTTTCTCCTGTACTTCAGGTTGCCTGGTAGAGATTGCTACTTAGTGATAAGGCAGCCTTTATTTATTTATAAGTTAGCATGTACAATTTTTCCTCATTAATATGTATTTTCTGTGACTAAAATCCGGAGAAATAAATAATTTATCTTCTAGCTGTAAAAGACATTTGTAAGCTTAAATTATTATTAAAAAGTTTTGAATAGAAATAAAATTTATTTCGTTGAATAATGGCATGGCAAATGATAAGTATACATGCTCATAAAATAATATACAAATATTTTCCATATTCTACAATATGATACGTTAGTTATTATTGCTCTTAATACGATGTAAGCAAAATATAGTTTATTTATTTACATAAATAAACTATATTTTCGCATTAAGAGCAATAATAAACTGATATTTTCAGGAATCATTTGCTGTGTCTAGGCGTAGCTATGCGAGCCTACATAACAGCAAAGGAACCAGAAACAGCTCTTACGCTGATGGATGAATGCTATCCTCCACTCCTTGAGCCTAAAAACATGGACCAAACACACAATGTTAGTATTAATTTATTTTATTCCAATAAAAGCTCAATCTATCCATAATTTCGAAACCTCTTTCTTTTTCTAGTTCTTAATTGCCTACCTTTTGCGCGATCTTCTCTAGCACCACCTACCTATAATAGTCCTTTTATTTTTTTTTGTTTTCCCTTCACATCTGATTGCCTGAAAGGGATAGCTGTTCAGCAAGAAGTTATTCGTAAGCTAGTTCAAAAGTTTTTATTGTTGTAAACTATTCCTGTGGGGTTTATAAATAATAAAATTTAATCAAGTAATAAATATATATGGCTGTTCTAATAAGTGCTTAGCTATTCAATAATATTAAAATCTGTTTATTATCTTATCTTTTATGCTTATTACGTTACAGCGTGCCCTAGCGGGTGTACAAGTGTGGCAATCAAAAGCCCTTGCTCTACAAGGAAGACGTGAGGCAGCTATAGAGGCACTCACGTCTGCGTTAAGGGCAGATGTCGCCTGCTACGAAGCTTTGGATCTGCTGCTAGAACAACACGCACTCACCCCTAGTCAAGGTATCAACTATCACTTAAATGACAGTTAACTATAACTTCAGATGCACCTGAAGACTACTATGATAAATTCCTTTACCTGTAGGATGGCAATGTTATCTTTTAGTCTCACGGATTTAACTTATTATTTATTGAAAGTATCTTAGGCAATAATAAAAATAATTGAGTGTTTTGAAGTCTTACTAACGTGGTCCCAAGGCTCCCTCAATAGCACCACAATTTAGTATTTTTATTAAAGAAGAGAAAGGCTTATTTAAGCTGAGCTGCTCACACTTCTAGTTGTGTAATATACAACATATCAGTGTCTCCAATAATTACTTATTGGAGACACCGATAGAAGGCTTGGTGATCAGTCCCAATTAATCCAAGTGAAAAGTCCCAATTGGGTCAAAATATATCTTGACCCAATTCCCAATTCTCTGGTATGGTTGGTACTACCAGCTTGTTCACAGAGCGTGTAGTACAATTTCCCACATTCCCTGAATGTGTTTATCCATTGATAAAGTATATATATAATCTATGATAGTAATAAGTGATTACATGATTCCAGAAAGTGATCTAATAGAATCTCTGCCCATCAATAACCAGTTAAATGCGGCTGAAGCGGCCCTTTTGCGGGTCGCGTATAGGGAGAGGCTTTTACGCTACGCACCGTTACGCACATTGTCGACTGATAACGAGAATACTGTGAGTAACGTGGAAATTCCACAGCTGGTTTAGCGAACAACCACATGCATATACTTATAGATTGTGCTTTAGTTGTGCCCTTAAGGAAGTAATATAAATTCTCATTAAAAATAAATTTGTAACTAAATTTAAAAATGATAAATCCTAATGTCTGCCTTGTAACTACTAGCATTGAAGTGTAACTGTGTTTCTACTGTATGGTTTTCTATTTTAATGGTGCATAAGAACTAATACTAGTTATGGTAAAATCCCGTTTTCCCCTATGGGTGATGGGGCCTACACATTTCTGTGTCTCTTTCACTCATCAGTTTTACTTGCAAGTGATTGAACTTCTCTGCTCTGCCCAACTGAAATAAATACTAGGATTCGAACCCAGGATTCGAATGCCATGTAACACGTTTAACCATTGAGCTACAGCGGCTATCTTACTACTATAATCAGTCTTAATACTCGTTAAGTAATGCTGGATAAAGAGTTGTATTATATATAACGGCTCGTGGTCGATCCCTACCAGTTCGAGTTTCTAAACAATGTATAATTGTGTGTAACATGTTAAACTTTGTCTAGACATATATTAAATGGTAGGATTATCGTAATTCCGTCCGGGTCACGAATCGCCGTCCGCAGATAAAAAGCCGTCAAGTTGAATCTCGGTTTCGGCCTGTGCATTTCCGAATATCTAATTCCGAACATCTTGTTGAGATGTTATTTCACCTTCAAGTGACTTCCATGCTTGTCTCTCCTCCTCTAACATAGAAAATACATAATATTAATGTACCGTCTTTCCCCAGTCGCGAACTGCGGTAGACATAGCTCGTTCGTGCAGCATAACAGGCGCAGAAGCGAAAGGACGAAGGTTGGCAGCCGCCGGTGAATGGACAGCCGCCCTGAAAGCCCTCGACGAAGCGGGGCCGTGGTCCTGTCCGGATGTGAGAACAGCGTGTCTCGTGGAACTGAAGAAGTCACCAGATTTGTTCACGTTTGCGCACTGCCTCATCGATGCCTACCCTCAAAATTGGACTTCGTGGTATGCCGTTGGGTGCTATTACTATCTTATCGGTGAGTTTTTTACCAGTCATACAATAACTTCGGCTTCGGTAATGATTTTTCATCAGAATTTAAAGTTTATCTGAAGGTTCCAACAAAACATCGTAAAATCGATGATTTGCGTGAACAAAATAGTTTGTTTGTTGCATTATCCTTCTCTGCGTTTTAAACCGTTAAAGTGTTTTATTTAAATTTAACTGTTGATATATTGTGTATTAATTGAACTGCTTATAAATGGTCTTATTTTGAATTTAATAACTTGAATATCAAATTGCAGGCAACTTCGAGTTCACTCGTCGATATCTAAGCAAAGCATGTTCGATACCCGAGAGTGGGGGTTGTGTGTGGCTCGCGTACGGACACAGTTTTGCAGCTAACGGCGAGCACAACGAAGCTATGGCTGCTTACATTAAGGTGTGTATAAGACTTAATTTTTATTTAAACATTCATATGTATTTATGCACCTAACTATTCAAACTAAAAACAAATGTAATAATAAAACACTATTGCACAAACAATTAAAATACAGGTATGGTAATACCAAATTAATTGTTTACGTTTAAGAGTGAATGCAAAGGCCCTATGGCGATTTCTTCCAGGCAACCTTTGTATATAGAAAAGGAAAACAAATTAACAATAACAGAGTAAAAGTCAACAAAATTTATTAATTCGTTCTGAATAAATGTGTTGTAGGCACATCAGCTGATGCCGGGAAGCTACCTCCCGCTCCTGTACGCGGGCGTCGAATGTTCGCTTCTAAACAACATCAACATGTGCGAAGGATTTATGACAAAGGCGGCCATCTTGCATAGTAACGCCGAAGTGAGTGAAACTACCCTCTTGAATATTTAGGACAGAGGTTTAATTATTTTATTTAAGTATAGTCCCGTATCCCTCATGTGGTAGACAACTGACTGACTTCTTAGTCCGCCCCTCCCGAAACACTTGTTTTTTCCCAGGACTCAAACTGTATATATAGTATCTCGTGCTTAAGACATGGCGTATTACAACCAAGCTGCATATGCATTAAAACAATTTTATTGTACTCTTTCTAATACCCGTACGAAAAGTTTAAGTCAAATTAAATATATAAATGTACTACGCTACTAATACGCTAATTTAAGTCATTGAAATATTTTATTTATTATATTTAAATTAATAAATTAAATTTCAGACGGGCCTCGAACCCAAAACGAGTCGTTGTTCTTTTAAATTCGACATTCTTTAAATTAAAAAGTTTTGCGACAAGGGCAGGTAAACCGGTAAACACAGCTTTCCGTGCTCCAATCAAATGAGCTACCGTTAGAAAGATTTTTAATTTACAGAATGCCAATATCATGTGAAAGATATTAAAGTTTTAGACATTTTTTAAAAACAGTTCATGTATATAGTAGTAGTAGTTTTCTATTCTTCAGTCAGCAGAGAACGTAGACGACTCGGATATAGAGAATTTGGGGCGTTGGGAGCGGGTGACCAAGGCAGTGGGCTCAGCGCATATAGCGCACGAAGCGGGAGCGGCGGCGTATGCGGCGGGGGACTACGAGGCGGCGAGGACATTGTGGCTTAGGGCTTTGCACTCTGCCGGACATATGAAGGAGGTATGCTTACATACCTATAGTATAGCATAAATTGAGTCACTTGAACTTTTATATATTTAAAAATATGGTCTTAAAGCTAGGGTATATAGAAAAAAAAACATTACTTATAATAACCAACGGGTCGTTGGTTTGGTTCCTATCGGGTCCATCGTTTTTCTATTCAATTTATGATTTATTGAAACGTCTAAAAGTCTGGATATCAAACACACATGAAAAACCACAGATGAAAAAGTTAAATTTAATCGCGTTTCGATTTCAGTCTGCGGCACATCTTGTCAGCATTTTATATGGAGGTATTATACCATGAAGTAAAGATTCTTGTCTGTATCATAAAAAAATATTGTTTTTTTCTCTAAGCAAAACCCGATGTGGGCAGCCACATTAGACGGATTGGGCCACGTCTCCAGAGTCCTAGGGCGGCCTACAGAAGCGCTCCGGTGGCACGAGAGGGCGTTAGCTTTGAGGCCAGCCAGGTCCGCCTCGCTCGCCGCTAAAGGTCTCTGCTTAGCGCTCTTGGGGAGAGAGACTGAAGCAGCGGACGCTTTGCACTCCGCGCTCGCCCGGGATCCGGATAACGTAGTGGCTATTGCGTTGCTGGATGCAATCATTGATAGGCTGGACGCAGCTTTGACGGGTAACACTGATTTCATAAATAAGTTTGAATCGTTTGAAAACATTAATATTTTTCACATGTTATTGCACATGAAGGCACTATATAATTTAAAAATCGAAAATAAGTTGAAAAAATTCGACGATGAGGTGTAGGACTCGGTAGCTCAATTGGTAGAGCAACAGCACGGAAAGCTGACGATGCCGGTTCAAGTCCTGCCCGAGTCGAAAATTGTTTCAATTTATTTTCGATTTTTAAATTAAGTTTGAATCGTTATCGTAAACTAAAACTGCTTGGAAATGAAATACTTTCTATAATTTACGCGAGTAGTACACAGTTAAATAAAACACTTTAACGGTTTAAAACGCGATTTATTAGTTTAACTTATTTGAAAATTATTTTTAACTTCGGCCCGACGTTTCGTCGTTCTCGAGTCTCCCCGTGACCACGAATGCTGCAAAGCATCCGAAATGTCGGGCCGAAGTTAAAAATCATTTTCAAATAAGTTAAACTAATATATCGCGTTTTAAACCGTTAAAGTATTTTATTTTAATGCTTGGAAATGGTTACTAATACAATAATGATGCTTGGGGTCTGGAGAAACCCGCTCTCTAACAAAAACTTGTTAGAGTGCCCTTAATACACGTGAAGACTCTAAAATGAAACTTGGCGATAAAAGTAGTGGCGGCGAGTTTTTTGCCAGTTCTTCTCGTTCGTTGTACGCCCTTGATTTGAGAAGTGGTAGTAAATGTAAAGCTTGATTCTTTAATTTTGTTACGTTCATAAGTGTTCATAGTTACCTACATAAATATATTATTTTTGACTTTGACTATCATTATTGACAAAGACTCTATATCGACCATACTCAAGTCACTAGTGTTGCTTCATATATCCATCCCTTGTAGATGTTAAATAAACTATCTAGTCATTTTGGTAAATGTAATAGATGGCAGCACTGCTACCATCATAATATATAACATCTCACATCGTCGTGCAAGTCGTTCGTCCGGTTTACAATATCCTCTTCCGTAACGTTTAGTGTCTGTATTGATTATAAATAAAATATGATAAATCCAAAGAAATAATTCATCGATAGTACCGCATCATGTCAGTACAGTGACACTCACAATAATAGAACTAATGGTACCTTAATTTTAAGATTTTCTCTCTGTTTTAGACTGTAATTTATTAATACTGTTCCAGATACAATGTTTGTTTTAAGCATGTAGTGCCTACCATAAATAGGATATGCAGATAGATTAAGATTAACTCTTTACTTTATTGCCATGTTTTCCTACTCTGGTATGGTTATACCCACAAAGGCCTTTATAATAAATTAATATAAATTTGTATGTATTTCGTCGATCTAAGCATACGGCATATGACACTTCTTTAATAAGAATTATTTTTTACAGAGGAAGAGCTACCCCAGTTCCCGTTCCCCGAAGTGAACATATCGCTCCCCGCTCCGGCGACCCCCGTAGACAACCCCGCAACTCCACACCAAAAAGCCCACGACGATACCAACATGTCGGATATGAGCATGAGTTTTGATTGATAAAGAACTATTATAAAAAATAATATAAGATTTTAATTTATTGCATTTTTATTGGAAAAAAAGCGCGACGATATATGACGGTAACTAATATATCGCGCGTTGAATCGCGCGATATATTAGTTACCTTTGTAACGCGCTACCTAAGATGGCGTGCTAGCCATAGAAGCTTATCTAAGCTCTGCTCCAGTCATAGTGTATAACAATTAAAGTCTTAATCCGCCACTGGGGGACAAATGGATCAACATGTCCGCTACAACTACGTGGAATGTGCCGAGATACATGTCGCGGAACATTTTGTCGACCACACTTCTCAGTGTTTATAGAAATGTCGCCCGAGGAGGTTGTGGCTGTGTTAGTGCTGCGTACATAGTAATTATATCGAGTGTGTTGAAACGTAAGAGAAAGAAGGTGGTGGATGCGGAATTTCTTATTACACTACTGACAAATGGCAGACTACACTCTGTGACAAATGGCGCAACACTGACGCGGGACACATGCGCTCGCTCTCGAGGCGGGAGCAAGCAACATGCCCCGCGTCACGTAAAATGTTGAGGGTCATTTTGCGAGACACTATACAACGTTGCAGCGTCACGTATATTTTGTGTTGCGCGTCATGTTGCGGGACAAAATGTTCCCTAGTGTATCCGGGGCTTTACACTAACTGTAACTACGACGCGACGTGACTGCGGCAGCGACATATTTGAAACGGGTCCCATGACAATGTTTTCCCATTATTTCTAACCCAAGTTGTTATGTCGTTATCAATTAACTATGAATTTCCCTGAGCGTAATAAAGTTTATAGTTAATACAGTTGAAGATGCAGATTAGTTTATGTTTGAACCGTTGCATGACGGCATTGTATAAAACAATCAGTGTTAAAATTGAAAATAGACTATGGGAGAGGGCGTGTATACGTATTTTTCTTAAATGACGTATATAGCAGTTTACAGTAAAAAAATACAAAATGGTTTTATTTATGATTTATTGATAATCACAATTTCGATACATCCGAGAGAAATCTTAAAATTTCCATAGCATAAAATCAACAGATTCTAAATATTTAAAATTACAACGCCATCTAACGGCCGAATAAAATCGGTTAAAATCTACCTTATATTCGGCAAAGCGTAAAGTTTGCAAAATAATGTATACATACGTAATAAATAATGAATCAGATTTTGTTTCCTATAAAATTGTATATAAATCTAATCACTAAATCAACAACTGACGCGCAAATAGATTAAGTTAAAATGCGCGTCTTATAAGTTAAAAGCGGATGCTGGCGAAGCGCCCAACTTAATAGCGGATCGCAACTTGGGGGTGGCCCTGGGGAGCCTAGGATAGGAATTTCGTGACTAGACCATGGTAGCACACATGGGGATAGTGTAGTGTGTAGATCTAACGGGACATATACTGGAAACCCCCAGCGCCACACAAAGTTCCATTTATTGTATCAACCACTCGGAGATTTCTTCAGTTGCGTGATCGCTGGTGCTCGCTCCACTTGTGAAGGGCGATGGAGTAGCTGTAAAAGAAACAAATACTGAATCCTATCCAAATATACAGGATATATGGTTAGAGCAACAGCACGGAACGCTATGAATGCCGGTTTAAGTCTTGCCAGCGTCGTAATTTTTTTTTAAATATTAAATCTATTATTTTGAATTGAAATCGAAAACACTGCGTATTAAAGTTATATATGTAAAGTTGTAAGTTATTTATAAATATTAGTATATTTAGTAATACTAACAAGCAATATCAACGCAAAAGCCTCCGTTTAAGCTGCTTTGGTCGCTCGGCGTCCGTCGCGTCCCGCAGTCGCTGTGCACCGACATGTTGCTGTTCCCGCTGTTCCCAGCGAGGCTGACCGGCAGCGGCTCGTTGGTCTTGAAGTTTCGCATGAGCGGTTTATGGTTGTGCTCGGACTCTGCGTGACGTCTTGCCCAACAGGAACGACAGTAATAGCTGAAATAACAAAATCTAAAAATTACGCTAGTGCCGAGGAACTTCATTTATCCTTTCTTCAAATTCAATTTGAACCCCTAACATTTTAAAACTAATGGGGCTTAGAAGAAAGCAATACTCCAGCCACAGAACATCTACCTAACCCGTTACCATAACGAGCGTTACATAACTTTTAAAAACTAAGATAGCGCCATCTGTGCTTAATGAAACGCGACTATAAAAAATGTAGACAGCTACTTACCTAAAGCAAATCGGACTGCGGCAGAAATAGGGCCCCTGCTGTAATTTGCACATGGAACACATCGAGTCCTCGAGGTAAGGGTCTATTTGAACCTGAAAATTAGATAATTTAAATTTTTAATTAGATAATTGGAAAGGAGATTTATTTTTTCAATTAGTAATACATTACTAATAATACAAACATTTCCTAGGACTAAACAAACTTAATTTTTAAATAAAACACTAACTGTTTAAAATGCGATATATTAGTTAAACTTATTTGGAAATGATTTTTAACTTCGGCCCGACGTTTCGGATGCTTTGCAGCGGCCGTGGTCACGGGGAGACTGCGTGTTAAGCTTTTATATCGCGTTTTAAACCGTTAAAGTGTTTTATTTAAATGTGTACTACTCGCGTAAACTATAGACAGTATTTAAACTAATTTTTAATTTATCTATCGATGGAACTATTTTTGAACCTTTATAGTAAGTTGCAAGTACTTCTATGACACAGTTCTACTTAATTATTTAATTGCTGTAGTTACACAGTTCGAGAAAAACTGTATTGAAACGGTTACGGCTACACATACCTTTTTAGTGAACTTGTCTGTCCGTATTTCGACAAAGCCCACGGACAGGGCACAAACGTACGAGTGCAAGTTGTTGAACGTCACGCGGCCAGAACCAATCGGGTACTTGTTTTTATCGGTGTCGATACCTGTAAATGTCAATACATTTTACTTGACTAGTACTACTATTCCAAACTCCCTAGTAGTAACTAGGAGTTTGGAATAAACCGAAAAACACTTTTTTCATCATATGCAATAACATGTGAAAAATACTAAAATTTTTAAACGTAACTATGCAATTTCATCGACGAATTAAAAAAAATAACGGCTAGGACTTCTACCGGCATTGTTAGCGTTTCGTGCTGTTACTCTAACCAATTGAATTATTGTTCTTTCATTTTTGTTGCAAGTAATAACTAGTATTTAAGTAAAGATGAAGCTTTAAGCAGTGCTTTGTTTTAACCAGTGTATAAAGTGTCAGATGTGGTCGGACTTACCGGCGTGCACGACGCCTTGAAAAAGATCATTCATGATCGTCGCCAGGGCCTCGGCAGATAACATCCCGTGTAACGCTCCCACGAACACGGTGCGAAAGGGGTCTAGTTTCGCAGAGCCTCCCACGACACAAATGCTATCCGCTATCGACCACGGTATAACTTCCACCTGGAATAAATTTAATTTAAAGGTTTTAAAATTTTCCGCAAAGTACAGAAGTTAAAAGATATATACAATAGTGATTAATTTTGGCACCGAACTAACACCTTATTACCTCGACAGAAAAATCTACACGAATTACTTAGCTGACCTGGCAAAAAAAAACGTTTGCAAGGTCATCGAAAGCAGACAATTTTTGCACCATTCCCCGCATTTGGAAAAACTGACAACGTGAGTTATGAACTTACCTCCTTCGACTTGGAGTTATTTGAAAACACACGAAAGTACCACGCGTTTCCATCCTTATGTGCAGCCTTCAATAGAGCCTTCACGCACAATTCGTTCTCAAATGTGACGTATACGAAACCACGTGGTCCTCCACGCAGCCCCCCATTGCCCCCAGAAAGCGAAGAGTTGCTACGACCGGGCCATTCTATGCTGTAGACAAAACTAAGCCATTCAACTAAGTGTATACACGATTTCCATAGTTTAATTAATCATAGGTTATTTTTATTCTTTTAAGTATGTATATGTAGATTATAAACTTATAAAAAAGGTCTATTAGACATTAGAAAGAGCTAAAGAAGTTCTTTTATATAGTTAAGGACAGATAAGTATTGGGTCCATCTACCATATATTACAACGATGCGCAGTCTGCCTATTTCTGCTTTTAAACAAAGAAATCAGTAAACTTGAAATCAGTAAACCAGACGACGGTGGTTCATGACGGCATTACTATTCATACCACCCAGCACAGCAGTTTGGTAAGACTTACCGAATCGGATTGAAGTTCCTAAGCAAATGCAGAAGTGCTTGTTCCGATGTGTCCCAGGGCAGACCACCCAAAAACACCTTCGACGAATACTGGCCCCCCTCTGATCGCGGGGGAAGTACACCGGACCATACCAGCGGAGCGGTTTTATTCTCGGCACCTGTCGCACCACCTGACGAACAAAAGCCGTTCATAAAATAAAACGCATCAGTAAAGCCATAAATGAAGCTTTATTTGATTTCGTATTCATAATCTTAAATGGTATATGGTATTATTTATAAGTTGTGGGCAAAGATCTTATAAATTATTAAAGGTTTTGTAGAGAGGCATAAATACTACACATATTATAGTTTATATAAGTAGTTAACCTAACTAACACTAATTGTTTAAAACGAGAAATATATAAGTCGGTTTAACTGTGATAAGGCGTTTAGTGTTTATAATGTTGGCCAATGTTATAATAATAATTATTGTTTATTTTTATATTTTTCTAGTTTCAATTATTTATTTTGAAATATAAATAAATACTTACAAAACGAGGCTCGGCGCGAAAGCTGCTGTTCCCTTCTATTTGTTCGTTCTGCACGAGTTTGAGTCCATTGCGTCTCCGTTACCTGGTCAAAAATTATTGTAACTATGAAAATTTTTCGTACCGAATATTTAAAAATGAAACTAAAAAACCAAAAAAAAAAAAATATATAAAAAAAAAACAGCTCATGAAATTCTAATATAAAACGCGATATAAATTAGTTAAACTTAAACTTAGGAGTTATTAGTACAAAATAGTGTATTTTAATATAAATCGTAAAGGTACGAAATTAGCCTCGTAGCCCGCTACGGTGTTACAATATATTCCTCGTAGCGCGCTACACCTACAAGCTACGGTGCTTCGTTCCGCGTAGCACACAGCTACGAACCATACCGTTTGCAAAGAGTCACAGCTTCTGCCTGTCACGACATCTGATGAACTCACTCTGGATGAAGGCATTGTCAGGGACTGTAAAAGGTTTTAGAATTTTAGCTAATTTCTAAAAAAAATTTGGTAAGAAAACCTTTTGGAATTTTAATATTATCACATTGATTATATTGTACAAGTCATTTATCAATGTTCTTAGATAAAAATATGACCTACGACTGCGGAACACTAGCAAGTTTTAAACAACTGTAGATAAGAAAATAAAACACTACCGGTCTCCCCGTGACCACGGCTGCTGCAAAGCATCCGAAATGTCGGGCCGTAGTTAAGAATGATTTTCAAACGAGGAACTAAACTATATCGCGTTTTAAACCGTTAAAGTGTTTTATTTAAATTTGTACTACTCGCGTAAACTACAGACAGTATTTAACTGTAAATATTACTTTTAAATTATTGTTAAGTACAACAATTAAAAGTTAAACATTAAAAGTAATTTTAAAGACTAAAACTGACTGACTGAGTCTCGCCAATTATAATACTTCCGTATATGACGAAATATATACAATTAAAGTAGCTGTATAAAAATTATTAAAATCCACATGGCAATATTTATAAAAATTAGGATAAAAGCTGCACTAAATTATTCAAGAACCAAGCCCTAATGGCGCGGAAGAAAATTATAAAGTTGCTAAAACGTCTCTGGAGACACGAGAATGTGTTGGGAGAGTTGGGAAGAGTGTGTGGGGGATAATGACACTTACCATACTAGCGACAAGATCTGTAATCCTATGGCCGGAAGGCTCAGCCCAACTGCCCCGGCGAGCCCGGTCGCTGCAACGAGATAGTTTCATTAATGTAAACATGCTATTTTACTTATAAGTAACGCCAAACCTGTTTTCGTTATTTTAAGAGGATAGAGTGGACTAGTGATGAAATTATGTGGTGTAGTAAATCAGGCGCATAGAACGGGTTTAGGTATCTTGAAGGGGTTATAAATAAATAACACGATAAATTATAAAATATATCAATTTTAAGTTCCGCGTTGAATTACTTTTAACCTACCTGTAACTAGAAAACGTTGAAGGGTGACCCGTTGGGAAGCACTTGGGCGGTACAAGCGAACGAGGAGTCTGAGCAGCTTCTGGGCTACCAGGCATCTCCCATTGCCAGTCGTCATTGCCCTGGAAATATGAAAAAATAGTACACATGGTTCAGGCATAAAAGTGAAGATCATATGTCCTTTAAATTGAGCGGCGAGGCGTCATCACAAAACATTTTATGTTAGTCAAGAGAATTATCTAAGATTGTAAAACTAACATTTTTGTTGCAAGTAAAAAAGTATGTAAGATCTAACTTGCTTTAACGCTACATTTGTTTGAACTAAGTTGCACATTTTGTAGAGCAATTTACCGATGGGCAATTGATGGGTAGTAAAACTTAAGATAAATGACTATTGCGTTACTTAAAAAGAATAAGAAATATAAACAATGTTTATTTTAATAGTAGTAATATTTGTCCTGTATCGCTTTGATCCACTCTTACAATACACTAATGCACGTTAAGTAACCGAGGTCGAAGGAAGGAAGTGGTAAGCCGTGAAGTTTAATGACGTTTCGGTTTCAATCTTGATTTCCAATTATCCAAAGCTAAACATATCGATAGCGCATTTTGTTTAGATGCTGGTATTTCAACTACCATCATCTAAACAAATCATATGCTTGCCTAGTAAGCGACATCGGTACTACGATAGGATGCCTACCTTTAGTTCAATGACCTTGTTCTACAATAATTATAACAAAACTTATATCGATAGAAAGCAATGTTAAGCATATGACGCCACGCTTGCTTCATTTGTCACCCACTGACCCACCGCTCTTGTGATTGTTGGCTTTGGCCCCAGACAAGAATTAGAAATATTCAATGATAGTGCGTATGAAAATGAGGATTCAACGCCAAGACACGCTTACTGAAGAGGCGGTCTAGGAATTATAAGGAAACTTCTACAAGGTTCGTTGTTGTTTGTTCTTCTTTAGTATGTAGGTAGACATTTTAAGCTACGCTTACAAGGTTTTTATATAATACGTTAGGATTATTTCTCTCGTTTGATTTTTTTTTTTTTGTTTAATATTTGCCACATCAGGTTTTAAAAATTATGTTTAAATTTACAAATCTTTATTTATTTTATTATTTCATTGCAAGACTAGAATGAAATTGTATTAAAATAATGATAAGATCTGGGCGAAATCGCTGATATAATTTGCATACTGTGTACAAATACAAATCAAGTGGTTTAAGAAAACTCCAAACCTTAAAACATACTAGAAAGACATTTTATTTACTATCTACCGATCTAGCAGTTAACTAATGCGCACAAAACACAGACAAATATATGAATGCAATAAAAACGCAGTTACATAAACGGAATAATAAAATTAAACGAATGGCGACACCGTTATTCATATCCAACATTTTAAGATCGTTTAATCGGACAGGGTCCCAAGACATTTTCCGGGTCGCGTCTTCGCGATTAAAACTGCTCAGCTTGGCATGAGCCTATACAAATAATATTAAATTGCCAGACCCATGCCAATAGCCGACGATACTCCAGACGTCTGCCAAAAGGACTGTTGGGAACTTTTCTTAAGGAAAATACGCGATTGTAGGGACGTCATACGGTTAATTCGTTTGTTTTTGTTTTAGTTTATGTTTTCTGGAAGAAATAGCTTGTTAGCAATGTAGTCCCTAATCGCTGCATATACTTTTAAAACTACCTTACGGTAGTGTAAGATTTAAGGTGGCTGATCCGTATAACAAGTATGAAAAACGCAATCAATAAACATCTTTATAAAACTATTGAAGTTGCGTAAGTATTTTAGAACAAGTTGAAACATGCTGTGCAGCGGCCGCGACCACGGCTGCCGCAAAGCATCCGAACCGCTAGGCCGAAGTTAAGAATATTAATAAGTTTAATATTATTATTACCGTTGGTGTATTATTTAAATATCAGTTTTGTTTAATTAAAATTTGTTTTCTCGTTGAGTAAATGCATATCCTTAAGAGTAATTTAAAATAAATAAAGGCGCGCGTGCCAACATAAGTCTAACTTTAGCATTGGCCTAAAATATTATACATAATTACACTACTATAAATTTAGTTATGGTGCGCAATAACGTTTAAAAATAGTACTTCGAAAGCGTATAATTTTTTTTATTAATTTATGTATTTACCAATTCTATTCAACTTTTTTTTAGACTTGACTGTATCATGATTGATATATTTAAACAATCAAGATTTTCCGTTCTTTTCCGACCCAAAATGAGTAAAAATATATATTTATAAGATTTCCACAAATTTGACCAAAACCATTTAATATTAGATTGCATTAAAGCAATACATTTGTTATTGAATTTTCAGATAAATTCTAGGAAGTGGTGTGGGCGACTCCAAAACCGCGGTTAAGCGCCAAAAAATATAACTTATGATTGCATTTGTAATAAGATATTCAACATAAAATCCTACTATAGCGAAAATACGCATGTATTTTTAACTGAAGTATATGATATACTATACATTTTACTTATGGTAAAAATCTTAAAATTTAAGCGGGAATCAAACCGGCGAAAAGATCCCGAAAGGCTGCGCTACAACTAACGACGAGGCTATTAATTTAATTCGGAACATTCAGACTGTTTCGTTTAAAAAATTCGAACGTCTTTGCTGAAAGAACTTTCCTACAGTTCAATAATATTTAGATTTAAACAGACTTAAATGCCATCAGATCATTAGAGGTAAAAGGTATCGGAGGTAAAATTAGGTTTTGTCTCTTGTCCACCTTCAGTTTAGGTGGAGAAGGTATTTTTAACTGCACTTAATTTTAGCAGACGGGATGGAAATCAATACAGTACTCAGTAGGATTTCTGCACATCTAAAAATACATTTTCATCAGGTCGACTAGCCGAACTATTTGAAGAAATTGGAATTAATAGTCAATATAGAAAATAACTAAATTGGTAATGATAGGAAACGCGAATTTCCAACAAGCCAACTTTTAACGATTAGGTACACATTTTAATAAAACGAGGTTACGTGACCACGGCTGCTGCAAAGCATCCGAAACGTCGGGCCGTAGTTAAAAATAATTCTCAAAAAAATTAACTAAATTATCGCGTTTTAAACCGGTAAAATTTTATTTAAAAGCAAACTTTACTTTTGATCTTCATGAAAAATTTTTAAATTTTAAATTTTATTTTAACACTACGAACTTTAAATACACAATAACTAAAAAACCAACGATTCTGGTGGGACTCTACCCCACGATCCGTGGTATACACGATAGCTTAAATGATAGAGAAACTGATTTTTTAATTTGGCTAAATGAAGGATAATTATACAAGTCTATATTTGGCAATTTATCAAGTATAACGATCGAACGAATGTAGAGTACTTAAAATTTGTTGAGCGTCATAGGACATAGTAAATATTACGTTATGTTCTAACTAATCTGAAGATAATCGAAATCTCGAACTGCAAGTGGCTCAACTGTGGCCTGCATTATTTGGCACGGGCAAGCCATTAATACAGCAGCCAGCCTCCCCCCTCGCATTAACTGGCATCAAAACGGATGTCGTACGGTATATTATGAACAGACAATAAAACTACAGTGCTTTGTACTCAAATATTGAGTAGAGCGCATTAGTTTTATGATCACGCGTTGCAGTTAGCCAATTCAAAAAATATTTGCGATCGCGGAAGTTTGCGGGTAGTTTAGGTTTTGGTTTTATGGCTCTATCTTTCGCGAAATTCCTTTTAACGTAAAACTTTTACAGGGCGGTTAGAATAAGAATTGTTTAAAATTATTCTTCTAGCAGCATTAAATCGAGTGCGCAGTTTAAAAAAAAAGCTACTGTAGAGCACCGTTGAAACAAATCTACGTTGAACTAAATATTAACGCTATGAAACGAGAAGTCGTACATCTATAGAGAAATTAACTTACATTGCTGCTGGAAGCTCTGGGTGCTGCTGCCGGTTGGGTGGCTTGGCGATTGTCAAAGCCCACAAACTCTCCAAAAGAGCGACGGTTATCTCTAGAACCGCCGCCTCGTCTGTTATCCTGAAAAATCGGTTACATTAAAAAAAGAACTACTAGATACGTATAACCTAGATTAGAGATAAGTAGAGCGATCCAAATATCATCTAAAATGTGCCACGTCGGAATAACCAATATTGTGAAAATTATAAATCGCTGTAAATTTACGCCAGATTCTACAGCGTTAATTCTAAAAAGAGATTATCAACGTCACGTGGCGGGTAGAAAAAGTTTCTATAAACCTGTTACTATCATTTGGAACCTAAATATACATATTAAGAGCGGTATTTAAATTTAAAACTAGCAGCAGTGGGAAAAACCATACCACGTAAAAAAAAAATTGTGCAGGTAGATCAAGATTTTTCCACATTTCGCATCTAAAAAGGTTAGAACTTAAAAAACGGTTACAGCCTCCTAATATATAGTATACTGAAATAATTCGCTAACCTGTTGCAAAAGCGGCATAGTGCCGCGGAAAAGTTTTTCAAAACCGCCGATGAGTACTCGAACGGGCAGAGTTTCCTCTAAGATCCTTTCCGCGCCAGCGTCACCGAAGCAACTGACGTTGGATCAGCGCGCAACGCACCACGAAGCCGCACCCTCATACCACCACCCCACCTATCGGGAGAAAAGTACAAGCCACGCCCACTTCCGCTACAATAACTTCTTATTTATTAAAAAACTCTACTTTCGTTAATTTTTGAATATAGTAAAACAATATTAATTATTATTTTATAACGTGAACATTAAAATGAAGTTCTCTTAGCTATTAGTAAATTAGGAGAGTAAAAAGTATCGCGGAAGTTTCCCGCACTTTTGTTTTCAAACTTTTGATAGAGCGCGCATGCGTCGTTCTCGTACTTATTTTTGACTGTCCGAATATTGATGAAATCTAATTTTTAACTGTTGCTGCAGTTAATTTTCATTATTAAAGCAGGTTATTTTAGTTATCCTTTGTTTTAAAAATTAAAGGTATTCTCTGCATAATTGGTCTTAAAAGTATATAAGTTGACTTCTTTCCTTACGACTTATTAAAAAAAATCCAAAATAAATTTGAGTGGATATACACATTAAAAAATATATAATTATTATAATAATAATAATAGTTATTTATCACGACTATTAATTGGTGCGTCCAAAAGAGAACTATTAATTAAAAAGAACTCAACGAAGAATTCGTTGAGTTCTTTTTTAAAGGAACTATTTTGTATTGATTCTTAAAAAAGCAAAAAATAAATTTAATTAAATTATATAAGAAAGTAGAGTGAAAGATGATATGAAACCTCGTTTTCTCTATGCGGGGCATGGGGCGTACGCAATTGTATGTCTGTTTCACTGACCTACTTCATTATCAAGCAAGTAGTTGGTCGAATTTATGTACCCTTGTCAGAATTTATTGATATTTTTTGGCATCCGAACCTGTGAATACTGTGCTTAACGCAGACCTTTTAAAAGTTGGTATGGATACGGTCGGTTTAGTGAGAATTAGCTGCTTCAAGAAAATTATAAAATCTTCTCTTTTTCTCCTACCGAAATTGCCTTTATTATTGAGGCTGATCAAGGTGTTAGCAGGAAAGAGAAAAGTCGAAACAGCTTAAATAAAAACAACTGTTACAGTTTCAAAAGAGATTTTATAAGGTACATATTGATTCTTTTTCTTTCCAGCCTAATTCCACAGTACCCGGGCCTACTCCTGCAAGCCGAAGAGTGGCGTGAGCATACTGCCCACGTGCGCCGCAGATGTCCTCGGCCTTTGTATTGGGCCTCTCTCATCAGCGTAAATGTAAGGGAGTCGGAGTATCCAGTAAGCCGAGCTGCTCAGTTTCAGGGGACCCTCGGTTTCCGGTTGTGGTACAAAAATTGGTCCACCAAGCACCGGTTGCACCTGCAAAGAAATGGGATCACATTACAGTGTGGTAAGATAACTAGTATCATTTTTTTGTGAAATTTATCGTTTCTCGGGATTCAAACCTATGAACGCAATTTAAGTTAAAGGATTGACTAAAGAGATATAGAAGCGGCGAGAGGAGTATTATCTGCTGTTTACGCGAATAGTAGATATTAAATAAAATATTTTTCATGGTTTAAAACACAAAATATATGAGTTAACACAGGGAGTATCCCCGTGATCACAATTATTGCAAAGCACCCAAAATGTAGAGCCGTAGTTAAAATTAATTGTAAATAAATAAGTTAAACTTCTATTATATTTATAATAAAGCTGAAAAACTTGTTTCTTAGTTTGTTTGAACGCGATAATCTCAGGAAACATTAGTTTGAAATTGAAAATTATTTGTGTTAGTTAGACCATTTATCAAGTAAGACTGAGGCCAAGAAACAGTAGGAAATGCGCAAAAAAAACAGGGAAAATTACATTCATCTGTGAGGGACAAATTATAAATTGAAAACTAGGCACATGTTGGACCCGGTGGGAATCGAACCCCCGATCCGTTGATTATTAGCGACACATTGCTACCATTAGACCATAGAGCCCGTCAGAGCTCAGATCTTAGAGAAAGTTAATTTCTATTGCAATTACTTTAGGAGCTAGAGTGATGTGCACAGAGCTCTTTGGTGTTACGACGTGCAAACGAATAAGCTGAGCCAGCATAGCGCTGGGACGACAAAGACAAGGTACGTATAAAGGCATCTCGCTGGCTGCGAGACGGGCCCCAGCCGCACCGCTCGTGGGGCCAGCTCCTTCTCTGCCCCACGATACCCCTCCACCATTCATTACTGTGTCTGGTGAAGACATCATGAACCTGAAAGGAAAACAAAACAGAAGAATGTATCTCCGAATAAAGAATTACTATAATAAATTACTAAGATATCTTACTGACTTAAGATGTCACTAACATTTATTTTTTAATGACTTGCAAAAGTTATTTTAATGTTTCAGCTTTCGATTCTACTACAAATGCCGAATTATTTCTACATAGCAGCTTCAGGTGTACTTATAGTTGTTGTAGTTGAACATGGCCTCGAAAAACCATATCCTACAATTGGTTTGGTCCTTCGAGCCGGTGAAATATTGTACGGAGCTTAAAATAGTTTTAACGCTTACCTATGCCCTCTTGGACATTCGTATTCGAACCCGATGAAAATCTTAACAGTGATATTGTGCGGCACGCCCCCTTTTCCACGCCCGCGTGTTGACGTACGCCACACATTAGCATGCTCCATACTGAAATAGATTAAATGTAAATTATGTTAAGTAACTGCAATGTAATTAAGATATTATATCTGAATATATCGGACAGTATTATTAATTACTATTTATAGTTAATGTTTTGTCATCTATTCTAGATTTTAGTTGCATCCGAGTCCTAGATTTTCAAATAATTTGTAGTATAGTAATTTTATTATATTAAAAATAAACAATAACAGTTAAAGAATTACATGTTTTTATTACATAATATGCCTTGTTGATCGCTATAAGTATAAAGCAAATGATACCATATATACTATATTTGCTTTATTTGCATATAGAATATACTTCAAAAACTTTATGGTTCTGTCCCTTTCCGCTCTTTGTATATAATTCGATTGTATTGCTTGTTATTATAATCTAATTATATACAAACTTATTTGTTAATGCACCGACTAGACCGACGCGGCTAGACCCGCCTGCGATACAGGCAATCCTAGTGTGGGGGCTAGTACAGCCTAAGGCGAGTGTGGGGGCTTGTACAGCCTAAGGCGAAATGAACGCAATATTTTTTGGAAAATAAAGAATTTGTATTGTAGTAATAATTAACCATCTAATAATTACTATCTACTAGAAAAAGGTTAAATAAAATTTGTTGATAAAGCTTATTATATATATGAAGTGCTTTAGTCCAAAAACGAGAACACTTTTACATAACGGACAATAGAAGCTTACCGCACAGCGCAGTCCCAGGGAAGCAAATAATTGGTGTGAGGCAAAAATCCAGGCTGCAAATGCTCAGGTAGACCCATATTATGCGAGTATAGTGAGGAAGGTCCTAAACACACTAGGGACCAGCTGGAAAATGCCGGCAACAGACCGGCCGGGCTGTGCGTGTGCAACATTCCCGGGAGATACTCTGTCGTCGATGGTTGGCGACTAATGACTTTCTCTGAAAACGAAAGGAGGAAATTTTCGAGGAAGTAGAAAGTATTTATAAAAACAATTTCGTTTTTATTTCTTCGAACGTTGTACTCTATAGTTACTTTAAATGTTTTTACCTGTAACAGCTTCTTCCCTAACAGGCATAACATCAAGCGCCTCATCATTGCAAGTCGGTTCATCATCATCTTCATCTTTCGCGGAGCCAGGAGATAGCTCATCAGGTTGTGACCAGCCTTCGGAGCGAGGTGATGCATCGGGGGAATTGCCAGAACCATCTTCAATCCGCGTTTCTGGTCTGTCTTGGGTTTCTTCTGAAGAACTTTTGAGCGACGCTGCCCTGAAATTTATGTATGTAAGTTTTAGCAAAGGAAATCAATATTCTGTACAAGAAATAACTTAGGAAAATAAAAATGATGACGCAGGCGGAACTGAAGCCTTTAACCGACCCTGACGGTCGGTTATATTGCTCTACACATTGCTCTCAAATATTTGAAAAACCATTCCAAGTAGCCATATTGCAACAAAATTTCATCAAAATTGGCTAAGCCATTTCGTGCTAATTGATTCACCCCTTTCTAATTTATAATATCAATTGGATCTGTACCTGTAACTAGGGGTAGAAGGCTGGAAGACAGGAAAGGCGACGCTCTGGAGAGTGTTGCATACCCCGCACTCCTCGCCCGCGTGGCTGTAAAAGGTGTGGTTGGCCGCTTTCACAGTGTAAGGATCTTCTCGCGAGCATTTGCTTCGCCCGCAGTTACACGCGCTGATGTAGCGGACCCCAGACGAATGCTCCTTTGAATTGTCACTGAAAAGGTTTCAACTGATATTAACAAAAGAAACGTTATACTTCCTATATTAGGTAACCTTATTTGGGCATACACTGATAAATATTAAATTTCTTGATAGACCTATCAAACTATACAATATAAATGTTTAATACCAAAAACTTTTCTTTTTACTTTTCAAACATTTGTATTCGTTCTTGTCAATGGAAGTGCTATAGTTTATTCTTAAAAAAGATAACCTGGTGATATAAAAGACAAAACTTTTGACGGACTTTGATCCCCACCGTGTCCAACATTTTTCTTATACATTTCTAGTTCTTCTAAAACATGCTGGAATTAATCGGGAAATCTGGATATTACATGGGTGCTATGAATATCGAAATTAAGTCCGGGTCACGAACCACCGTCCACAGATGGAAAAGCCGTGATTTTTGATCACGTTTCGATTTCAGTCTGTGCACTTCCGAATATCCAAAGGCAAAATAGGTCGACAGCGTTTGTTGTTTGGATGCTATAGGCTGGAGTATTTTACCTGGCATCAAGTGAACATGTGGTTCATGGGGGCTTGTTCGTCTTCCTCTATAATTATAATAAAAAAAAACCTAAAAAGTTATTGTTGTAGTAGTAAAAGATCTACCTAATTCATCTATAATTTTTTAACTTCTTGTAGGATACATCCATTCGGAAACGGTGTCTGGTACTCTGTTTACTCCAATATAAAGTGATCGAAAAGAATATTTACTGGTCTGGGTTGATACAAGGATGTGACGTCAGAGAGGGTGCTTCGCACAACCGACGCGTCCGCCAGGTGGCAGCACAAGCGGTCCTCAGTCTTGCCCGAGCACCACCAGCTAATGGACCACGAGCCATCGCCTCTACAACTCCCAGCGCTACGTTGACCTGAAAAGCATAATAAATACTCCCTACGAATATACTTTTTTCATCAAAAAGTCAAAACTCGTTTCTTCACGTAGGTAACGAGGTACACTTATGAGCGTCACATTAGATAAAACCTAAAGTCTCTAAATTTACATTTACTACCAGTTCTTAAATCAAGGCCGTAGAAGGAACAAGAAGAACTGGCAAGAAACTCGCCGCCACTCCCCAACTTTGTTGAATATCATGAGAAGTATACGAAATTTAATTGTTATTTACATGATGCCATCATACAAATAAAAAAATCTATTAAAATTAATTAAATTCGATGCTGTAACCTAAGCTCTGAATACTTAAATATTCTAAGTGGTAAGTAAGGTTAAAATTACAATGCGCGAGAGGTGTAAGTCTATATTGAAAATATCACTTGTGAGACACAATAGCTGAATTGTTTAAAGCTGCAGCACAGAACTCTCAGGTCCTCGAGTTATTTTAATTTAAATAGACTTATGATTTACTTTTGGGCATGTAAAAGGTATATTTTTGTCTTTTGAGCCAAACTCTATATTGTTTATTTTCAGTTACCTTATGAGCATGGTGTTGGCTTGAATAGTGTGATGGCAACCCTTCAGCATACGAAGCTTGTGCTATGGGTAACACCTGAAAGAAAACACTGCTGTAAAAACACATTTTTATTGTATATTGCTTGAAAGCAATAGCTAAGTATTTCTTTATTTTATTTCCCAATAGAAATTTAAAAAAATATATAATTACTCAAGTGTGTCTTGTTGCTCAGCATTGCGTTAAGCGCGAGGTCCTGAGTTCGAATCCCAGCGAAACATTTAATAGTTTCGGTCGAGCAGGGCACAGAAGTCTGATCAACTACTAGCCTGTAAATACAAAGTAATCAGTGAAATGGACACAAATGTGTTCGCCCATGGACCACAATGGTAAACGGAATTTCACTTTTTACAAGTGTTTTAATTTATTTTACCTTAGCACATCTCGCTTTAGAGAATCGAACGTCAGTAGCCAATGAGTCAAAGAGAGCACCATAGTCGTCCCGATCTTCGTTGGGAGCAATGGACTCCGATAAATAAACTGGTACGAGCGCCTTTGCGACCACACTCCATGATTTAGCACTTGGCAACTGTAAGATTAACAGTTATAAAGAACTAGCTGAGCATGCGACTTCGTTCGCGTGAAATATTATTGGACATAATATTATTTACTTTTGCAAACAACCTCCTCAGCTTTGTAAATTATATTTGTTAGCCACGTCGCCATCTACGTCCCTTCACTTTTGAGAATTAATTTTAAAAGATAGACATATATTGTGGCAGACATTTGTTTAGGTTATTTAAAGAAGAATCATTCTTTTACACATATTTTTGGTTCCTTAAATCGGACAAAAATGAATAACATTCCTCGTTTTTACTACATTTAATTTTTTGTTTATTTAATTTAATCTTCAACTGAAATAGTAATATTGTTGAAAACAGCCATCTGTGATTTAGCATTTAATCTACACAAAGCTGTAGACTATACACAACTCTTATGAATAATGATTTTAGGACATATTTTCTGTACTTTTCAACTAAATGAAAAGACTTGGATCACAGAGAAATGTAATGAAATGATTAGGTTATAAAGGGTACAATAGGATGACTACATACTTATCTGTCCATAGAATTAATTAATAGTGAAACAATTAAGGAATTTTACACTATCTCTAAACTTTGTTTGCCTTTAAAACTTACTTCAAAAAATGAGGTGCTCATAGCGTACTTCCCAACATTGTCATCAAAGCCCTCTTCAAAGGCGACATCTAGGTGGGTTTGCAGGAACTGGGAGAAGGTGGGGCGCGTCGATACTTCGTCCTGTGTTCCATTGCAGAGCTGCACTAACCCTCTTACTAAGGAGCTTACGTCTCTTGCATTATTGTTATCTTCCGCACTGATGTAGACAAACTCTTCGTTCTTTGGTATTGCAAATATTGATTTGGCACTGTAATTAGAACAACAAGCAATAAAGAGAGGAGTTTTTCTTTCCATCCTGCTAATATTATAAATGTCAAAGTTTGTATGTGTGAAACATCCATTCACACATACAAACTTTGTTACTCTTTCACGCAAAAACTACTGGATGGATTTCAATTAAACTTTCCAATAATATAGCTTATACATCAGAATACCACATAGGCTACAATTTATGAAGATATTGTGTGAGCTGTCCAAAATATGACATTAAGTGTCAAGTAACTAGGAACACCTTCCTTTCTGCGAGCTATTCTGGCATGTAAGTAGTGTTAAATTTTTGGTTATCATGAAATCTTACCAAACATTAGTAATAACTCTAGACTTCCTCAAAATGAAATATATCTGGTCCTCTATAGCATGCTCCAATCTCTTCAGACCAGCAGGATTTTTTCGAAGTGGTGTTGGAGCTCTTCTGAAGTGAAACAACAGGCGGGGGCAACAAAACCTTCCTCGGGACTCCCACGTGTCAGATACACCAGCTTCAATAAGAGCACCCTCTATTTGGCCACTCAGCTCATTTCTGAAAATCATATTATGCAATGAGGAAAGTTATGCATGTTTGAAACTATGAAGTTGCTCACAAAACAGTGTATGTAACCATTGGCTATGAGGAATATTTTTCTATATAGGTTAACTGTCTGTGACAGAACAATTAACTTCTTATACTCTTCTGTAGAAAGAAAATTGGTGAAATGGTCAGCAGCCCACAGCACTCTGCCTTCTATTTCTGTCCCCAATAGAAATAATAATAATAATAACTTCATATACATACACTTACCTATATGCATCAATTGCTTTAAATAACTGTAAATATCCCAAATCAAACACTGGTGTAGGTGACGACAGTACAACAATATGACACAATTGAAACATCAGGGCCATGATTTTACAAGAATCAATAGTAAGCTCTCCAGATGCCACCAGCCAGTGTGCTGCATCTGCATCCTTAACAGTACTTTTTGAATTCTCATTTAGGTCTTCCACAAGAGCACATAATCTGTCTGTATCCAGAAATGTTGTAGCATGCAGGTAGAGGATGCTTTGACCTTCGTCCCAACAGCATTGTATTCCATTCTATGTAAATTAGTATTTTTGGATTGAATACTTTTTGTTGCTTATTAAAAAATAATTACATAATTAATAATTATAACTATGTATAACATTAAAATGACAAAAAAAAAAAAAATTATAGTAGGCCAATGAAAATGGTCCCTATGTTAGATATGGCCTATGGCCTAAGGCCATGGACATTTGGCATCATTTCATTTCATAATGTTTATAAGCATTCAATAACCTCTCAGAACTGTTTTATCAAAATGGTAGTTATACTGATAGAATACTGAGTCGGACACAAATCAAGTCGGATTAACATCTCTTCTCATGTATTACTTTTAAATATTTAAAATAAACTTACGTCCTCGGAAACTTTCGAATTAACTAGCGGCGAAGCTTTATTCAGGTACCGATGTGGTGACTTGCCAATTACACCCACTACCACTATTCGATCCTTATTGGAAAATTCAGGTATATCAGTTATTGAAAACTCTTTCATATTTTTCGGGTCCACTTAGAAAAATATAAAACACTATCCTTTACTTTTCCTAACATACCCAATATTTACAATATTATCATCATGACATTTCGTGTAAGGAACAAGGACAATTGTGACAATTGTCAAATCCGTGTCTGACAATTATCACATGTGTTGTATTTGTCAAAGTCATTAAGATTTGACAGTTCATTTTTCTTTGAATTTGTTTTCATTTTTTTAAGCAAATCGTGCCTATGCCCTATTATACAGTATTGCTTATGAAGTTATCAGTATTATTTATTACCTAATTCCTTTTAATTCAAACACATTGTAAAGTACTCTTAATCTTCGAGTTTAATGTTTGGAGCCAATCCTAGTGTTTATAACGTAAAGCATCGTACAAGTCATTGACAATTTGATTGTTGTGAAAAATTACGACTTTCCAATGAAGTCAAGGTCTTCTTGAAACGTGAATGCCGGTGGTTACAACCAGTTGATGATAATGTTCTCGCTAAGAGGTTCGTGTCGGTAGTCTCGTGGAGTGCGTTCGCAATTGATAAGTTATCAGTGTATAGATTAAATAATACAATTTACCCATAAAATGTCTTCAATAGTGGAAGACGTTTGCGAACTTTTAGACAGCTACAATGGGAGAGACAAGGTAAAGTACACGGAAAAACAGAAGACAACCTTGATCTTTGCGTAACGATGCAGGAAATTGACACGCCGTAGATCACATTTAAATGAGACCTTTAGAATAGAATTTGTCAATTGAGATTATTAGAAAGTCACTTTACAAGTTATACATTGTAACCAGAAGATTTTGTATTGTTTCATATTAATATAAATAAATTCTATCCAATCTTAAGAAGATATCACAAATATATATTGAAAAATTGATGGCATATTCAAGTTCTACTTAACTAAAATTCCTTTAATCGAAAATATACTTTTAATATATATAATGCCCTCATGTGAAAAATATTAAAGTTTTCAAATATTGTGTTAGTAAGAAATTTTTTCATTTCCAGGTAGTCCGTCTAGCATGCTACACTTTCAAGTTATATGGTTGTTTAAAAGGAGAGAAGCCATGGCAGACAGCTGGTTCCCGGCTTTCCAGTGCTCGTATGATGCTCAGATTGTTTGACGATATACCTATGATAAGGCATACATATAACTATGGACTAGGTAGACATGTTAGTATTATTGTTAATACCTAAGATTAAGTTAGTTAGGGCTAAGTGCGTAAGCTATTGTTTTAAACATATATCTTGCAAAATTTTTGCATAGTAGTATTAAAATTAATTAATTGTCATAACTCGTGACCATTTCATTTTATAAGTCATAAAATATGAATTGCAAGTTATTTTGAAAACATTTTATCTATTTCATTACATTTGTCTCACAATCAAAACTCCTCATAAAATTATAGTTAAGTTATCTTTATATACAGTTTAATAGCGCTTATCATAAACAAAATGCCAAAATTAACGTAAGTGTAACAACCATACATTTTACATCACTGTTATGATATTTTCCATTTTATTGCTTAAACATAACTTAATTACTGCATTAAAGATAAGGGTTTGAGTTATTTAAAACAAAAATTATATCTAGCACAACTCTATCACCAACAATTTATTGTAGAATAGTTTTTATATCCAATGTGCAATAAAGTTTAAATGATGAAAATATTAGCAGAAGAAGCAGAAGATTGGTCGTTTAAACCTGGACAAAAATTAACACTGTTTATTAAATATATATATAATAAATAAAGAATGTTATCTTACTCAATTTTAATCTTAAATAATGTTATTATACAAAAAGAGTATGATTTGTATAGTTTTTATTCATATTGTGATTTCAGGAAACCTCAAAGGTGGCGGCAACACTAGGTGTATTAGCAAACATGGTGGATCAAGTATTCTTACCAGTAGAAAAAGCATGCTGGTTATATGATGTGGGCATTCTGAAATTGTCTACTGTATCTGCTGACAGACTTGAGATATTTAGTACAGCACTTTGGGCGGCCAGTCTGTATATTTCACTTATACAGTAAGTACCTTTATTAAATGAGTGTGAAAGAAACTGATGAATATCAGCATTAATCAATCTATAAAACAAAGTTACCTGTGTGAGGTCCAAAGTTTGAATCCTGGGCTTTGGCAAAATATTTGTTCAATTTTTTTTCTAATTCATGAGTTTGTATGGAAGGATGTCACAAGCCATCTTATCATACTAAATATTGTGGTGGTAGTCGTTAAAATCTACTAACCTGCACTTGAACAATGTGGTGGGTCTAAAATTAATCCCTCTTTAAAAGCATAAAAGTATCCATCATACTTATTAGTAAATTTTTGACTTTAAGTATAACTAAATGTGTTCTGAGTTTATTAATTGTTAGGATTGTATTTATAGATGTGAGTTTTCTGATTGTATTATAAATAATTGTGATCTTGGGTTAGCAAGTACTGTTTCATTTCGTCAGAATCTGTTGCATTGAATTTTTTTTACTAAATCACCTCTTTAAATATACACAAAAATAAAACCAACTTTCAGGCAACTGTCACTACAATTTCATATAAATAATCGTATTTGCAGGACAATCCGGTCTATTCAACATTTGTGGTGGAGTAAGAACTGTCTTCGAAAGTCAGAAGACAGTAGTGACATGAAACGGAATTTGGATATACGGCTCATGCTGCAAGCGGTGACCGCTAGCAAGTTATGTCTAGACATCACTCATGCTGTAAGCTGTCTACCGGCTGGCTGCCTCTGGGGAGAGAAGATTGGGGCCACGAAAATAGCGACGATCGCCACAACATCATCTGTTATTGGCATTGCTTTGTACTTTGCTAGGAAACGACTATTGAAATAAAATGTGGTATTAAATTAATTATTAAACTTGCCAAAATGTTGTGAAATTTATATTCTATTGATACATGGAGTATTATTATTAATGAGGTAGGTTTCTTTACCGCGTTTGCATTACAGATTCATTTTACCGTATATGAACAAACTGTACATAGCAAGGTTTTATACAATGTATATTTATAAAAAAACATTTTTATAACTTTTACAGTTTAATATAAGTTATCAATGATCAAAATGTATGTGTGTTAGTTCTTCTTATGTTGTATAAGATATGTGTGGAAAGTTAATAAAATCAAACATTCTTATGTTTAAACCTTTTAAAGTTCTATTGTTTAAACAGGTTTTCTCACACAAATTTATGTAAATATAACATACAGATAAAATTAATTTAAATGCAAATAATGTATAGTTTACCTGTTCCTGTCTTGTATGCATTTATTAGACGAAAGGTATTAATTGTATTAAATACTGTTACATTAGTTATTTCACTTGAAGAAGGAAAATGTAATTATGTACTTAAAATTTATCCTTAATTACCAACTGAAACGTGTTTTCCAATAGTACAAAACCTAGTTTCCTATAAGGAATTAATTATTTGTATATACACTTAATAAACAACTTGAAATATGCTGGCTGTTTTTCCGGATTATTACCAATGCAAAGATTTGAGATAGCACCCAAAGGATTTGTTTATCGTAAATTATCTAATCAATAAAATAGTTGATAGAAAAATTTACTCAGATATAGTACATACATAATCAGTTGGCAGCGAAGAATGGAGGTGGTGAACGAATTTTGTGACCTGCTGCAGTCACATGCTAATCGAGATAAGGTAAAATGATTCCTAAGTTCAGGGTAGTTAGGTTTGCAATACAGTGAAATTAGTGCTTTAGCTAACAGTAACTATACTTCTAAAACTGTTTAAAGAAAAAGTTTCGACTGACGAAGCAATTATAATTAAAATTATACGTCCCCTTAAGAAATAAGTAATAAATAAAACATATTATCGTTTAATAAATAAATTTTTAATTAAAAATTCTTGGTTACATTCTTTTTTTGTCTTTAGTTCATTAAATATAAAAAAAGCTTCATGTCCGAAATTACATTTAATTAATTAAACAACTACTAAAGTCACTTTATATTTCTACATTTAATACTACTTTCCACAGGTAGTAGCATTAACCAGCTACATTCTAAAACTATGGGGCTCGACGTCAAATCGCCAAGAATTATTGACAGCTAGCGCACGTTTAGCGGCCACACGAGCTACCTTACGATTATTCGACGACGCAGCGGCGATCAAAGTTCTACAGGGCTACGGACTTGGGAAGCATGTGAGTATCGACTAAATTGCTCAGCTAGTTTTTATAGGGTTGTGTAGAAAATAGCACGGGAAGTTTATACAAAAAGGCGGGAAAATTTTGCAGTTATTCAAATTGTCTATTACAATGTTATATACATAATTTAAAATTGTACCTACCACCCAGTAACAGCCCACCTTTTATTGAGTAGGTAGAGAACACTTGTGATTTAACGTTTTTCAAAATTAAAATATACAAAGTGCTTATATTAATTTTGAATGAAGTAAAGGCCTCCCCGTGACCACGGCTGCTGCAAAGCATCCGAAACGCGGGCCGTAGTCAAAATAATCTTCAAATAAGTTTAACTAATACAGTGGAGCGTCGTTTATCCGAACGTTGCTTAACCGAATGACCGCTTATCCGAACAGTAGTGACGCGGTGTTAACGGTCCCCGCCCGACTCGATGATGAATATGCTAAAAAATCTGTATTGCCACGAATGTAGAAGAAGAGGTTCAACAATGGCTGAATGTTGACATCCCAGGTATTAAATTATCAGATAGCGAAATTTTAGACCTCATGACTGATAAGGCCGACCCCACCGTGACCACATCAACCACAGTTAGATGGATGAAAACGTAGTGAGTGCTTGTGAAGCATTAATTACGGGTTAGATATGTTTGCTTTTGTGGAAACAAGCCGAAAGCGACCTAGCCCTGTAAGCGGTAGGCATGTACATATCTGTACGTTTTTGTTTATTTCATATTTGTCATAAAGATATATGTAAACGTGGTTTTCATTTACCTGTACGTAAATATGTATGACTGAATCAATACAATATAGGTAGACACTGTCTAAGTAGAGTAGTACACATTAAATAAAACACTTTAAAGGTTTAAAACCACTCCTGTGACCACGGCTGCTGAAAGCATCCGAAACGTCGGGCCGAAGTTAAAAATTATTTCCAAATAAGTTTAACTAATATATTGCGTTTTAAACCGTTAAAGTGTTTTATTTAAACATATAGGTAGTTCAATTATCCGAAAATACCGGTTTTCCGAACACCCGCGTCGCCTAATTACTTCGGATAATCGATGCTCTACTGTATATATCTCATTTTAACCGTGAAAGTGTTTAATTTAATTAATCAAAGATGGTCATTTAATATGTCACAGTTTTTAATCCCTATAGAACTCAACAAAACCGGAATTAACCTGTCTCGTATTTGAAATTCAATTAGATCAACTTCCGTGTATTACTATACCAATCTCCTTCCGCAATATCTTGATAAAACACTTGTGACCTAGCAATGTCCGTACACGTAAATAATCCAAACATTACTCTTCACAATTGCACATAATAATATTTTTAAAAAGAAAGATCGAATTTTTGTATTGTTAAAATTGCACGACACTCTATAGATAAGACTTCTTCTTATATAAGATAAATAGATTTTATTTAAGTAGGTACATGAATAGAGCTACTGTTTTACATAACACTAATCTTATATCAGTCATTTTATCTATCTCCCAACACGTCTAGTTTATCTCGAAGAGGATTTTGATTAGGTACTTTAACAAATTTAACGATTGGCATGCGGCACAAACTTTCTTTATTAGAATGTAAGGATTAGCCTACTGAATGTAGTATTGAGATGTTTTTCTCGATTCATCATCAGACATCAGCATGTGTGTTTTTATGAAATTACTGTTAAATTAAAGCTAGTTACTGTTAAGCTTTGAGTTGTCTTAATAAGTATTTAATGCCAACGGAATGAACAAACTAAAAGAAAATAAAATACTATTTACTACACCAAAGAACAATAAATACTGGTAACAAAGTTGTATAACTACATACTTAAATTATAATACAGTCATTATTCGGGGATACTCGGGGACCACGGCTGCTGCAGAGCATCCGAAACGTCGGGCCTAAGTTAAAAATCATTTTCGAATAAGTTTTACTAATATATCGCGTTTTAAACCGTTAAAATGTTTTATTTATATGTGTACTACTCGCGTAAATATAGACAGTATTTAATCAATTTTTATATTTTTTTTTATTATTTCTATAGGTAATCGTCATTTTTGGCTTTTTCTTACTACTTTTCTGCCGCACTGGACGAAGACACTTCTTTTAATTAATTTGATATATCAGGAAGGTCCATGTTGGGGAACACTGGGCGTGTCAAACAGCGTCTTAACAATAGCGTTTCTTCAAGCTGAGAAGTTACAATGGCTTCTAGACACAGGCATACTGAAAGTCAAAGATGAGACGGCCTTCAACATACGGACGGCACATAAGCTGTTGTGGTCTTTGAACGCGTTTATAGGCTTTATCAGGTAATGATTTTTTTTATATTACAGGGCACTAGGCTGGTTACTTCCAGATAGCAATATGACAACATAATTTTTTACGAACATTTGATGACGTGCCTTTCTGGGTAAATATTCAAAATACAAAGAGAAAATCATATCGGAATCAATAAAACAGAGTTAAGATAAATTTGTTGTTTGTTAAAATTAATCGTTGCTTTAAGACTCAGTAGCGCAATTGGTTAGAGTATCAGCACGGAACGCTGTGATGCCAGTTCAAGGCCTGCCCGTGACGGACTTGAACTTTAAGATCGATTTTTAAATTACGAAAATAGTTAATCGAGATTCTTTTTATACGAGTTTTTTTAGGAATTGTAACAAACCTAACCACCACACTATAAGAATTTAAGAGTTTACGCTTGCTATAATGTCTCGCTCTTCAAAACAAACAATTTTAACTCTTTTAAAAATTTAACATTTTGCACATGATGGCATTATGTAATTTAAAAATATATTTTGGATTCAAAACATTTTACAATACGGACAGGACGTGAACAGTGTTCCCTACTATTACTCTAACCAACGTCCAATACGTCTTCGTCGAATATTTTCAACTTATCGATACATTAACAAGTACACTTAACAAGGGGATAAAGGTTCAATGTCCTATGCTTTGCAGCTTAAGAATTTTAAGCTATGTTCGTAAACAATTATTATATCGCTATTGCTTCTATTCCCAGATCACTTCGCGCCCTACACATATCAGCTCTTCACCTCAAACATAACACAACGAAGTGCGCTCCAGCTCGTTTCACCCAGGCCACACTCACGAGCACTAAATATCTTCTGGACATTATACATCTGGTCAACTGGCTCCCACGAGGATGGCTTTGGGGTAGCGCTTTGAAGACCTCTCATGCGGCGGCTGTTGCTACAGTGTCGGGGGTTTTGGGTATAGTCATGCATTACCATGGTAAAAAGTTATTACCGCGGTAGTCAAGTGTAAACGTTTTTTTTTGTAAAATGTTCTGCGCTGTAGATGATCCCAGTTGTACAATTTTAATTAAAACATTTTCAATGGTTTATAACGCGAATTAGTTAGTTCTGTGGCGATTAAACCAGTTTCGCCAAATACCTACTACGGTATAACAGATGGCGCTCGCGTAGCACATTTAACTTGATCTTCAACTCCCCCCCGTAACCACGTCTGCTGCGATCCCTCCGAAACGTTGGGTCGCTTTTCAAACCGTTAAAAGTGTTTTAATTAAATTTTCTACACTTGACTTAATCAGCAACTAGATCTAGTATTTATAACTGGTATGGTTATTACGTTATAGATAGCTTTTATATGTTATGTTCTTTAAAACTATTTCACTAATTTTCTATTGTTTCTTGTTGTATATATATAATGTTCTATTATATGCTGTTAGGTCACGCAACATATTAATTCTTTTGTAGTATAAAACCAATTCTTTATTTTCCTTCTTCTAGTCATTGAAATAAAACGAAAGTCAATATAACTCCTTTTATTGAGACCGGTATGAACAAAATCTTTTAAAAATACACCTCATTTCTTTCATTGATTAATTGATGACGTAGACAAGACATTGATTATATGACGCATTAATTGACTTTGCCAGCGAACAAAGATCAACTATAATTGATATGTTCTAATCGAGTTTGTCGTTATCACTTCACTTGTTGCACATTTAGGCACACTTTTGTGTCCGGTTAACTGATCGATTTTATAACAGCAAAGACTTATAATTTTCTCCACCTAAACAATTGTCTCCTTGGGCCTCTCCTTCACGCTGTACTGGGGCGTTAAACCATTGCGTCACTAAAGCCACTGCTAACGCGCAGTAGACATTAAGAAAATTGACAAACCGAAGGTTTCAGTACGCCATATATTAATTGTTAAAATATCTCTTACCGATAATAATGACTAAAAACATAACATATGTTCTAATACAATTAAGTAATATATTAACATAGATTACAATTTTATTTATCACACAAATTTGATAATATCCTATACTAATAAAACTAAACCATTAAAGAAAAACACAAAATTATATTTTTATACACACTGGTGAGTATAGTATTTCGTAAGCTATCAAAAAGTTGTCTTTTAATATTTAGCTAAAATTGTATTTTTTAGATATATGTTAATTTATAATGTTTCTTTTTTAAATATTCATATGCTCTCCTAGAGATTTTCTGAATTCAGTAATTAAGACGTCGTGTTTACCACATTGAGTTTTACCAGATACAAGGTTAATAAAGGCAGTCAATTTTGAATCACAGCAGTTCGTAAATCATCTATTTAACATTATCGGCAATGTCTAATTCGTCCTTGAAATACAACTCCTTATTGGGATACAATTTATTAGCTAATTGGACTAGTCTTTTGAGCGTCGGTGTTTTGTGCCACGTGATGACGTCACCGGGTGTTGAACCTAGCACCGCAGTGACGGCTGCTTCGTAAGAGCGTATGTTTGATTCCGAAGACGATGTTGAGCATTGGGCAAGACGACAGAGTAAGCGGTGCCTATAAAAAAAATCAATTTAATTCAGTTTTGTGTTCGATTATATATCCGGCTCGAAGGACCAATTTTATAAGAATACAATGCACGTAGTGAACGTACCGAGGTGTAGGCGCCGGCACTGTCGCTTGTAATGCGACTACTTGTAGTAAAGATCGTTTATTTTCAATCGCCCATTTATCAAGTAATTCTTTTGCAACATTTCGACATTCCCTCATATCATCTTCTTCTCCCAAGGTTGAAGCAAGTCGAAAAGCTACGCATATCCACAATGCCACTATTTCTTCATTCTCAGAACTGTAAAATGATAAAATATAAGTATTGTAAACCTCCTTTTGGCAACAAAATGAATTTAAATCGAACAATAGAAAAGTGTCTGTGCCTATACAAAGAATACAAAATGTTTTTCACGTGTATTAACGTGTTGATATTATGAATATTTAAGATTGACTAGTGGTGTTATTTCGTTATGTGAGTAGTTAATATGTTATTTATTGTCCTTCTTTACTATTATTTTAATGTTACGCAAAAACGAAAAATTCCAGGAAACAATTACATTGATTCGAAGGAATAAACAACTTTAAATAACATCTGTTACAAAACATCGATTTCTATATAAAGTAATGTTTTTATACTTACAAATTTATCTCCGTGTGATGGAGTGCTGTTAAGGCGTCTTTCAGACGAGCGGGCGTGTGTTCGTTACAGCGGGCGCGAAGGAGCGCGTACGCAGCGTGCAAACCGCCGCGTTTTATACACGCGCTGGCTTCGCACCATGCACTAGTTGACCAACGCAACTGTAGTTCTTTCCAACCGGTACTATCTATGATTTAGATTTATAGTTTTTTTTGGTGACAGATACAGAATAATAAACTAAGAGAGATTTCTTTAAGAGAAAATTATATTGTAACGATACAGGAGGCGTTCAATTGAGAAGATCTAAACAAGACTCTGTCGACCTCTTTTGGCTTTGGATAATCGGAAATTCACACAATATCCATATAATATTACAACCGCCGCCATGAGTGTTATAACACTGTAAATCTGTTTGGATTTAAAAAAAGTTCTCGTTCAGCATGGTTGTAGAAACAATTGTTACCTCGGGATTCTAGTTCAAGCTATCTCCTTAGGGACTAATGTTAATTGGGGCGTTGAAGGGACTTAAGGGGTGTTGTAAATAAAGTTAATGCTTATAAAAGAGAGTAAAACTATTTGTTCTTGTAACTGAAAAATACCTTTATTTATATGAGTCCTAACTATTTTCTCCGCCAGCGGTAGAAAATACTCGAAGTCTGTGAGCGTAGCGACGGCGGTCATACTGGCAACACGGAGTGAGTCGCTGCACGACGCCACCCATTGGACGAATAACTGAAATAGAATGAATATAGTGAGATAAGAGACATGAAAGATGTAAAAAAAAAAACACTTTTTATAATTGAAAACGCGAAAAATACAATTGGAAGGGGGGGGGTTTCGGAAAAAAAGGGTTTAAAAAGGGGGGGGGGGGTTGTGGGGGAAAAAAAAAATAAACAAGGGGGGGGGGTTTGTTCCCCCCCTTTCCCCCCAAAAAAAAGAGGTTTTTTTTTTTCGCTCCAAAAGAATTAGAAGTCAACTTACAGGCAGTACCACATTTGCAGCTGGTTCCATACACAGTATAATAACTGCGCGGCTCAGGATTTCTTCTATCTGACCCTCGCACTGCGCAATGTGCGGCGCTGTAAAATACACAAAATAAACGCCCGTTTACGGTTCAAGCCCCGCCTGTGGTACAAATATTTGACGCGTTGCATAAGTGTTTGAGTGAGCTATGGGGCAGATAAAAGATTTTTGGCAAAATAGCTTCCCTCCTCCTTTTTTGTCGTTAAGGATTTTACTTGTGAAAGGATATATGAACTCCAACGTGTTACAGAAATATTTAATATTCATTGGAACAGGATTCGATCATCACTGGGTCCAACATGTTTTTTAGATACATATCATACATTGGTACCATACTTTATCTAAGACTAATGTATAAGTAAAAGCCAATAATATATCGGACAATAAGTAATAAAATATACATAATTACCTAATTCTCCAATAATTTGCAACAATCGTTTGACCTGTGCCCTAAGATGCGACTGTAATGGCGGCGACACAATCGCGCGTATGTACTGCGACACGCTGCGGCAACGCTTCTCGTGTGAAGAGGCATTATTCATAACGGCCGCTGGAGTATTTGGATGTACGTAGAGTTGACATGCTGAGAGCAACACACTGTTGAAAATTAGTAGTTATGCGATTTAAAAACGAATATTTTTCACATATAATGGCATTATATAAGTTAAAAACGCTTTTTGATTGAAAAAAAAATACATTTGTTGGTTGAAATTACATTGCACGAGAGATGCATATAATTACGTGTAGTACACGATGCACGGTAAGCAACAGGTCGGAACGGTATGAATGCCGGTATACAGCGCGTGTCGTAAAATTGTTCAAATCGATTTTTAGTTTATGTTACGATGATAAGATTAAAAACGATAGTAATTTTAACAAAGCACATTAAAATACAACAGTCGTAGATTTAGCGTAACATAATATCATCAAAATTTACCGAAACTGAGGGAGTTCGTGGTACGGCATTGCGGGGTTGTGGTGTTGAAAATAGAACTGCTCCAACAGTTGGTCTAGGGCTGGAGTTGGAAGCCTCCACCAGCAGATACCACAGCACTCTGACAAACACTGTGTGACACGGTCAAGAAAATAGACTACTTGTTGATGTCGTTGTTATTAATGTCAAGTAAAATAAGGTTCTGACGCGAGAGTTTAAAAATCGAAGTGTCTTTTCAAACAGAGTATGTTAATCCGAATCGCAGGCGCTGCTTATAATTTAACGTATAGGTTCGTTGGACTAATAGTAGCAATGTATGGCGTAATCAACGGATCATTGGTACGACCCCCACTTGGTCTAACATGATACTAATCAATTTATTTTTCTGAAACATGTTGAAATTCGTTTGGAAATCTGGATATTAAATGGATTGTAAAAATATCGAAAATCCGTCCGGGGAACAAACAGCCGTCCATAGGGAAAAAATTGCGAAATTTAATCGGTTTCAGTCTGTAGATTTCCGAATGTCCAACACCGAAATAGGTTAACGGATCATTTTATATGGCTGGGGTACATCACCTTACATCGAATGAATTACAAGTTTTTCTACCATAAAAAATAAAAAATAAATAAATCCGTCAATTAGTGAAATAGATATCCGTCCCACACCATAACATAACATAATATAATATATAAATGGCGTCTAGTGTTTAAATTGAAAATGAAACTGTGTTACCTGTTGAGAAAATTGCATATTTTTTGACGTGAACAACTCGAAAAGTGCACCCAATGTTGGCGGCAGGTGTTGTTCGGGGACTGCGTGTAGCCAAGTCTCAGCTTTTGTATGACTTAGAGTTGCACTGCACCAAGACGTAATTTCCCTGTCTGTTGATTTGCTTATCTGTGAGAAATAAAAAGGAACAAATTTCATTAAAGAAAAAGTGTGAAAGCCCGTTTCCCCCTCGTGGGGCATGGGGCGAACACATTTCTGTGTCCGTTTCACTGATCCGTTCTTTAACAAGCAAGTAGTTAGTTGATCAGACTTCTGTGCCCTGCCCGACCGAAACAATTTTATGTTTCCCTAGAATCGAACTCAGGACCTCTCGCGCTTAACGCAATGCTAGGCAATACGTTTAACCATTTGGCTACAGAGGCGGTCATAGAAGAGGCATATTTTAATTAAAGTAATCAAATTATCATAATATTTGACTAGAGGACATAGTGTTTTCTCTATATTTTTACTTCCTTTAAAAAAAACTTTAACGGTTTAAAACGCGAAATATATCGACTGATTAACTTATTTAAAAACTATTTTAACTACGGTCGGGCCATGTTTGTCTTTATATTTAAATTTTAAATAAGCTTACCTAATATATTCCTGTTACTAAACAACATATAGTATTTTAATGTATAGTAAAATTAGACGTTGATTAATTGAGTCGTACCGAAAGACGTAGGAAATATAATTTTTACTCCAAAAGATTGAATATCGTATTAATTACTTTTTTCATACAACCTATACCTGTATAGCTCTAGGTAGACAGGTGGGCCGGAACCACTGGTGCTGCCAGGATAGCTCCTGCCCAAGCACAGACAACATAGCGGACAGTTGCACGCGACATTCTTGAGTACTGTTCGTACTGTTGGCACAGTATGTTTCCACGGTCCAAGACCAGATTTCACAAAGGAGGGATTCTGTGCTGTCTAAATTAATCATAATAATGAAGAACTATTTATATAATTTAATTTCATACTATAGTAAGAAAAAATATATATGTTTGTTGTAAAATAAAACTCTATAGAGAAAGTCTTTTTCAAATTCAAAAAATGTAATTGCCTTATTAACACATGTACAGTAAGCTAATAACGACTAAATTGCGTTAATAATAGATAAATAATTAATAGATGAGAATAGCAATCGGTGCCAGTGGCAGCTGTGCTGCGAAATGCTTCTCACGTGCAGCAACGCTGGCTTTCAGACTGGGTATAGTAAATGACGAATTAAGCTTATAAGATCAATTTATATAATAAGGTCAAAGATTGAAAGTAAAACCATAATATACACAAACAATATTAGGTTTTGGTGTAGGTGCAATGACTAATAATCTATGGGCCGTGAGTTCGATTCCCTACCAGATCCAACATTTCTAATCAATGTATATGTCTTGCTCGACTTTGTCAGGAAATCTGGATATTTAATGGGTGGTAGGTATTTCGAAATTTCATCTGGGTCACGAACCACCGTCCACAGTTGAAAATGTCAAGTTTAATCACGTTTCGGTTTCAGTCTGTGGATTTCCGAATATCCAAAGCTAAAATAGGTCGACAACATATCTTGTGTGGATGCTATAGGCTGGCGTATTTCACCTACCGAATGAACCCTATCTTTGTCTGTTCTCAGTCAAAAGTAATTTTCCACTATATTCATCGATTTTTTATGTACATACCGGGACAATCTCCCATCACCTGCTTGATGCAGTCCACGAAATGGTGCAGCATTAGAGAGTACTGCTCATCCTCGCAGGCGGAAGGCAACAAGGGTGGAAGCGAATGTGGGGATATCCATGCTGACCACGACTCCAATAAAGAGGACCAGGCATATAGTGTTACTGTAATAATAAATGTTTTAGTATTATTATAAAAATGTATTCAGATTTCAATACACAGGCGAGACTTGAACCGACATCCACAACGTACCGTGCTGCTTTAGTTTATACATATAATGAAAAAATAATAATGAATTCAAATGTTGTAGTGTACACAAAGTGATTTGGTTATGAGTTCCCGTATCCTTTGTGGGGACGACATAGGCGAATAATCTGTGTCCGTTTCTCTAATCAATATAAATTTTTTTAAGCGAGGTTTAGACTTCAGACTGATCTGGTATTATACATTCTCTATTAGGGTATGAGAGAAACCGTCTATGTAGTCAAATGCACGTAAAGCGTGAACAAGCATCTTACCTCGTTCCGCAGCGTAGCTTAAAGCCAGCGCGGCTGCCACAAATGCTCGCTGTAAGGCCGTCAACAGATCGCTCATATGCGGTGCGTAATGCACATACATTTCAGTGTTCAACGCAGCCTTACGCGCCTCCCACCACAAAGATCCAATGTCTCGGAGTAGATGACCAATCTAAAAGTTAAAAAAATACATAAAATTTTGATGACGTTTGACTTCACATGGTGACATTATTTAACAATTGATTGAATAACTATTGTCCAATTTTTTCTCCAGGAATCGAATCCGTGACCTCTCGCGCTGAACGCAATGCTAGGCAACACGTTTTACTATTTGGTTACAAAAGACGATCATGTTGACTTTTACTTATATTCAATTTGAACGACGGAAAATGTTAACTTTTTAAATGCATTTAAGAGAATAAACAAGATAATTTTAAACATTCTTTAAAATGTTATCGTCAGCTTAATATAAATTCCAAATCTACCTCAAATAAAGCACGCAATAAATAGAACAGCAGCACGGATGGGATATGGTCATGATTTCCAGTCCTGCTCGTGTCGCCGATATTTTTTGTTTTACATAACGGGAAAAACAAGCAAGGTCATACGTTTTTCAAAATTTCCCATTTCTTATCCAAGTTTTCCAGGCGTATAAAACGTCGCAGAAAAAATCTAAATTGAATTTCAGCTGCATTTAGTGGGAATCGAACAAATATGCCGTTCGATTACTAGCCATATGCTACCATTAAAGTAACAAACCCTCAAGTACAAGTGAACTAATAAGAAAATTAGCAGGGCAACACCATCTAACCTGGTCGAAGGATAACTGGTGCGCGTGCGACTGTACAGATCTCGTTAGATATGCACAGTACTCCGGTGGAAGAGTAACCCTGGATGCGCATTGGCAGGAGTTACAGATGTGCTCGCTTAATTCTGATGCCGTAACTACTGCGTGTGAGTGCACGCCTAATAGCTGCGAAAAATACAGGCTCGGATGATGCCGGCAGAAGTAAACAATTTAATATTACCGTTTAAATAAATAAAAGAGTTTTAACGATTTAAAACACGAAATGAATTAGTGGTCACGGTGAGATTGAAGAAGGAGGGTGTCCCTATGCTAGCAGCAGTATCTGTTTATATTTTTGTTGAAATTCTCCAAATACCAACTACGACGAAACAGATGGCGCTAGTAGCTTAGCAGCAACAGAACTTTGATATCAAAGACATTTAGCATTTTAAACCGTTAAAAGTGTTTTATTTAAACGTATGTGTACTATTCGCTTAAACTACAGATCATACTTATGAACGTTGTAGATTTTTGATAATTTTGGAATGTTTAGCGAATAACTGTGTATCAGTATTAATGATTTATTATTATTAAATAGATTTCTGCGGTATCGTGCACAAACATGCCTATTTATATTATCTACTCTCCTTTCGCCTTAAAAATTTTCAATCACGTATTTCACTTTTCACCCATTACAAAAAGTGCTAATTACAAACACTATAAGTACCAAATTAGTTTATAAGCTTGACTAGCAAATAAGAGATTTTAGATAGATGTCTCGAGAAAGCATTTACATTTCACACGAATTAAAAACCAAAAATTTTACAAGACATATTACACGAAAAATAGAGTCTACATCAAGCAATAGACACCAATAAAAAAGAGAGAGAAAATGTACATTATTTGTTTTAAGCACAACATTCATAACAAAAAAAACAGCATTAAAAACATAATGCGTAGTTACCTCGATAAGCATATAGTGTTCTTGATCGGGCTTCGCCCCCCATTTTTGGGCGGTAGCAGTTAACGCCTCCAGCACGTCTTTCCGTTGTTTCGTATCCACCTCTCGAGACCAGCGGGGCATGTCAAACTGTCACCATGAAGTAATACGATTTATTAGTAATTTGATCATCGTTGCTTATTTAACCTTCCAAACGTACTTAAACCGACCCCCCCCCCTCAACCCAAAAAAAAATATAGGTAAAACTCAATCTTTATTTGTGAAACAGACAGATGATAGAAAAGGACAGACAAGACATGGAGGTAACTTGTCTGCTAAACATTGAAAAAAAAATGCAGTTTTACAGTTATATGTTACTTTTGGTTTACCTACTAAATGATATTATATTAATAAGAATAATTTACTGAACTTTTATATTTTGTAAAAGAGACACTAAATCTGCCTGTGAATAAAAATACCTTAGAGAGATAACTGAACATAGCGTGTGAGGGTAGATTTGCCTTGCAAGTGGCCATATAGACTTGCGCCCAATCGCGCATGGGCAGTTTCAAGGGCGATATTAAGCTGCTGCAGAGTAACTGCTGAGATGGATCACCGTGACTCCATCGAGACAGCAAATCTGCTGAACGGCGGGAGTCCGTACATATCCACTTCTGAAATTGTTATTTCAGAAAGTTTCACCATGATATAATGTTTCAAAAAATAAAATAAGTGAAATCTCTACGGAGGTAGTTATAAATTACTGTTTTATTGTCACTCACAAATATAGACTAATTATTGTCAACTCACCTCAGCTAGAAGCGTCACTGTGTTAGTGAAGAGTTGTTGCGCAGGCGTGCAAGAATGAGCCATCGGAGTATATCGCCACACTCTCTCGCAGATACTCACTGCCGTCTCCGCGTTACTAGTACGCCTAGAAAAAGCAATAAGGAACCCCTTTTTTACTAATACTTTATATTTAGATTTTTCAATGAAATTGGCGAAGAAATATGAATTAAAAATCGATTTAAAATTTAAAAAAATTACCATACGGTAGAACATTTTCAATTTAAAAATGAAATTTAATTTTTTATAAGAATAATATGCAGTTGTGCAATGTGCAATACATGTGATTTTTTTTTAAAGAGTAGATACAATATATACATAACATTTTAAATAACCTTTGAATTTCGTATGAATGTGAATATAGAAAAATGAAATATACAAACAAGACTCTTAAAGATGGAACATTAACTTACTTAGCTGCAGCTAGTAAAGTAGCGGCAGTACGAGCAAAGTGCGGGCGCGGCCTGCACAAGCGACGAACGGAAGCACGGGCCGACCGTCTATAATAATAAAATGAATATTCAATTTACTTTAATAGTTTCACTATAATAGTTTATTAATTTATACAATGAAGCTAAAATATACATTAAGCACTTTTATATAATACGACAAAATATATAGCTGTACCTCTATTTGTCGCGAAAACACATAAAATTAAACCCTCTTGAACTGTTTTTAACTGGAACTATACTAATAACTAATTTACTTGGGAGTTAATAAATAATTTTTCCCCTGTTCTTTGTTATTTTTGAGTAAAAATCTAAAGCTAAATTAATAACCTATTTTTTTTAACTAAACATTGGAATTGGGATAAAGATATATACCTATTTTCTTGAATTTCACGTTCTGCTGCAGTAGATATACACCATTCGTCCTCCTTTATCGATATGAAAAATAAAACAAATCTTTTCTAATTACATTTATTCAAGAAACCTTTTACCATTTCTTATATTGTACTAAAAATGTGGTAACCGGCATCACGGTTCGACGGGCTCGTTTAAGTAATCGTAACAATATATGGCTAATAATCAACGGATTGTTGGATCGACCCCCACCGGGTCCAAGTCTGACCAATTTATAATTTTTCCGAAACATGCTGGACTTCGTCTGGAAATCTGGATATTAATTGGTGGTAGGAATATCGAAATTCCGTCGGGTCACGAACCATGTGCACAGATGAAAAAGCCGTGAAGTTTAATCGCGTTTCGGTTTCAGGGTGGATGTATTTCCAAATAGCCAAAATAGATCGACAGTGCATCTTGCGTAGATGTTATATGGCTGCGTAAAAGGTGAAATATCACCTATTTTCATATAAAACGCAAACACCTCATAGGCGAAAAAGACAAGACTTTTATAAGAAAATTACTCACCGCTATACGAAGAGTAATAGGCCTACAATTCTGCGGACAGCTTTTTTTGACAGGTGGGAGAGCTCTGCGCACGCGCAGTTTTCTAACCGACTCCCACAATTGTACGTCCAACTGCGATATACGTTGGACCTCGCTGGACCACTCTCTGATAGAACGAATGGTATAATAAGATTCAGTTCATTGCACTAAATTAATAACTGTGCTATTTTGTCTTTGTTTCTTGTTGCGGGGGGCTTATATTGTGTGACACTATCAACAAATATTAATTTATTTTAGTACACAGAATGTGAGTCCTTTCAGCCACTTCATTGATCCAAGGGTTCTATCTCGCATAGAAGAGGTTTATTTAAGAGTCTATTAGACTTCTACTGACTTAGAAGTCAACGTTGGTTTTAACGACTACTGTCACTAAGTAAGAGACACAGACATAAATATTAAAATACTAACGCTTACCAGCAATATACATATTTTATACTACGTTTCCATGTTTTAGATGTCTGGTCACTGGGTACATCTCTCTACCGCGTTTGAAACCGTTCAAAGTGTTTTTATTTAACTTAGTGAAATAGGGACCAACGACTTAAAGTGCCCAAAGAGGCACGAATAGTTAATACGTAAGTACATTATATAAAAATTCTGCTTTTGAAAATAAATAAAAATACTAATAATAATAAATTTAGTTGAGTGTACTGACCGGGCGAACTTTTCAACTTCCGTAAGGTGTTGTTCGATAAGCCTTAACACAGTGCGGGCGTCGTTGAAGTTAACCTGTTCCACTAAGGATTTAACGATGATTTTTTTTCTTCTGAAAACATAAAATAATATCATGGATATACATAAATTTTTCTGCCACAGAACAAAAAATCAGACTGAAGTATCACAAACTAAATACTAAATAACAGTTCTAAAAGATAAACAAAAAAAATATATAAAACACTGTCTGTGTCATTAGCATGTAAAAAATATAAATTAAATTTTATAAGAAATTGCACATTTACTAATACATGTTTTAGAGGAATTAGTATTTTTAGACAACATTTTAAACCTTTGCCATAATTTTGACATTTTGTCAATTTTTACGTCTAGATTTTATGTATTACTTTCCAAATAGAATAAATGCTTAGTTATGACCAGGTGGACAAACAAACACACTTTCGCATATATTACATACCTTATATGAGCTCTATCTTTGACAGCGTGTATTGCCTTTAGTGCCATCTCGTGGTACGTAAGATTATTTGCTTCAGTTATTTGAGGTATCTTTGGGATGGTGGGTGATTTAGGAGAAAGATTCTGCAGGCACTTATGCCACGCTGCTGATAGAGCCTGAAATAAAACATATACTATAAAACATAATTTGTATAACTTTGTAAGATTTAATTAAATCAGTCTTCCTTTCTTACTGTCAATAGACTAGACGATAGAGACAGCAAGTAAGTAAGAAAGAGATGACTTACGCTATTGGATATCTAAAATAAAATCCATCAAAATAGCTTAAATTGACACATTTTGGTTTATATAAATTAAAATGCCATTATAAATTTAAAAAAAAATAACACGAGCAGGACCGACATCCACAGTGTTCCGTGCTATTGCTCTAACAAATTGAGCTACCATGTCTTAATGTGAAACATATTAAAGTTGAAAAATATTTTGGTTTGTTAAATATGAATAATAATAAATCTTAAGTCCTAAAATAATAATGTAACATTAGATAATTCATGTATTACATGTTCCGGTACAAATCTGGCAATATCAGCGTGGTGTGGTGAAGCCCGAACTTTCTCCCCTTCCTCTAACCAACGGCTGTGTTCGCGAGCTAGTCTGAAAACCATAAATGTATTATTTTACCTTAAAAAAAGACTTGAAATGAAAATTGAAAAATGAAAAAAATCCTATAAGCATGGTTTCTTTGTAAGTATTTCTTGTGACACATGGTTGAAAATATTATCAAAAGTTTAATTCTGAATTATTATTTCTTTTTAATGTTCTTCTATAGTTGAAACTAGTTCTAATACTATACAATTAGCAAAAATATAAATAGTAAATAGCGTCATACACACACTTACTTTTCAGCTCCACTGTGATAGGCCAGTATACAAGAATTATCATTTTCTACGGTTGCAATTTCGAAGATCTCGCTCTGTTTATCTTCTTCATCGGAACAATTCGATTCTTCACTCGATTCATCCACCATATCGACAATCGATAGTTCTGGGAATATATTATCAGAAGTGGGACTCTTTTCGATTCTTTTCATTGATGTTTGCGGTTGGTCAATTTTCGGGGTTTGGTTACAAGATTCTATTGCGCTATGGTGGTATGTAATCGTGTCTTGAAGGCGTTTCTTTAGTTGTGCGAGAGTGCGAGTCTTTACTAAGCCACTGAAGAATAGAGGGCCAACTGGTGTTGTAAATTCGTGGCTGGAAACGAAATATTACATGTAAGAAGAGTGCTTTATTTGATATATAAGTGTTTTTAAAGGTAAAAGGCGTGATTAAAATTAAAAAAAAATTATCCTATTATTTCCAAAAAGGTAAGTTTGCAAGGATTTATATGAATTTAAGAAAAAACAACAAAAAGAGTAAAGATTTCCTTGCGTCTCTATGTCTTATTTTGTATATGGAATTTTTTATATATCAACTATAGTACTGACGGACTGGCGGGCGGCCTTTGTAAATACAGATGAAAGAAAAGTCTCCACAGTGTCAAATGGGCCGGATGTGAAAACGGAACATTCAAGATGGCGGTAGCAGTACGATGTATTACCAGCTCATCTGAAGTCGTAGTAGCACCCGCTTGCTGGAAAATGAAATAAAACTACTTCGTCATTACGTCTCATGTCTACAGAATAAAATAATTTATCTCCAAAAGTTTGAGTAGAAAACATTGATACTACACGAAACCACTTTGATAACATTACTGTTATAAGATATTGTTTTAGTTGATGCTTTAGTAGTTACTACCTCCATGGTTCAACTAAAAAGCTTTGTATTGTCTCAGCTGCTTAAAGTCTCGGAATTCGAATCCTGCGGAATGGGTCAAGTCGCGTATTGGTCGAAGACTGTGTATAAGTAAACCATACACACATGTAGAAATAGAATCTGTTTTATACCTTAATAGCATTGTCAACATGTATCTTTTGCTTGTTGATTTTCTGTGCTGCTAATATATCTAGTACACGATTGTACATTTCACTAGATAATTCTATCCCGTGCGCACGGCGTAGTACACTTTCGCACAAAAGTGGTGCTGTAAAGGCATGTCGTAGCGCATCATCAATGTACTGTTTGCTGTTTTCTTCCTAAAAGAGATTTTATGAAAACATAATATGTAACAAGTGATTCATAAACAACTCACCATTTATTGTTTACGCTAATAACCAAAAAAGTTTTAGAACATATTTGAGGGTTCTGTTTTTATAAGATTATTTTTAGGTCTTTGATTATGACCTTAATTACATCTAAATGTGATGAATCTTTTTCTTGTACCCAACTCTAAACTTTATTTACCACTACGCACTAGTGTGATATGTGAGTTAGAGATTCTGTCATTCTATACCTGAAGCAAAACAGTAACATGCGCATCTAGCGTCCTCCAGTCTTGAGTAGCCCGTACAGCCGCATCTAAAATCGCTCTACTCGAGCTGATTTGCGATGGCGTCCATAACGCGCGAAGCCAAGCCGTTAGTAATGCGCTGCGAAACTCCAAACGCAATCTAGAAATCATAATCCGGCTTGAAGGACCGAAGATTAAAAAAGGACAAATACGAACGTTTAAGAATTAAAAACGTATAAGAATAGCTCTACCAACCAAGGTACCGTGTACTATTAATTTATACATCAGAAGTACGCTGGTTTCGAGTCCTAGCAATGTCGTCCAATTTTTGTCAATCTAAAATAGATATTTAATTTCTTTAGCTATATTTATTTAGCTATCGTGTGTTTCAACATTCAATTATTTTACATATTTCACGTGATTAATGTCATCCTTTGTTCACATTACCAGCGTTGATAGTAAGAAAATAATAAATGTGTGAATAGTAAAGATTAAACTAACTCTGTATCCAATAATTGATTTATAATGAGACTCAGTAGTAGATCACTGCCGCTTTGTCCACCACGCCCAAACGCCCGTTGCACGACATTTGGACCCCAATTTAGTATAACCGTTACCACCTCTGAAAACCTGTTTAATATGTTTCAGTTAATTTGTATGTTTATTAGTGTATTAGCTTAAAATGTTACTTTTCAGTTGTGAACACACTCTTTATTATTTTGCAAAAAATACTATTATAGTCATCATCGTTACTCACTTAGGTGTGAAAGAGATAGACTCTGGAGAGTGCGCCATCAGAGTCATGAGTCGTCCCAAACAGTGCACCGCTTCTATTGGACGAGATACTGATAGGCGATGTAGAGCTTCTACCCCTGGTTCACAGGCCTGAAACATGTTTAATTTTTGAATATTCTAATTGAGTATTCCAGCAGTGTAAGTATAAGCCAAAATAATATTGAAACTTTGATTACGATATTTTGTTGTATAAAAGAATTGTCTGCCTTTGAAATTATCTCCTAATTTGTAATAACCTATTTTTAATTGTTATTGTTTAAGTATGTGTGTCTCCAATTAATGTAACTGGCTATTGCCGTTTTAATTGTTGTAAATAAATAAATAAATTTGTAAATTAATAGTAATCTAGAATTAAAAAAAAAAATTGCAATCGGAAATACAATCTTTATAGGTCATAAACTGGTTGTTCTAGTTGCTAGTAGCTAGTACAAGACGTCATGGGTTCGAAGCTTAGGTAAGTCGAAATATGTCTTGGTTAACATTTTAAGCCCGTGGTCCTAGTTATAAACACTACTATAGTGTTTCTAGTCTTTAAAGCCCACCAACCTAAACTGGAACAGTCTGGTGGATGTACGCTCTCTCATAGCAAAGAAAACTTGAATCCCGACAGTAGAACAACAAAACTAAACAAAGCACAAATGGTACAAATGTCTATTGCCTTTTAGGCTTAAGTAAATAAATTGTATGTGATTGTAGTACTTACAAGTGGGATACAATGTCCCCAATCAGACGCCAATATTGCAAACATCATTTCCAACAGTGTCTCTGGTGGTTTGTCAACGCTAGGGGCATCATACGGCAACGCCCAATGGGACCGATGTAGGCGTAAAACGCGTAACAAGGTCCACGCCCAGTCCGGGACTTCGGGCATTTGTGTTAACCACCATCCAATGTATAGTTGACTCTCTAGTAGTACGCCACTGAAAAATGTCCAACATTCCATGATTATTATAAATCGGATGGCTACTTGGGGCGGGTCGATGGAATCATCAAGTAATGTTGAGCGGTCCTCGTCTTAACGAAGGTAACCACAAAATTGAATTTTGATAAAAATTTACTGTTTTTACAGACAATAAATGTTATAGAATTGTTTTAATGGGTCCCTTATTGTTAGTAAGTATAGGAAAACAAAGGCATCAACCTATAATCACGCCAAAAGAAACTGGCAGTTGAGAAAAAAAGAATAATTGAAATACAGAATATATTCAAAGTTACACAAATCAGTTTTCACACAAATTTTACGGTTTAAGACGTTTATTTTTCTTTTAGCAGGTCATTAAATATTGAAAAAAAAATCTCTTAAGATTTTACAAAATCACTTACGGAGAAACAATGAACTATACTTTAGTTAATTACGTTTAAGTTATTCTTACGAGTCTAATCGTATTAAAAATAAAAATAACAAAAGCGGATAGGATATTAAAACTCTTTGCAAGTTCTATTAACAGCACGGCGCATTTGCTTCTTATCTCTAACTAGCTGTGCAAACCCCGTCATCTTTATAAACATAAACTGTTAGCCACGACGTCGATTGCGTCCCTTCCCGTCGTTAAATATTTGAAGAGGAAAATAGAGAGGAAATAATTTAAAGAGGAATCATTATTTTATACATATTTTTTAGTTATCTTGAACCGTTTTCGCAGCGTACGCAACTGAAACCCACAGAGATGAAAGATGTCCCCCGTTTTGTTCACATTTCCCCACTGTATCTTCGCTTTTATTAGTCACAGCGCGCTGTGTTATAGCCGTTAACCTTCCTAGATAAATGTTCTAACCAACACAAAATAATTTTTCAATTTAAACTCGTAGTTCCTGAGATTAGTGCGTTCGAACAAACAAACAAACTCTTCAGCTTTATATATTAGTATAGATGTATCTTGTAAAGGTGGGCGCATATCGCATAGCGTAACGCATTATTGGTATAATTTTTGATTTTTCATGAGAGTCATCATGTAAAGAGTAGAAAAACCAAATAAAATTATTTACCTATGTGGAGTATAGTCCATACTCATTAACAACTGCTGTATAAATTGCGGGCACCTTTGCGACCAGTCATTCAACACTACTTGGAGATCGCCGGGGGTCGGACGCCATTTTTCGACGTGTAGATGTTTAACCATCTCGGTGTCTATGGCTTCGCCTGGAAACAGAAATTATTTTTTCACCAATTAGATCTCACAATACACAGTTTATGGCATACTTCAAATTGTACAGCAGTTTATGACATTTTTAATACAAGGATTATATAAGCATGCCATTGCCCTCTTTCGGGCTGTTCGGCTGAACAGCCCGAAAGACAGTGATAGCTCATACCCCCTTTTAATTATCACTTCAATTTCTATATCTAAACAGCTGTAAGATATAAAATCCCTAAATCAACGCTTCTTATTATTAATATAAGAGGCCTATAACAGAAGACTATACAAATTTAGAATGAATTCTTAGAAAATCTTTTAAGATTAACTTCTTCTTAATCTATAAATACTATTTTAATCATATAGACAGATGATAAAGATATTTCTCGCAACTTTGATTTTAATATTATATGTAAATGCAAAGTTCTATTTAGTATGTTTTTCCTGTCTAAGGAAATTCATTTTATACTTGAATTTCGACATACATTTACTTGAAATGAAGGCAAATAACACTACTATATTAAAGAATGGAAAATTATATCTTACGTACCGTGCGAAATATCAGCGAATATATGAAAGGCAGGTGTGTGAAGGTACGAGTGAACATCTATCAGTCGGCAGAGGCTGTCACGCGCCGCCACGTCGCAAGAGCACTTCTGATTCGTGGACTTTACGTCTTATTCCAGTCTAGAGGAGGAAATATTTTAAAACACTTTAAAATAGATCAACAAATTAATTATTAGTAAAATTGCAAAATAACTCTTTATTGAAATATCTTTAATTAATGGAGATATTTGGGTCCCATTGTCACATTTATTATAATAAATTTAGTACCAATTAAATTAATTAAGTACAAATTTTAAATAAGTACAAGTTAAAATTTTTTAATTATTGTTACGTTTTACAACAGCAATACGTATCTTTAAAAGTACATCAAATATTATATTGAGTTGGTTTTTAATCGCAATAAGTGTTCTATATAATCTGTACGATTTTCGTAAATTCGCGATGAATTTCATGCTGATTTGATGATTTTTATACAGATATGTCATTTAATAATTTATAATCACCTGAAATAAAAACTGCAGAACAACAGTAGCCAACTCGCGATCCATTAGCCGATCGATGGCGATTTGAGCGAGAACTTTGACTCGAGATTCGCAGGAGAGAACCGGCACATCCACACGTAGCGGCTCCACGTGCTGGGGATTACTATCTGAACAGAAGTAACAGAACAGGAGTAGGAGGACGGAAGGTGAAATATAGCCAATATAGGTCTAGTCTATGTTGGCTGTGGTCATTCGAAAACCCACAGATAAACACCAAGAAGCCAACAAACGGTGCGTGATGCGGACCAAATATTGATAGTCCTACCACCTATTTAAAAACTTGATATTCAGCACAAGTATAACATGCTTTAAAGACTTTGATATTTCTAAAAAAAAAAAAAAAAAAAAAAAAAAAAAGGGAGGGAAAAAAAAAAAAAAAGGGGGGGGGGGGGGGGGGGGGCGCGGCGGGGGCGGGGCCGCCGCGGCGGGGGGGGGGGGGGGAAAAAATTTTTTAAAAAAGTTTAATTTAAAAATCGGGGTTTTAAATGTTGAAGGGGTTTATTTTAAAGTGTACTACTCGCGTAAACTATAGACAGTATCTGACTTTGATATTTGTCACATTATGGCACTATATAAATTACAAGTAGATTTCATTGAAAAGATATTACGACACGAGCAGGACTTAAACCGCATCCACGTTCCCAGCTGTTGCAATTTATATAACATGTTTATAAAATGTATAGCATTGACACGCGTAAGATATTGAAACATGTGGGTGGGAATCCAACCCACGACTCGTTGACATTTTAATGAGCAATACATTGCTAACATTGACAATAAAATCCTCATTCTACTGTTCCAATGAGGGTTTAGGTGGATAAAAATACTCCTCGGAGAATGTTACCTCCTACTTCCAATTTTTGGGTCAAAATTTCAAAAAATAATACTTGTTTCTAACCTGGGACCTCTTTAATAATTGTCGAGTGAACAAACCACTCGACCATGAAGCAGTTGTTATAATACTAGTCATAGACAATGGTTACCACACCTGATCTTACCATGTAAATTCTCAAACGCCATACAATATTCCCTTGCCGTATCGTTAGACAGCAATGTAGCTGGTAGTCTGTGTAACTCTTCTCCCATCATAGAAATACCAGCAGCGAAGCAACCCTCCAACTCTTTTGATATCTTCATCTCCAGCTCTAGTTTGTAGGAGGCGCTGAAAAGTTGTCGAATCAGCATAAGAATAATATTACAAACTACCTTAAATATATTTTATTTAATGTAATATAAAAATAATTTATACTTATATAACGTAATGTATTTAAGAAATAAATGTCAACAAAAAAAGATATAGAAGATAATATTATAAAGTGCTTGTGAAGTGGGAGAAAACACTCAAACAATACCGAATTACGAGAAGCGCCGGAACATTTACAAATGTTTTATATCTTGATACGTAAGTGTTAAGGTTGAAATTACATTGCGCGAGAGATGCATAGTTCAATTTCCTATTGCTTTGATTCATTTATAGTTTTTTTTATTGTATTGTTATCAGAGCCATCACGCCCGTGTGTATTATTAATACTTAAAAATCTTTAATTAAATCTTAACGCATAAATACCTCGAGTGCATATGTAAAGCAGCTAACGCTTGCAGCATACTAGTCGCAAGTGTTCGCAACTTCTCACGCAAGCGTAGATATCCTTTCTGCGCCCGCGCACCACGCGATACAACATCTAGCAGAACCCGCGTGCCGCAACACGCTTTGAGTATTCCATGACCTCCAGACGAGTCGCCCCATTCGTATTCACTAGTTTGGCTTATATCCTACGATATAAAGAATTACACAGTATAAGAAAAAGTTATTAGGATTACTATAATAGAAACAGAGAAAGATAAACAAAACAAGGACAAACAAATATACAGAAAAAATATCTGTATATCCCAAGATATCATTTCATTATTTTGGGATATAGATAAACTTTTCAGCGAGTTCGTCCGCTGTTATAAATTAAAGCTGTTACCCACGATGTTGTTCGCGTCCCGTCGTTCTTCCGAGTTAATCGTAAAAAATATACTGTCGCAGACATTTTTTTTAGATCATATCAAGAGGAATTATTCTTTCATACATCTTATTTTGCAGCGAACGTAACGGAAAATCTCAAAGATGAATAATCTTTCCCATTTAAAGCCCTTTACAAAAACCTCCTTCCTCGACGAATGCTCTAACCAACTATTTTTTAATTTCAACCAGTAGTTCCTGAGGTTAGCACGTTCAAACGAACAAACTATTCAGCTTTATATATTAGTATAGAAATATATATAAGTTTCTAGTTCTACGAATTTAGTTTTTATAGTATCATTAATTCTTACCGATCTTCCAAATAAAGCGATCCTCGCCACAAGATCTCTGAGGGGTAAGGAGTTGAGCACAATTAATAGGTCTCTTTCTCGCAAACGCCCCTCCCCCACTGCACCGCTGTCACCTTTCACGTCTACTTCTTCCCACGTGTCAAATTCTAGAACACAATTTGATTATAATAGAGATAGAAGGGAAAGAAACCTCATCTTCCTTGAAGAATAATATAAATATTAAACTAGACAGAAAGTATTTGTTTATGATATCAAAATAAAGTTTATGAAGTAACTATATTAGTACTTGTAGACATAACATAGAGAAGGACAGACATAGCATGGGAGTCACTTGATGGTAGGTGATATATCCCTGCCTATAGCATCTAAACAAAATGTGTTGTCGACCTATTTTGGCTTTGGATATTCGGAAATTCACAGACTGAAATCGAAAGGCGATTAAGCTTTTTCATCTGTGGACGGTAGTTCGTGTCCTGGACAGAACTTCTATATTCCATTTAATATCCAGGTTTTCAGACGAAGTCCAGCATGTTTCAGAAAAATTCTCTATCTCTCTTGCACTGACCACCTCTAACTGTACCACAAAATGTTCCAATGCACGTTTACTTTCGTTTTTTTTTTGTATTTTGTTCTATATAATACATTACTACCGAACTCACCCTCTGTACACTCGAGAGCATTATCAAATGGTGAGGACCCAGTGAGAAGGATGTCCAAGACGGCAATAAGCCTGGCCGCTGATGACGTATCCTGCGCGCGCATACGTATGACACGACCGGCCCATTGCACAGAGCGGCTTTGTCTATTAGAAGAGGGCTAGTCACTATACTTCTAGTATTATAAACATAGGCCATTTTTATTTTTACTTAACTTACTTTTTTTGCATTAATTTTCATTGAAAACCACTCTAATAAGAGCAATAGCAATATTGGTTGTAATAAGCCTTTATCGTGTACTAATTCTTTAAAACGCGAAATGTATTAGTTAAATTATTTATAAATAAGTATAACGAATACAATTCGCGCTTTAAACAGTTAAAGTGTTATATTTGAAAGCCTCTGTCCATGTCTTAGTAATGTATTTTTTTTTTCAATTTCAAAAATGTATTAGTTAAGAAATATGGTAGATTCTACTTTGACTTCTTTGTAGTCCTTCTTATACCTGAACAAATGATGTATAACAAACAGAAGCTGCCTTAGGTCTCTCTCATCTACCAAAGCCTCAGTCAGTAAGGTGGCCCAACGCTCCAAAGCTTTAGGATAGACAGCTGGTGCTCCATCACTTATACGGCACGCGTGTAAGACTAGTGTCAGCGCTTCGCGAATCTCAACTTTGTTGCTTTGTATTGTTTCAGATATTAATTCTTCTATCTGTAAATTAAGTATAGTAAGTTAGAGATTGCAATTTTATGATAAATTTTGAGGTAGGTTTACAACGACTATACGGCAAAACTATTCGGTCAGATTGTAGCGCTAAAATATAAACTGGTATGACACCAGATTTTACTGTTCTCAATCAACCAATTGGTTGCTACCTTCTTGATTTTGTTTTACAAAATATTAAGTTTATTTATATGACTGTCTTAAGCTGCTGAGCATAAGACATTGAAACCTAATGCTCAAGTATTTAGCTTGAAATTACAACGCGCGAAAGGTGCATCGCATCAATTGGTTAGAAAAATTCGACGATGACGTGTAGTAGCACAACTGGATAGAGCAAAAGCACGGAACGCTGTGGATAGCGGTTCAAATCTGCAATTTAAATTTTCAGTCTAATCAAATCGCTATAACTACTACTAATAACTTAGTAGTAACGTAGTAATAACCTAGTAGTCGGTATTCCGCGAAATAAAATAAAAGACGCCGAATAGGTAGGATACCGAACAGTGACCGAATATTTGTTGCAAGCCTAGTTTGGAAGTCCACTAACCTGACAATGGGCCATTAAAGCAGCATGCTGATGATGACAGTATGACTCCTGTACATCACGAAGTAACCCTTCTAGTCTCAATTTGGCAGCCGGCAGCCGATCCTTCAGCAGCTCAGCATAATCATACACTACACGAAGATCTACATTTGCGCCGCATGGGCACTTTTCAGATAATAAAATACTTCGCCTTTCAATTCTCCAAAGAAGTGCACGACGTTTATCTTCTTCCGTGTAACCACAATTGATGTTAACTCGTTCTTTTTCCAGGACTGATAGAGAGGATCTGAAATCCATATTAATTTTTGGAGGTTATATTTAGAACACCACTTGGGACCTCACAAAACAACAGTTTGTACACATATAACCCATTATTTATTTAATTTAATCATTAAAATTACAATGTCATGACAGGTTTGACACTGAATTAAAAAACTAACATAGAAATATAGAATACAATTAAACTATGACTTATAAACTCCCGATGGAGATCCTCTGTGAAGAACGTAAAGACCTACCCTGGAGCAGAGTGCGGTACTGACCATAATCTTCTTGCGGCCAATTTTGCGGTACGACTGAGGGCACCCAGAAAACGGATCTTCACAAAGACAACAAGGTTGAATGAGGCTGAAACCGCCACCTTTCGACTGACGGTTGAAGACAAGTTAAGATCAATCTGCTTAGTTCCGGAAAACGCTGACGCGGCCTGGAATCAGTTAAAATCTCTCATATTTAACACCTTGAACTCTATCAAGAAGGGAAAGAAGGCGACAAAGGAGACCAAGAGATCGACTTGGATCTCAGAGCACACTTGGGAACTCACTCGTCGTAGGAAAACCCTTAAAATCAGAGGACTACAAGATCCAGAGGTGAGGGAAGAGTATTCTAAGGTATGTAAAGCCATAGACGAATCATGCAGACGAGACAAAAACAGGTACATACACGATCTCTGTGCAGAAATCGAAAACCACGCTCTAAACTACCAAACAGCAGATCTCTTCAATAAAGTTCGTTTACTAACGCGTAAGTTTAAACCGAAGACGTGGGCTATAAACGACGCGAATGGAACTCCCTTACATGAGTTGGATGAGATCACCGATAGATGGCGTTCATACTGCGAAGAGCTATATAAAGATAACTCACCTATTGGCCAAGCAAAACACAAACCTGACTGGCACACACTAGAAAAGGAGCCGGACATCCTACGCTCCGAGGTAATTGCCGCTCTTCGTCTTGTCAAGTCCAATAAAGCGCCAGGCCCGGATAGCCTAATTTCAGAGCATCTAAAGTCTCTGGGTGATGCAGGCATTAAAGTGCTCCATAAAATCTGCAACTTGACATGGACAACTGGAGAATGGCCAAAAGACTGGACGAACTCAATAATACTACCCATCCATAAAAAAGGTTCCACTAAACTATGTGACAACTACCGCACCTTGGCCCTCATCTCGCACGAAAGTAAAATACTGCTGCACATAAACAACAGACGCATCCGCCATTACTTAGATTGGCAGATTCCGCAAGAGCAGGCAGGCTTTGTGAAGGGGAAAGGTGCGCGGGAGCAAATCCTAAATGTCAGACAAGTCATCGAAAAAGCCTATGAGTACAACACGCCAATGATCATGTGCTTCGTAGACTACAGCAAGGCTTTTGACTGTGTCAACTGGAACTCACTATGGGGAGTACTAGAAGAACTGGGAGTCCCAAAACATATCACGGCACTTGTCCAAGCTCTTTACTATAATAGCCAGGGTGTCGTTAGAGTCAACGAAACAATGTCTCGGTCGTTCAGGTTTGGGAAGGGTGTACGCCAGGGCTGCATCCTCTCTCCTATTCTATTCAATGCCTACGGTGAATACATAATGAGGCATACCTGCGACCAATGGCGTGGAGGCGTGCGTATAGGAGGAGTTAGGTTAAACAACCTGCGATATGCAGACGATACTACACTTCTAGCTGCAGATGAAGCCGAAATGTGCACACTATTGGAAAGAATGGAACAGATCAGCAATAAACTAGGCCTTTCTATCAATAAACAGAAGACTAAAATCATGGTCATTGATAGGAATGACACCCTGCGGCTCACTGGTGCACTTAACCTACAAGCTGTTCAAGAAGTCGTTTACCTGGGATCCACAGTCACGAGCAACGGTTCTTGTGAACCTGAAATACGAAGACGTATTGGAATGGCCAAAAGTGCCATGTCTCGGCTGCACAAAACTTGGAAGGACACACGAAAATCGAACTCGTCCGCACTCTTGTTTTCTCCATTTTCTTGTATGGATCTGAGACATGGACCATAAAAACCACTGACCGGAGACGAATTGATGCTTTCGAGATGTGGTGCTGGAGAAAAATGCTCCGTATTCCTTGGACTGCATTTCGAACCAACGCCTCCATACTCTCTCAGCTCAAGGTCCAAACAAGGCTCTCTACCATCTGCCTAAAGCGTATATTAGAGTACTTTGGACACATTGCCAGGAAGGAGGGTGATAACCTAGAGCGTCTGGTTGTTACTGGCAAGGTGGAAGGAAAAAGATCACGCGGCCGCAGCCCAATGCGTTGGACTGACCAGATCCGTACCACGCTCGAGTCCACGGTACATGAGGCTCTACGGGTAGCCGAAAACAGGCCAATTTGGCGTTCCACCGTTCGGAAAATCGTTGTTGGGGCTGGTCACGACCCTCAAGATTGAGGAATACGACTCAAGGAGGAGGAAACTATGACTTATAACTAACTATTAACTAATATTAAATATTATTAGTTTACTATTACTAATTATCAGTTTATTATTTTATAATCCACATGAAATCATAAACTGTAAACACTTCACGAGCTCACTCCATGCACCATAGAAAATGTCTTCCTATGAAGTAAGTTTACTACCTCTATTGCTCTTGTCCAGAACGCTTTTCCTATGGTTGTCTACCAGTAATTTATCTAAATAAAGTAGTATAACTAAAAATTTAAAAACTATTTTAAAAGATTCATAAATCTATATGATCATAAATGCAAGTAGATTTAATTCCATCCTTTTCAAATTCCTTTTTTACATGATTTCTTAATTTAATATTATAAAAAGTCAAGTACCTAAATGTGGATAACAGATCTACTAGGGGATGTTCAGGTCCACTCAAAGGTCCCGTTTCAACAGCTGCCTCCTCTCTCTCACTCATTTCTCGTACCTCTGCTATCTCCCTCCCTCCATATATTCTTAAAGCTTCTTCTAATGGCATACATGATTCTTGTAGCTTTCTAACAATAGGCTCAGAAGACTTTGGTGCAGTCAGTTCAGTCTTTACTTCAACAGGCAACTCAAGTAATGGTGCTGATGGTGTAATCTCATTACCTATAACCTTATCTTCAATTTCGACAAGAGATTCTTGGTCATAACTTGGTATTTGCATTCTTTGTAGCTTCTTATTCAATTCTCTGTAAGAATCAACTACTGTCTGTGCTTTTATTGTTTCATTATTTTTTAAATTCACTTTTACATTTTGTATCTTAGAACTATTAACTTCTTTACTCAAATTAGAATCCTGTTTACCAACATTTGGACATTTTATATCTATATATTCTTTCTCTATAGCCTTGGCTTCTAAGTTACAAATTTGACTAGTTTGAGTAGAGATTTTGATAACATCATTTTCTATAACACTGCTACATGAAATATTGTTCTCCGATGCAATAATACTTCCAGTCTTAGATAAAATCCCTGTTTCATTTTGTATATCACTTTGTAGTTCTGTATCTGCTATTTCATGAGCAATCAAAGTATCTGCACTAGTAGGTCTTTCATGTTTTCTGGTAGATTTTTCTTTTGATTTGTTTTTCTGAACAAAATAAACTTTAATTGATTATTTGCAATCGAAATAACGTTAAAGATTTAACTGTTGTATTGAAGACTTTTGACTTTCATTGCAAAGTTCTTAATAGGAAAATAAAACGCAATAGTTTATAACAAAGAATACTGATAAGTTTGAATAAATATATTTACAAACCTCTTTACGCTTCTCTTTCACAAGTGTCGCCATTTTATTTGTGTAGGACTATTATTCGTAAGTAAAAATATTTACACAAACCCTATCGCTTCTTTCTTTCATGTTAATGTTTAGATTCCAGGAACTAAAAACATGATCTTTTGCATTATTTTTGTTTTGAACAGTATCAGGTGAAACTTCGAAGTTTATGTCAATGTTAGCTGTCAAGAGAAGTTTTACATTTAAGTTAACATTTGGTTTAACTTGACACTGACAAATAGTTAATTCTTCTTGCCACAAATGAAAAAAAAAAAAGTTAACATTTCCATTCCATTTCTCACAGTTTATTTTATGAAATCTAAATTACGAAAAATAAGCTGTATTTTTCCAGAATTCACGAATTTAGAAAAATTTACAAAATGCAAGTTTTATACTAACGGCATAATATTAACAATATAAGTCCTATATAATTGAATATAGTAATGAAAATCGATCAGCAAAAGTTAGTAATTGGCCAGAATATGCCTGTGGGACTTGTCCTATACATAAGTATTTTTTTATTTTACATGCACAGAATATTATATTATATATAATACTAGCTGTGCCCGCGACTTCGTCCGCGCGGAATAGTGACTTTGAATAGAATTTTTAATTATTTAGTCTGTTTATTATTATATGTAAGGGTGCATTTAATGCAACCTATCTATGTTGTAAGAGCTACTATGCCGCAACACTCTCACCTCACATCACTCCTACTCTAACTCCCACTCTCATTCGTTAACTCAGTCCCACTCCTATTCCCAAAAAGCTAAAGATAGTTTCATTGTTTTAACTTCAAAAACCACGAATTTCCATGATTTTTTGGCATTAAAAAAAGTAGCATATGTCCTTTCTCAGGCTCTAAAATATCTGTATACCAAATTTCATTTCAATCAGTTCAGTAGTTTCAGACAGACCGAGTTATTTCCGCATGTATAATATTAGTATAGATAATATAATTATTTCTTACTTTGGATAGTATATTTTTGACTAGATAGTAAGCATGATGCACAACATTATTGAAATTACAATAAGCTTTTACGGATATTTGTAGGTGTATAGTAAAATACATATAAAAAAAAATACATTTAATGTTCTTCAGTCGAAACAGATCAATTCTTGTATCAAAACTACCTTCGTAAGGCAGTAGTATATCGCAATGCCAGGGACTGCGTAAGTGTAAGTGCTCCTGCACTATAGACACGGCGAGACAAGGTTTTGGCCAGACAAAACAGTGTTTCCCTTGTCTCAGTCCCCATTGTTTGAATCTGATGCTTCCGCCGTAATTACAAATACAGGACTTTTCATCTTACTAGATATTGTTTGTGATTCATAGTTATTTTGCTCCATTTTTAGACGAAAAACAATATTATTGATTTCATGCATCGCAATTTCCCGCTGATTTTCATCTAGCTTCTTTAATTTTTTCGCTAATAACTGACAGTAGAGATCACTTTCGTCGGATTCATCGGGCGATATTTTTATCAATTGTTCTTCTATTCTTTGATATGATGGATTTTTTCTTTTACAATTACTCAACCGCGGGTCATTTTGTTTACATTGGTTCACCATAATGTTCTTGGTTTTTGTGCCTTCGTTCAGTTTCGTCGATTCAAAGTTGAGATCGTCTGAACAGGGTTCATTTGACGTAAAGGAACTGGCGTCGATAAACTGAAAAAGGAATCACGAATTTATATTAATATTTTCATATATTTGTTTAGTGTTTATTCTTGCTTGATCTAACGAAAACAATAAATATATACCTCAACTGATTCACCTTCGACCCAACCACCCTCATTTTTATATTTCCCGCCGAGAAAACTATCCAGAAGGGGAAATGCGAACCAAGATACTCGAAATTCTGGCAGATTTTTCTTCTTGATACTTCTATACGATGTCAATAAAGATTCCTTTTTCTTTTTAAGATCGGTCACTGAACAACGTACTCCAAAGTTATTCCTTATACGCTCCCAAGCTTTACTTACCTGACATCTATTTTTGTACGATGGATGTTTTGGATTCCATAAAATTTCTTCCGATTTGTAAAGTTCTATAAATTCCAACACCGAATCATTCGACCAAGACATTACAAACACACGGCACCGATATTATCAATTATCTCTCAAAGCAAAGGCAAATAATATGCAGAATGTATTTGGCATATAATAGCATATATTCGCAAATCTAATACGCCAATATAGGCGAACGCGAACGTGTTGGGGTTTGACATAAGAACGAATGTAATGAATGAAGAACGACAGCAGTAGTATCGTACAATCACAAGCTTTTGTTATCTGTTACTCGCGAGGTGCGTTATACATTAACGTAGCCGACATCTACTGTACAATAATTTACAAAAAAATCTCTTATTTCAGAAACCATCAAAGTGTTGTTATCTAATTATTCGGAATATATAACTCAGCATATCTCCTAAATAAATATTCACATAGGTATAATCAGGGAACCCACGTCGCATAGAATAAAACAAAATATTAACAAAGTAGAGCTCACGAGATATTCTACAAAAAGTAGAATTTATCTTTTAGATTTAAGTAAAAAAATATATAAATAAATAAAATATACTTAAATACCTCCTAAAAATAAAGAAATAGTAATACATAAGGTATTTACGTGTAGTCTTTCAAAGTTTAAAACAATTACGCATTATTTCGAATAATTGTAAATTGGTTATCGCTCGTTAGAGATATTCCTTGTCGCTTAATAAGTTCGTGTTTGACATTTGCCAATCACACAAACGTATCGCGACGACAAATCATTCTTTCGTTCGCTACGTGCATACAAAATACAAATCTCATTCGTCGTTCGTTTATATTGAAAGCGAACTCGGACAAAATTTGATTCAGTTTCATTTTGTTCCTTATTTGCAATAGTTGAGTTGAATTTAATATTTAGAATTTTCGCTGACTTTATAGTTTTCCAACTAGAAACTTCAACTTTTACGCAATTCGACAATTATTAAGTGCTTTTTTACATCAGACAACATAAAGGTAAATATCTTTCTATAATTTGTTTTTATTATACCGTCCGGTTTACATTACGAGCGATCTCATATTAACTTGTTTTGTAAAACTTTGTCAGGTGATTCAAGTAGGCACCTAGTTCTGTTACGAAAGTATAACTTAGTTGCATGTTTCACGGTTTGTTAAATAGGCTGAAAGTGCGAATTTATAATTAAACATAGCCTTGGATCCTTAATCAGTATAAGTATGATTAACTTCTTACGTTTCAAATTACTATAATTACTTATTCAAGTAAAATTATTAATTGCACACACGTAGTTTGGAAATCTTATTTTGCGCCTTTAATTTAATTTTGTATCTGTAGGTAGGCTGATGGAAAGTTCTAGATGTAATAAATTCTATATAGTACCTATATACTTTTTACTGTCTTATTTATTAGAAGGTATTTCTGCTTATCTTTTACCTACAATCGATTCGAATACATTTGTTGCTCTACATTGCAACCATAACCATTTTTATTGCTATCATATAAGGTTATTTTGCTTGTGTGGAACATTAATATATTATGAAGGTAGATTTGAAAACTAAATAACAATTAGTCGGCGAATTTCGTAAAATACAGCAATGTCTTTTAATATCCATACCATCTGTGATAGAAGATTTTACAATTAACAAATTATATTAAAGACTCCATCTAACATAACATCTATTGATATTTTTGGACAGATGGCTACAGAAGTGAGTACTTCATCACTATGTCAGTTGCAATCGGTTCAGAAAGCTATGGCTATACCATCGGTGGGAGCTGCAGTTGGCCAAGTTGGCGCTTTATACACCAAAGTTAAGGGTGAGTATCTTGCATTATTTGAATTACAGAGAGGATATAATGCGTAAAAGTGTTATTATGCTGGAAAAAATTAGGTATTCACAGTTAAACAAAACATATCTCCCTGTATAGGAGCACATTCTCTCCTTGAATGGGCATTATCGACAGCCGAAGCCAGTGTGACACTAGCTGCACACACAGCTGCCCCATTTGTAGCAGCACCATTAGCAGCTGGTGATGCAAAAGTAGCTGCTGCTATTGATGAGTTGGAGAGGAGGGTGCCACTAGTCGCTGAACAACCCAAGGTTATTGTGGAGACCACCAAACAGGCTGTGCTCTCGAGAATATCACCACAATTGAATAAGGTAAGTTCTACTTCATGTAAAAATCATACTTATTTATGGGGCTGCTAGAGGCAGAGAGGCCTAATAACAAAAAAATATGATTTTCAATAAGGAGCAAAATAAAACAGCGCAATAAAATTAGGCAAAAATAAATTTGTTATAAATTATTGTAACAACCATGTTAACAATTTTCAGTCACTGTGCTCTTGTAGATTAACAATTTTAGACTATAAACATAAATAAGTCAGGTCGTAAAATTGTAGTTAGGCTACTCTGGCCTCCAGCGGCCTCATATCATATAAGATGTACACGCAAGTGTGTTTGTCCTTTTCAACTCTATGAAAGTCTCCTGGTTTTTAGGTATATGGTTAGTAAAGGTGAGAGAGTTACAGAACTAATAGATAATGTTCTTAGTCTTAAAGGTTCATTTATATTCGAAATTAGTGTGTGTTATAAACCTATATACATATATTTATGATAAACCCCGTCTAATAAAAAAATGCATTAAGTAGTAATGATATATTTAACTTTCAATAATGGAAAGTTACCTTCATATGTAAATGAATCAGTCATTAATAAGAATCAAAATAAGTGACTCAGTATTTTAAATAAATATATTTAAGATAATTATTCGGTTAACGGCATAATTAAATACAACCAAACGTTTTTAGAAGTAATACCTGCATATTGCTTAAAATCTCAAACAAATGTCTAGGAAGCTAAATTCGTCACGCGAGTCGTGTCTAAATCAGGTTTTTGCCCTATATAGCGAGTCAACGTTATAAGGTCCAAAGAGCGGCTTACGGATTCGTCATGAGAGTTGTGCAACATAATTATAGTCAGCTATAAATAACTAACTAGTTTGCATTATGCGGCTGCATTGTTTAAAGGTCGAGAAATTAAATAGTTTCGACATTTCGATGGAATTTTGAATATTTTCCTCTTATAAATTTATGGCGGTAGTTTTTGAAAGCGAGTGCGTAGTTCTGTTGTATAAAGTTATGATATTTCCATGAAACAAAATCTTGAAGATCTTGAATCATATGTTTTGTAATGTTTTACGTTAAATCACTATAAACATTGGTATTCAAAACTTATTTATTATATCTTAATGATCGTGACGCTTTAATTTTTTTTTTATCGTTGATTGGATTTTTATCGATTGCATTTTGCGCAGTATGTACTCGTTAACGATAAGATATTCGCATGGTGATAGTTTTATTACCTAACGCTGACTCGATTACAATAATAGTAAGTTTTTAAATAGCTTTGATTGACCATTAATAATTTAAGGCAAAAAAAGACAAATGAATTACCAATAAAAATGTATTTTTTTTCTCGTAGAAGTGCGAGGTTCTTTTGGTTACTTGTAACATTAGTTATCTAGTAACAATTTGGGATAAATTGGACCAACCAATTGGGAGGGTAGAAGATATACTAACCATGTTATGAATATGGTACCTAATCCTAATCGCGTTTAGGAAAGTTTTTGCTTTTAATTTCCGAATATCCTATATAGGAAATAAATACCACAGACTTGCCTTTTCATAATTTTAGTGAGTGAATTTACTTGCGTTTTTTATCTTTTATCAATTGAACCATACCGTCTACCCTCCATCGTCATAAACCAATTAATTTAAACACTCGGGCTTTTGTAGTACATGACCTCTTGAACTAATTTTCTAGATTTTGTGGGTGTATTGCATCATTTCTCTATACCTAATGTTAATAGGATGTAATATTATCGCCTTAACGCAGTAATTTGATTAGATACGCAATGTACAATGACCCGGAACGTAAGAACCTTCGCGATATGAGCCCTTCCTTTGATATTGGTATCCGCTTTGGAATATTTTTATCGCGTCATCGCCGTGGATAACGAGGAACGGTGTTGGAGACAGTCGCGGCTTCAAATTTGTAAAGAGCCAGTCCTCTACCGTTGATGGGAGGAAAATTCCTTGACCTGATACTATGCTACTAGATTTTTTATGGCTCATAGAGGCACAGGAATGCTGGTCGGGATTTCTGGAAGGATTTAAACGGTAATATTCGTTATTAGATCAATGATCAAAAATGATTTACACGTCAATTTTGTGTTCTTTATCTTTATAATTCTCAATGGAAAAAACATATTCAATTGGCGACGTTTTGTTACATGAAATCTAATATTTAAAGTTTAAACCTTCTAAAGTGGAACTCTTAGAAGTCAGTTCCAGGATTACTTTACTATAAGCAGCATAAATCGTTGAAGTAAATGACAGAGGACAGACAAATATGGGGTACAGTTAATGGATGGTGAAATACACCAGCCATCTCACATCTCAATAAGATCTGTTGTTGACCTATTTTAACAGACATCCACAATATGTATACATTATTTTATCCGAATTTTCCTATCAAAGCCCAAAGTATTCCCTGAAAAAATAATACATTCATTTTAGAAAAACATTGGATTCGTTAAAAATCAAACTCACGTTAATTCTTACTAGCCATACATAATGATAGCTAAGTAGGAACCAACAAAGTGTTCAAAAAGTAAACTTAAGCAACAAAATCGATTACTTTTTGACGGTTTAAAACTTGAAATATATTCGTAAATTTATTCTCAAGGACGACCGCAAAGTAATTTCAGTATAGTTTAGAACGGGTAACGCCGCGGTGTGTAGCTAGTTAAATAATAAATCCGGTTATGGTTAAGATAAGGCAATCTGAAATTGGGCTTCTATGCTAGTTCCGCCTCTGTTTCACTCATTTACGGGACAGTCATAAGGTCACGAGATAAAGTGTCTGTCACACTTAATATCACTAGGAAGCAAACTCAGGAGTTTAAGATTTTTTGTCGGAGATTGTAAAACTGGTCACTAACCGGCGGTCTTTCTCTTGCATATGTTAAAAACTTAAATAAAACACTTTAACGGTTTAAAACGCGATATATTAGTTAAACTTATTTGAAAATGATTTTTTACTTCGGCTCGACGTTTTGGATGCTTTGCAGCAGACGTGGTCACGTCAAATAAGTTTTACTAATATATCGCGTTTTAAACCGTTAATGTGTTTTATTTAAATGTGTACTACTCGCGTAAACTATAGACAGTATTTATGTTAAAAACTTTTTTTTTAGTAAAATCTATAAGAGTAATTTTGACCATGAAATATGTATCACTAAAAACCGATTTTAACAATAATACAAGTTTTAAGAACTTAATTATGTAAGAATTAGAAAATATGCATTAATTAAAAAACCGTATCATTATTTTATGAAGTATTAGATGACAACCCTCTAGAAGTAATACTAACATAGCTATAAGAAACCTACTAACACCCTCCTAATAATCTTTTTAAAGGTAAATCTAAACCAGGTGTACGGCGCACGTGCAGCGGCGGAGCAACGCGTTAAGTCTCTGAAGGAGCTCACGTGGGTGAAGGCAAACGCGTTATTGTCCACCGCATATGGCCAAAAAGCCATGCAAGGTGTTGATACAGGCGCAGTGTATGCTATGAGATTGCTTGACCACTATTTACCACCTACACAGGATGAAACACCAGGTACGACTTGTTTTCTACCCTCTTAATATTTTAAAACATGTTTATTTAAAGAAAATCGGTTTATTCAATAAAACTTTTAGATACACCGACTAAGCTACCATTTCATCTTAAAATTCGCATTTATTTTAAAATAATGTACCTACTGTGTTATTACAAACATAATTATAAACAGCATATCATTGTTTTTCGGGCTGTTCGGCCGACGTGGGTTTTGACGTTTCGAGCAATCGAAGAGTTAACATCTCCTGATGATGCCGTCCGCTTGTGATGGCGAAGCTCTTCTCGCTCACGTCGGCCGAATAGCCCGAAAAACAATGATATGCTGAACGATGGTCGTGAAAGCCTTACACAATTTATAAACAATCGAATTGAGGATCTTCTTGGATTTTTGAAGTATACATATTCATAACCCAAGACTCATCATCCACCCCAATTCCATCGTTCAAAGCACCCTGTGATTCTTTCATTTATTGGTGTACCTAGGCTTATCTTTCTAAATTAAAATTTACAAAGACATCATGTTAATTAAAAAAACATGTGCCGGGTTTATTATATTAATAATGAATATTTTTTCAGCGAGTACTGAAATCGTGGCAGTCGAAGCGGACCCAACAATGCACACCGTACAAACGGTTGGCCGTCTCAGCGCAGTCGCCGCTAGACGGGTTTGGGCCAACCTCGCCGTCAAAGTCACCGAACTACGTAATTCTGGTACTCATTAATTTCTCCAATCAATCGTATGATGTATATTTATAATTCCTTCATGCATATCAGTCAAGAATTTAAGATTATGAGATAAGGATCCGCCAGATAAACAACTTCTCCTTTTTTATTTCAAAATACATTATATAATAAACTGATGCCGTAGCAATAGGTTTTTAACTTTAACTTTTCACCATAAGGCAAAAATAATAATTAGAGTTCTCTACCCCAGGTATCGAGCTGGATGTTCGTCGTTACATTACCGCCCTGCTGGCTGCTCTTCACCTTGCAAAAGTAACCAACGACCAACAGCAACAGGAACAGACTACAGAGGAGAAGAAGGCGCAAAGATCAGCCGAGCCGACTCCCCAAAACACCCCCACTAAAAATGAAACCCCTTCTTCCCCCCCAACCGCGGAAAAGGTTAAAGCGTCCCCCGAAGCAAAATCTGAGGGTGACCAGTGAAGAAAATATACTTTTATAATAATATAATTAATCTTATAATAAATATAATTAAGGATATACCACGGTGAAGATATTCTATTTACTCACATATCTACACTGTCTTGGTAATATATTTTATAAAGATGTATACTTATTTATGAGACTGATGTCTTTGCATGCCTTATTGAATTTTATATTGTGATCTACAAAATATAAGCTCTTAATACAAATGCAGTTTTAATAAAACGCTATCTCACAATATAACTGTTTATTACCTAAAATTAGAATTATACATCTAGGCTTTCATAATAACACAAGCTGTCTTTTCTTTCAATACTTTAGTAAAACTTTACATATCTCCCATTAAACATTAGTATAGTAATTTCATTCAATATAACATTATTTACTCACTTGGCACTGACGTGGAAAACGACAAGAAACTATCATCAGTTATTCTGGTAAAAAGTTGAGTTCAAAAAATACATCGTATTGCTAAAACTGAATCTCTTGATAAGATGATACTTTGAGCTATTTTTACTAAATCTAGATTAAGTACAACAATTTAGATTTAAATAAATGCAGTTTGTACTCGAAAATACATCATAAATAGTAATTTCTAGTAACGTGCCAATTAAACTAAATTCTAGACGCTTAAGTAGTTACCTATAGAATGTTTGAAATAGGAAGATAAAGTAGGGGGGCATTGAAGACCAGTGAAATAAATGAAGAAGAGAAAGAGAGTTAGTATGGTAATTGTACCGTCCTATAGTCTTTTCAATACTCGGTTTCCTTGTAACTGTTTTCAGATGTTTTTATACCGTCGGCAGATTTTGTAAATAATTGTTCAATGACGACCGCCCCCCACACCTTAAGTAATCCTGGAGTTTGTCCCTGCTTAGCCAAGCCCATGGTCCTCGAAGAAGCCTTGCGGTGTCTCCTCCTGCAACAAGGGTCAATCACTGAGCCAGTTTCGCTCGTGGCCGTGTTAAACCGAGCCATCGCTTTTCGGCGCAAAACACGGCAAACTTTTTAAAACCAATAAAGAGGTTACGATTGAAAAAGGATATAATAACACAAAATTCGCGGCGAGATATGACTTTAGTTTAGAAGCTTGTACCGTGGATGGAACACTAACTGTGGCTGGTTTGAGTAATTAAACTTTATTTAAATTGTTATGTTGAACATTAGACAATTATAGACAAATGGCGTAATTAAAAAAATAAACTGAGAAATATTTTTATTATATTATTACAGTGGAAAATATCGACTAAGAAACAAAATTATGGCGTTAAGACTTACTAGTAATGTTAGTGGTTATGTCTACATTTTTATATTTCGTATAGGTAAAATTTTACCAAGAACGTTCAACAACTCAACATGGGATTTGGAAGCAAGTTCACAATGTGAAACTATAGATCAATTCAAAATGACGACACATTTCCATCTCGCTCCCACATCTACATTAATTGTGATAGAAATGGTATCATTATGCAACTAAGCTGATTTAAATAGAACTATTATGGTACGCGTACCATTAAAAGCTATTAAGACAATCTACATTATAGATATTTGATTAGTTACTATTTCCTAGTATTACAAAAGATTAACGAACCAGTTTTTGAAAGCGCCTCTAGCGGTTTTGCACAAAACTATTTTGGCACCTTGTCTTATTTAAACGACTGTGTACGTTGTGTAGGTAAAATGTTAAAGTTAGTACCTAGGCGATGTACACGTAATAACAAGCGCATGAGTTAAAGTAATCTATACTTTGTTACTCTCGCGCGTGTATTACTTTCTTAAAGAAATATTCCATTTGTATAAAAATGATTCACGCAATCTTTGCACAGATACAAGCCATTATTTAACCAGATTAGACATATAACAATTCGTCATAATTGTACTTGTCAGAAATTACTTATCTAAATAAAAAATATAAATTCCTCTCAAACTCAACACAATTAAACTTTGATAAATAAACGAACATTAAAATAAAATCTTTACATCGTTGTATTTACTTTGGTTTTTAATACTTTTTCGAATTCACGAGAATAAAATATGTATATACACTTGGTATCTGGTGATTTCATGTTAAGTGGATATATGCATTACATCCTCAAAACGTTTGTGTGAATGTTCTTTCCTAATAGAAAAGAAACAACTGAAGAGTTTTACACGTATTTACGTCAGTAGTAAGTGATAATTAATTTATCCGTTTCCAGTTTCATTCAATATGTACGATTGCGATACGTACAACGCACTACAGAAAAATTATACGGTACAAACTTTTTAATTTATAAGTCTGAAATTGAGTTCGTAACAAATATCTCCAATTGTATCTATGACATTATATACACAATTTCCATTCACTCTCACCCTTTAGTTATTTTAAACAAACCAGAATACACAAAGAGCACAGATAAAAAATAGTCGACGTACCAATGTACTTCTTTCAATTCGTATCATACTTACAAGAAATTTACACTTAACATAATCAAGCACTCAAAGTTCACTTTAGTGTCCTTAAATGACGCGGAGGTGTCGCCCTCTTTGGCGGATCTCAGAGAAGCCCAACGTCGCGCAGTGCTTCGTCCACTGTCTCCTCCTATCACATACCCACGGAAGAGATATACAATATATTGAACTAGCCTCATATATAAACGCTTTTAATACTCTTTTACAGTTTTATTTTGAATAAAATGTAGTATTATAATGTGGAGGTTGAGGATATAGATGTGTGTTAATCTTTATAAAAATGAGAAAATTGGATGTTGTAGCTTAGGAAACATAAGATCACTCTACACCTTATAGACTGTTTTGGGAGTTTCGAATATGATCAACATTTTAAATTAAATAGATCTATTTATTTTTTTTAATCACAAAGCTAACTAATAAAAAAAATGTTTTTTAACCAGACATAACGAAAACGAACTTAGGATGGGTTTACGATTAATTTACTTAGGTAACACGATAAGATACGAGGTCACAAATTTATTGAAACGACGACGAATGAGCTATAAAAAACATTGCGTAATATGTATTATTATGTGCGACGTTAAGCTTGGTAAACCATAAGACATTTCCACAGCGGCAAAAACTCCTCTGTTTTTTTTAAGCAAAGTAAATTTTTATCAATTATTATGATCGATTTTATTGAGGTTCCATTATTGAATTAATAGATGAAAATATTTTTATCACATATGTTGTTCGATGTTTGGCTAAATACTTGATCTAAGAATACGTTAGGTTTGCTTAAGCTTAATTAATTGTTATTTAAATTTTATAGATATAAATAGTTATTCTCACAAGCATTTGTTAGGGAATGGTTTTTAGGTGTGGGTAGTTTCAAAATGCAGTTAAATTTGACCTAGAGTGTCGTACGTACATTGCATGCCTTCACCAAAAGCGTAACATATCAACACAACCCACTTATTGTACTCAGCAAAATCGTACCATGAGCTTCTTAATGTTCAATGGATGATCAAAAGCTCATGCCACCTCAAGTTAGGAGCGGGTTCATGCAAGAAAACAGAGTTTTAGTTTTCAACAATATATTTAAGACAACCCAATACAGTAATGCAACATCCACCATTAATAAACAGGACTTTGTTTCACCTCTATACATCAAAGGTTTTAATATCGCGTGCATCGAAGAAACACGTCTAATTGTTCATGTGTTGTTAGGCAAATAGAACGTAGAAATGTGAAAGAGCTAGAAATAGTTTAGCGTAATGAAAGAATCATTACTAAGAAGATCAATTGAATTAATTTTGTATTTAAATATTAATAGAAATTGAGTTTATTAAAACTAGTTAATAAAGGATGTTAAGGTGCTTCGCCATCGAATATTTTTTTGGACTATCTTTAAAAATTTAAGCTACAGAGCCAGCATAAATTTAGTATTAAAAGTCGATTACCTCTGTATAAATACAAATGTTTTAAAACGTATGATGAAATTCTAACTGAAGGTAACCTTATCGCACTTTAAGAATTTAGATAATAAGTCGCCTTGAACTATCGGTAAATGGAGGTGAAACAAAACCAATACAATAATATGATAAATCTAAGCTACACAAAATAATAAGCACTCGACCATGACATAAACTCGACAATATTACAAATATACTTAAATCGAGAGAAAAGCCTGGATACATTAGTCTACTTAATATAAGCTCGATTGAACCTGGATGAGTTAGAATTGAATACAGACGAGGTTTACTACATCTAACGTTATAAATGTTTGTGTACTATGATCGTGTATGCTAATGTCTATTATCTATTTCTTTGGTGCGGCTAAAGTCTAGAATTCATGGTGTTGTGTGAGATTGTAAAGCGAAAAATGCTTTTAGTCGTGAAGCTGAAGTGTAGATTTACCTACCAGTGCCTCCTCTTAATACTATGTGCCTAAAAGATAATGGTAGTTCTAATAATAAAACTGCATTTACTATTGAACTATACGCGTTTAGTTAGTTAACTTTTACAGTTACTGTAACTACTTTTTAATTCCCTGGAATTATATCGGTGGTTTCTACAATTGTCCAGACTACGATAGATCGTATTGTACGATAGTACGATATTCTACATTAATTTACGTGGAGGCACTGTTACCTACATGCCTAAGAAGTAACAAGGATTTTACAAATATGTTTTACGAGATTTCGATCAAAACGAATAAGCTCATGCGGAAGGTAAGCAAAAGCAATTCATATAAACGCTTTTTCCTGAATATCTATCAATGATATCTACTATGGGGTGAATCTCAATCACTATAAAAAAGCGTTTATAACCTTTCAGAGTTGTTAGTGCCACAGTCCGTCGATTAAGTCCTGAGAACCACCAGCATGCATCACAGAGATTAGAATATATTAGCTGAGTGCAGTGCGAAACAGCTTTACTTCAAGTTCATTGTATTTTGTATTTCCAAAGTGTTCTAGTGATTTTACTATGATATTTGACAGTAAAACCTTATTTACAACAAGGCCCAAGTCTGCTATTCTCTATGGCATGTTGCCAGTTACCAAACGGCTTGTACCGTTTGGAATTCTACAAATGCCTTACTAGTCAGTTGTTGTAACACTGGCTGTTTTTATATCTATGTGTTGTAAAATGTTGTTCAGTGCCACTTGGATGTTACAGGTTTGTGAATTAGCAGACTCTGGACCCATTGAAGCGAAATAGTCTATCCACAGATTAAAAATAAAGTAGCCACCTTATTGACGTAGACTTAAAAGTGGACCTTTTTAAACAATCTTCTAGAAAGTGATATGTTTTAAGAGACAAGGCAGTGCTCCTACAATAATTAACACTTAAGGCACTACTGAGGCCACTCATCTATCAATGGTCCACATTTTATCATAATTTTGCCTACAGCATCTAAAAATCAATGACTAGACAATAATCTAATACGATAGTCATCAAACTATGTATAACTTTTGGACCAATATTCTACATTTAACTTTTATATTCTACGCTTTATCCGATAAAGTGTCAATATTTCTTTGAGAAATACATTAATAATTACTGTATATAATATAATAATTGATTATTGCTAATAAAACATTTTTTAAGTAAGTCCCATTTCCAATAAGAAATCAAAACATCTCAATGCCACAAAAGAGTCAAAAGCACACATGGTATTTTAACAGTTTATGCATACTATATAATTTTTGTAGTTTTAACAAATATATTATTTATAGGTTTATTTTTTAAACTCGTTCACCAATTAACTTTGAAACAAATAGGTTGGATTAAGGGCAAAAGACACAGGTCATGCTGTGACAAGAATATGAAACTCTATTAAGTTTGTAATATAAAATGCAACCGTCAAATACTGTTTTAAGAAAACAAAAACATTTAAAGAGTTGACTGTTTTGTTAAAGCACCACATGTACTACCAAAAAATACAAATAATTCAAACGAGTTCATTATCCTGGCTACTGACCTCTTGCAAAAGGTCCTGTGCAGCTATCGCCTTCAAGACATTCTTCTTGCTTGTCTCTTGGAGCTCACCTCCTAACACCAGCTCGTCTAGAATGAAATATGCCTTCTCAAAGTTGAAGATTATGTCCAGTTCACACACCTAAAAAATATTAGGGTTATTTTTTACTGTTGAGTAATACTGAAAGAGATGAAACTAATGAAGCAATTTTAAGTTTCCACATATAAGCCATTAATCATAAAAAAAAACCTATATAAGGTAAATCTAATCTGTTACAAATCTAAAAAATTTAAAATTGTTCACATTCTGTGGCTCTAACCAATTGTAGGACACAGTAGCTCAGTTGATTATAGCAACAACACAGAACGCTACTGATGCCAGTTCAAGTCCTGACCGAGACGTAAACTGTTTTCAATTTATAATCCATTTGTAATTTATACTGTGACAGAATTTCTTTAAATTTGATTTTCAATTCAAAAGCTAAGGTGGTAAAACATGACAACGATCAATACAGCAAATACTGTGTGTAGTTTATGTGAGTAGTACACATTTAAAGAAAACAATTTAACGGTTTAAAACACAATATATTTGTTTTTAACTAAAATTTACGTTTTAAATCGTTTTATTTAAATCAATACAGCAAGATAAAACAATATGTTATAATTAAGTACATATATTACTTACACTGCCAAAATACTTGTCAAGTAGTTCCACATATCTATGAATTAATTCCAGAGTGAGAAGTTCATTGTCCTCTTGTTCCATCGCGCAGCAGAAGTACAGTGAGGCATATCTATGGCAAAATTAAATATTTTCAAGTTTTATCAAGTACAGAACAACTTTATTATTCAATTGCTTAGCAGTATAATGGCTGTGGGCTATGTGTCAGGAAACACAGGCCACAGAAATGTGTATGTCAATAAATTATGACTTTTTAAAAATATACGAGACGATAATTTAAATAGTAATTATCTGATTAAGTGCCTGACAATGTTGATATAAATACTCAGTGATGTTACCTGAAAGGCTCAAACACCCATTAGAATAGGTTTTATGTCTATGTCATATAAACGCTAATTACTTTTTAAGAACAGTTTGAACTTTTACAAGGATCACAGTATAACTGATGAGTTAGTTTCACTAGTAATAAATATAAATAAAACAATTCTAACCTCTTATAAACAACCTTGACATCCTTCCATTCCAAGAATGAGCACATCTTTGGTTTCCGAGCAAGGACTGTGGTGATCAATTCTCTTGTGATTTTCTTTTTCAGCTTATCAGGGTGTGCTACGTACCACTTTTGAAGACGTAATTTGCCTTGTCGACTGAACAGTAGCATGAACTGCATCTGGAAACAAATTGTGATAGCTATTACTTGGTATCATGGCGTGATAGCGATATAATATATGTATAGTCTAAGTAAACACTAGTCCGGTTTGTATAACTTACCATGTCGTGTTGTAACTCTCGTAAACTAATAGAGTTTCCAAGCTATAGGTAAAGCTTTATAAGTATCACTGCATTTTTCTTACCGATATTAGGTAAATATAAAACAGATTATTCTAATAAATATGATACCCTAATAATTACATCAAATAAAGGTGTTGGCTTCGTTAAAACTAGCCTGTACGCTTTTCAGACACTACTCCTTAGAAGTTTAATTTAAAAGTCAAAACGTAGCTAAAAATTGACAACTGTCATTTGACAGCGTTTATAATAACAATGGCCAAAACAAACAAAAAACAATGGCTAAATCGTACCTTTTTTTATTCTAGGATAATATGTCAATAAAACTCATAATATAACTGGAAAAAAGACACGGATTATCTTCTAGGTATCATATTTTTTAATCTGTTTGTTGAGCGTTAGAACCAATACCAATACAAATTCGGCCATTGTTCTTTATTTTATTACGCGGGAAATAAAATAAATTTGTGGAGAAAAACATGAAAATAAATTTTCCAAAATTAATTCTTATAATCAGTAATTATTATAATAAACTATAAATCCGAATGTTTTTCTTTGGATTTTTTTTTATGTCGTAAAATTAGCGGGAGCTATATATGACAATTTACATTTTATTGTTGATAGGCATTAGGCAACAGCGCATTAAGCGAATAAAGCTTCCGGAACAGCTGTGTTGAAGTTTAGAAAAATATTTTTCTCCGATCCTCGGAAATACAATATTGACCACACTGTAAAGAATGCATACACTGCAATATGTTATTGTATGAAAACGAATAATCTTCTATCACATTATTGTTCCCTACCTGGCTTAAAGCCCACCAACATTGACAATATAAGAATTGATAATTTAATAAAATGGTAAGGTTAAAAAATTAAATAAATCCGTAGATTAATAGTAAAATTTGGATTTTGCATTTGCCCTATAATAAGGGGAAGAATTAGTTTGTAAAAAAAGTCAACTAAATATTGTATGTATGATGCGTAAGATGTAAAAAGTTTACTCCTTTTAGGCTACTGCATCCGGGTCTGGAACAGTCGCCAGTGACTGTGAGGAAGAGGACCAGGATGACCCGTCGTCCTCCCAACATGATGTACAAGATATTGCTGATAACTTGAGCCAACTGAATGTTGGAAAAGTTCAGGTAAGTAGTAGCATATTAAACTTCAATTAAAAATTGCAGTTTGCTATGTCATAAAAGGTAGTTTCTACTATTGCTTTGGGAAAACTTAGGATTCAATACAGGGAACTTTAGATTTTCTTAGATTATGACATTCCTTTAAAAAAAAAGCTATTTTCTCCAATAACTCATGCAAACTTTCTGAACATTTCAGAGTAATGACTACGAAGACGAATTGTCAGTATTTCGTCAGCAATGGCAACGAGAATTGGAGGCTACACCATCGCCCCAAAGAGAATCTAAAAAAGTAGTGCAAGAGCTGAAGAACACTGAAGCACAGACTGATGAAGAGAAGGTCATTGTTTGAATTTGTACAAATGTTTTTCGTCCTCTAGTATACACTATGTTTTAAAATTGTAAGTAGGGCTGTAAGAAAAGTCTTACAGCTTTAATATTTGTGCGTATATAAAAAAAAACTGTAGATATTATATATGAACAGTGGTTTGTCAGACGGAATTTTAAGAATGTGGACATTAATATGATTGGTTATTGGCCATACCTAGGTGCCATAGGAACTAGCTCAGCAAATATTGTATGTAACATAGATCTATTTTTCCACTAGACTGAAAATTATATATTTAATATATATATTCCTTCAGGCTAAAAGCCTGTTTCTTCGCGGTATAGAAATGGAGCGAAGTGGAAAGCTATATGAAGCAATACAGCATTACAAGAGAGCTATACAGATCCTGCCTGATGTGGAGAGGAGACTCTATGACAGCAGTGACGTTAGAGCTGATACACCGGCAGGTATAGAAAACTCAAATGTTCTGGTCCATTTTGTATACAAGGTGGAACTTAGCAGATATAATAATAATATAAAAGATCCTTGACTTAAATTTTACAATAAATAAAGAATCGCATGGGGTGAACCTTTTTTGTTTAGGGGCAAGTAGTTGACCCTTTTGAGTATGTCTTATTTCCAGAACTTCCGATCCTGGATCTCTCACACTTATTGCAATGTTCGATAACGCCTTTAACCATGTAGCTACTAAAGCTGTGTTGTAGATAAATCCACATATAAAATTAGACACTACAATTTTATTAGTATTGCATAACTCTATAAATATGGAAATCAAATGAAAGAGATTTCATTCTTTTGAATACATTATATTGTATATTATTGCATGTTCTTTTAAATATTGGTCCAAATCCTCACTTAAGACACAAGCACCTTATTTGAATGTTTTACATCAAGTGAGCTATATGCTTTTCTGTCCACCTCTATCATAAAGAAGTATGCATGATGATCATAGTTATTGTTCTAATATTTTACAGAGGAGTCAGACAATGAAGAGGTGATCAACCCCAATGTAGCAGAGGACAGTGATGATGATGAGGCCATAGAAGGTGAAGAGCTTGTCACTAGGTTTCAGAGGATTCTTGCCAAAAAAGGCCACCTATTTCAGATGCAGTATCAAGCCAAGGTAAGTGGTAACTGAAGGGAAATGCCCACATCGAACATTTACATTTTCATTAAGATGAGAGAAGGATAAATAAGCATAAGGGGCACTTGATGGAAAGTAAAATACTACAGCTATTAAACATCTAAACAAGATTTTCTGTCGCCCTAATTTGGCTTATCTGAAATGTGAAAATTTGGGAAATGTCATCTCATTTCCAATACATTTTGAATTAAATTTTGTTTTATTCATAGTGGTTGTGAGATATTATATAAACAAAATAATGTTTTTTTTTAATTTCAATCACATAATTTTTAACAAATTGGTTGAGCGATGAAACTATAAAAATTTTTATTCATCCTAATACTGTTTTTTATTATAAGCATTTGTATTGTATTGAAATACTTTAACGGCTTAAAACGAGATATATATTAGTTAAACATTTTTTTTAGAAAGGTTTACCAACGTTATGTTACAATCTTACATGCTAAATATATCATTAATTCTAAAAAGAAAACAAGATACAGTTATCTTGTTTTCTTATCACCTAAACAATTAAAGGTAAACACCGCTTTTTGTTACACAGAAGTACAATCATATTTTATATAAAACTAAACATCAAATTTTATAATTTCAACTTTAAAATTAATTAAAATTTATGATAACTAATGATTAGCTCCTACAATAACAATAAAAACTAAGCTATAACTTTTCGTAAGTTTTTGGGTGAAATACAAAAATATCAATTTGTCAATATTAATTATTTGGAAATTATTTGCACTACGTCGGCGTTTCTGATGCTTCGCAGAAGCAGGTCACCGGGAGATTTAAATATATGTATTTTTTAAAATTTACCTAATATATTTGTGTTTTAAACCGTTAGTGTTTTAAAAATGTGTACGACTCTCATAAACTACAGACACTATTTGTATTGTATTTATAACAGCTTATTTACGTGTCTTGCAGGGTTGTCACATTTCCTGGTTGCCATATGAGGTTATCCAGTTGATCCTCCGTTGGGTGGTCAGTGCGGAGCTGGACGCCATTTCCCTGGAGCGTGTGGCCGCTGTCAGTCGAGGATTCCACGTTGCAGCCAGAGATAATGATATTTGGAAGCTGATGTGTGTCAGGTACAATTTTTTTTTCTTCACAAGAAACTTTGACGGGCTCGTCGTGTGTTATGGTGGCGATGTGCGACTAGTAATCGACGAGTCGTGGATTCCATCCCCACCCGGGTCCAACATTTCAAATTTATATATGTTTTTTGAAACATGTTGGACTTCGTCTTGAAATCTGGACATTAAATGGCCTGTAGGAATATCGAAATTCCGTCCGATTCACGAAAAGGGCCCGAGACACGAGAAGTCCACAGATGAAATATCCCTGAAGTTCAATTACGTTTCGGTGTCAGTCTGTGGCCTTCCGAAGACCCAAAGCCAAAACAGGTCGAGAGCGCATCTTGTTTAGTTGCTATAGGCTGCGGTATTTCACCTACCATCAAGTGACGACCATGCTCGCTGTCCTCCTCTATCATAAAAAACGCGTCCTATTAGCATATATCTATTGATAATATGTGACAGGCTTAGTGTTTTCTTTAAAAAATTAAACCAATGATTTGATGTTAACACAAACGTTTTGGTAATAATAAAGCAAAATATACCTACCTATGCACCGACCTACCAAGAATACCTAAGAATATATCAAATACTGTCTGTATATTTCGCGTTTTAAACCGTTAAACTTTTTCCTTGAAATGTACCAAACGTATCCAACTTTTTTACTGTTAAAACTCTTATACTAATTAACTCGGTGTCGGGGATGCTATGCGGAGTGATCGTAAACACTAAACACAGTTTTAAGCCGTTTGAAAACTTTAATATTTTGCACATGATGGTACATCACTTAAAAATCGAAAATAAATTGAAAAAATGTTCGACTCGGGCAGGACTTGAACCCGGCATCGTCAGCGTTCCGTGCTGTTGCTCTACCAATTGAGCTACCTCATCGTCATCGACAATTTTTTTTTCGACGTTGAGGTGTTAAAAGTGTTTCGACTTTAAAAATTGACAGAACATGGGGCATAGAATGCGGGACGCCCCGCGCCAACGGGTTCGCGAACTGGCGTCAGATGTACATAGAGAGGGCGAGGCTGAACCTGCACGGGTGCTACATCAGCAAGACGACGTACCTCCGACACGGCGAGAACAGCTTCCAAGACCAGTTCTATCGGCCTTGGTACCTCATTGATTACTATCGATATCTCAGGTTAGTAGCGTTTAAATTTCTAAGGGAACCTCCTGTGTATTATATATTTCTCTGTGGTTTTAAATTGGCCATATTTTACTTTCGCCAAGTTGGAAAAAATACACTATAATTAAGTTATTGTTTGTAAGGATGTCACATATATGAAAAAAAAAGAATAACGCGATGTGAAATAGAGCACCTTGTGTAGTCTACGCGAGTAGTACACATTTAAATAAAACACTTTAACGGCTTAAAACGCGATATGTATTTGTTTAACTTATTTGAAAATTATTTTTAACTTTGGCCCGGCGTTTCGGATGCTTTGCATGAGTTGTATCGCGTTTTAAACCGTTAAAGTGTTTTATTTAAATGAGAAATAGAGGTTGTATTTATTTTTAATACGACCCTATGAAAAATGTACGGGTAGACAATCTTGAAGCTATAAAAGATTAAACAAAAATAAATCTTATAACGGAGTTGAAACAATGTTTTGTCTCAAATTGATAGATTCTTTCCCGAGGGTCTGGTGCTGATGTGGACGACGGCAGACGAGCCAGTCAGCTGCGTGTCGCAGTTGAAGTACCGCAGCGCTAAGCACCACTTGGGTATCATGGCTGGCCATTACAGACTCGTTGGAGATAAGGTACGGCATTATGTCAAGCATAAGTTTTGTCCATAATGTAAATGTAATGGTAATAAAAAAAAATCGTTTGGTATATGATACAATACCGGATTTACTAGTCCTTGGCCTTAACATCTATACGTGGAGATCAATATTCCTATAACCCATATATTTCGCAAAAAAAAAATGGCCGACTATATTAAAAAAAAACATTCTCTTTTTGAATTAAAAATGGATTATAAATTGAAAAAAAATATAGAGGCAGGACTTGAACCGGCATCCACAGCGTTACGTGCTGTTGCTCAAAACAATTGAGCTACCGAGTCATCGTCGAATTTTTTAACCTATAGATACATGCACCTCTCACGCAATGTAATTTCAACCTTAACACTTGCGTAATACCATACCGTAATAACATGTGAACAATATTACAAGATTTCGCTCTTTCAAGTTAAGGATTACCAAAGCACGATTCAGTAAATGAAGAAAATGTTAGTTAAGTAAATTTCATTACCACTTGCAGGTGGTCATCGTTATAAAGAAGGCTAGTACGGAGAAGAAGGCGCCGCAATCCTCGAACACGAGGTTCCGTGCGCGACGCAAAGAGAACCACGAGCAACAGGAACAGATATTCCACATGGTACGTCTGTGTCCTTACTATTATTAGGACCTGAAGAATTTCATTGTTTGGAGGACTGCGCTATGACTCTTTAGAAGTGAACTATCAATATTTAAGAATTCCAACAGATTAATGTCTCACTACCATCTACTACGCCGTTTCAATGCGGCTCGGTGGATTTCACCGACGATGACTATTAAATTAGTGATGATAAGCGGGTCCTAAACTTATCCTAATTTTTAAGCACGCTTATTTCTGATATATTATCTATATTCTGAAAAAAGAAAAATTAATGTTATACTCTACAATTTTCGAAATTCTGACGCGGGAGTAGATTTGTGTGATGGCAAGCTATCAGACCATCCATTCAGACCATTGGTATAGAGAGGCATAACGAGGCAGTATGCCATTTAAGTTAGAATCCTGAACGTCCTTTAGTATTATTTTTAAAGAATATACTAATATTACCTAGCTTACTACCTGATAAACTACAGGTTAAAATAGTAGACGGCTAGTTCAAGATATTTATATTGTTGTTATTGTTCTATTATTTGACAGGAATTAGAATTACGCAACGTCCGGTCCCGTCGCAACTGGTCGCTAGTGTGGCAACACTACGCGGTATCAACTCGGGGCCAATGGACCACTTTTGAGCTGGCAACTAACAAGTTCCCGCCCTTCGTTTTTAGTCGCGTGCGCAACTACACCGCAGAAGCGCACGAACCGCTCACTTCCTATCTTTAAGTAAGTTTTTGTAGAGATATTTATGAAAAATGTTTAAATGATTGTTGTAAAAATTGAAAGTACCTTTGAAAAATATTAAATATTTAACTATTTTTGTCCCGCAGTCCGCTTGCAGCACTCACGCGCAGTCCTTTATGGTTGTAATTGTATAATTTTAAGTGTATTTGCAATATTGTTTTACAAAATGGAAATGGCTATATTTTTGTGATTTGTAAATAATACTATAGATTTTTTCGGTGCAAAACAGAGTCAATAAAAATATTGTTGCACAATATTCTTGTTTTATTTTATACTTTGTAAATATGAAGAAGGAAATACAGAAAATCAAACCAAATCCAGAAATAAATTTTGCGTTATCTCACCTAAAACTATTAAGGGGGTTTTTTAGTATTAACCATAGGTAGCAGAAATGAAAGAATTACTACTTAATGGAATAGTCAGTAATTATATTGTAAAGTTGGATCTTATAACTCGTTGAGTATAAATGTATGAACATAATTATAAACAATCTTGTTTATAATTATGTTTGTTTGTTCATATTCCTAATGTCAATGAGGTTGTACTTGAACTTTAATAGAAATCGATTTTTTAATGACAGACTGTGTCGTACACGACCAGATTATAATTTACTTCTAAATGAAAAGGGATGTTAAATAAAACACCAATTTTTAAACTGAATTTCTTATTTTATTAAGGGGCCAGCTGGTGAACTCTTAAAATAAATATCAGGCTCTCTACAAAATTTTCCAATTTTCAAGGGATTTCATTAAAGTTTTATTGTTTAAAAAAAAACAGTATTGGTTTCGTACTGACATTCATCTCAAGAGCTACCCAGCGATGACGGACGTTTCAAATGAAACCGCAATAAATAGTGAATAATAATTTTATTTTACATAGATACTATCGTATCGACTAGAAATGAAACAACGTCTAATGACTATAAATTTATTCTTCCATAATATATTTGTTATTTACATTTCAGGATCCCCATAGGTCCCGCGAGCGTCTCCGGCCGGCCTTGAGCCCGAGGCCGGCTAAATGAGGCGCTCGCTGAGCCAGATTCAGGAGTCAGGCGGGGGCTGCGGCGGCGGTGGGGGTGGAGGCGCCAAAGCGGGCTCCGTGCTGCGTCTGCGCACCTTCGCGCGCTTCTTGAGCATCGTGGCCTGCGGGATGCGCGCCACTGAGCCGGGCCGGCGTCACGGGCCCGCGGCGGGGCCCGCGCCCGACCCGCGCTTGCTCTTCTTTAGCATCGTCGCCTGCCGGTCACACACACCCGTGAGGCACTCGCTACTCCTACCCTACACCTACCTACGCGCGACTTTGCTTACGACTCATTCGGCCTACGGCGGGTTGCCGTTGCCAACGATACCTTTGATTGCCCTGGTAAGGGCAAGTTGTTCCAGATAAACTTTAATTAAATTAATTCCTTTATCTAGTACTGTTCAAACAACAAACTATGGGCTATGGGCGTAGCCAGAGATGTAAAACTATTGTTTTTATGCCCACTGCGATAAGATCTCGCCCTAAACTCATAAACAAAGTCACGTGATGCAGCCGAAGTCGACAATTTAGTTGTTAACAGCCAATGAGCCACTGAAACGCGTTTTCACTGAGCAAACATCGAACGCACGACCAAAGCGAGTTATCCAGCGCCGACACGGGGATGTGACCAGCGACGTTAACCATACTCTGGGTAAACGAACTCCACTCAACCCAACTATACCTTCGTAGTCTACGCCAGAATTTACTCATAGTCTTAGAAAAGATATTTCGTTTGTAAGCCATAATGTGGGTAGTTATAAAAGGTTATCTTTTGGTTTTGCTTTTGAAATTTTACAGTCATGATTAGACCAAATATTTTTTGTAAGGTTGACTTCTGTTTGAAACAGTAGGTCTTTAATTATCCTCTATGACTATCCGTTACCAGCGAACAAAACTACCCTTCAAAATATATTGTAGGGTAGTTTTGTTCCTACCCTACAAAAATTTTGTAGGGTAGTTTGATTATTGAAATACTTAAATATATATTCTAAATTTTAACGTTAGGTACAGGACACTGCGATTATTTTAAAGATTTTCATGTTTTACAAATATGGCTTACACCCTTTTGGATTTCTACAAGGCGTTTTTTTTTAGTTGAGTGGAGTTCGACGAATACCTCAGAATATACAAGCGACATAATACGTATCGTATACATAAATAGGATTGCCATGATACAGTACTATGTGCCTGATTACAAAACACGTAATTAAGGATGAGGTGTAACTAAAAGGCCGCGTGTGGGCGCGGTGCTCCGAAAATGTCAATGAGATCTATGTTACTGTAACTAGAATTGTTGGAGACGGAATTTTCCGCTTGAATCCTAAGCATTGTACCACAGATATAATTTTCTTTAATAAATTAAAAAATAATAAAGTAGAATTTGGAATAAACATTAGTTTACTCGAGCAATTTTAAATAACTTTTAACGGTTTAATGCTTATTAGCATTTAAGTATAGTCTGTAGACACACATTTAAATAAAACGCGTAATATATTCGTCAACTAATTTATAATGTATTTTAACTATGGCTTGACGTTCTGGATACTTTGCAGCAGCCTTGGCCCCGGGGGAGTCAAATTTAAGCTTCACACTACAGCTTCAGTCCCCTCTAGAAATATATTACGCGTTTTAAACTGTTAAAAGTGTTTCGTTTAAATAATATATTTAAAATAATTTGGTGATTAGGGCAATAGCTATCCACGGTTTAATTATTATCTGTGGTATAAGTAAACAATGTTAAAGCGTTCTTAACAGCAGTAGTAAGAAATATTCTAGCTATAGAAGTGTTTGAAGTAAAGTAAAAGCGTTTTTGCTCACTTCTTTCGATTTAGGCATAATTAAATATCTGTAGGATTGAATTTAGGACATGGCAACATTGCTTTAAACAAATAACTGTTATTACTTCCTTGAATTCAGTTACAGCAACATACAAGCGATAACTGCTTTGGCACTAGGCAGTGAAAACGCGGCAGCGTGCTCTTGCAGTCTGGCTTTGTCTGAAGACGTACACATAACGCCCCACAGGCAGACTCTTAAATACGGCTGCATTTAAATGTCTGCTTACCTAAGACAATTTCTGACATATATATGCTTGTTTCTTCATGATAATTATAAAATCAGATAAATCTACAAACTATTTTGGATTTAAAAAAACGAGGACATGGGCTGGACTCGAAATTTCGACTACGATGCGCCCTTGGATTCCGCACTCGTGAGTTCGAGGCCCGTTCGTGTCATTTAATTTTTTTAACATAAAACCAATTTTCAATTTGTGTATTATGCTATTTACAATATAAAGATTCATTGTATATGCTAAGCTAGTATACAGCTTTGTTCACATGTGTTTATAAGCGGAAAATTTAGACCTTTTTTAAAGGAATACATAGAATTGTACTGATACTTTAAAATTGTTTAATTGTAATTAATTGTTCAGATGTCAGAAAATGTCTTAGAACATAAAAGCAAGCATGCAATCTGGGCGTGTGATCAGCAGTTATAGTTTCACAATAAGTATGGTATGGTGAAACTTTTTACAAAACATTACAACTTCATTTATAAACAAAGAAAAAATATCCAGACTTTCTGGTAGCACTATGCAATTTCAATATTGGATGCCATTGAAGACCCATATATGAATATAAGAACCTTAACAATAACATCCATTATTGTTATATGAGTTGGATAACCCAAAATCCTCACTAGGGAGAGTGGGGGGAATGGGTGAAATGGTCAAAGTGTAGACTGATCACCTGGGCTCCCATCGGTATCCCAAAAAGATAATATTTATAGCGATCGCTCTAATTACCTTAAGCGCAGACTTAAGGACGACGACCTCGCTGGGCGCCGCCACCCACGGTTCCCCGTCTACCTGCACAGGGATCTCACTCTTCAGATTGATCTTGATGTGTCCGCCCTGGAGAGGATTTAAAGGTTAGACGAAGAATGTTCATAAATATCAAAATCCTGTGGCACCATTGTTTATTGATTTAAGCATCATAACGGTAGCTCAATTGGTTAGAGCAGCCGCGAGGAACGATGAGGATGTCGGTTCAACTTACTACCGTGTCGTAAAATTGTTTAACTTCTAATATGTATTATTATTTTAATATTTAACTAATTGTGTAATAAATTAATTTATATTATGCCGTCATGGAATATATAAGCATTGTGAAACCAACTCCGAAGAAAGGCGTTTCTGCAGTCAACTAGCGCCACATGGTGGTTGCTAGAGGTACTAATACAAATACGCTACTTTTATGTGCGCTACAGGCATGTGGGTGAGAGTTACTATTATCTGTAGAGACGTTCTAGCCGGCTTAAATGGAGTTTCTATAATGATTAAATAATTTATATATGATACAACTGCAAACACTAAATTAAAATTTGTAAATCACGACAACTTATAAGAGTGAAATGAAACGTAACTCAAACTGCATGTATAGGCGACGTGAGTGAGATTTTCCGAAACGTAAAAAAAGTGTAAAGTCAGAAATGGGGTCTTCAGACGAAGTAGACACAGAAATGTGTCTGTCTCATGTCTATCCTCCATCTAAGAAACGGATTCTTACCTGAGCGATGCGCATGGCGCCGCGCAAGCCGGACTGAATCTGTCCGAGATGCACGACGCCCGTGACCCCCACCACCTCCAACATGCCGTCCCAGTGGTTCGGCTTGTTGAACTGGTCGTCCTTCTCCGGACCCCACGGGTTCGCCCCGGAGCCCCAACTGTACGCAGAACATATATATGAAATACATCTTCTTAAGTAGCTATAAAATTATTATGGTTATGAAGCCAGCTATAATACTGCTGAGAAGTATCTTTGAAAATTTTCCGACGAATTAGTATTTTAATTTCTATTAATATATAGAAATGTGTAAAAAACTATATATGAGTATTATAAGCTATTCTGCTTAGATTTTTATTTATTTTAAATATATGTAAGACCGAATAGATAACCAACCGAAACAATGATACTTAATTCATTTGATGTTAATTTCAAGTCAGAAGTGAACTCAATTAATATATCTATATATTTTCTTTACGATTTTGAATTTAATATACTTTTAGCTTTAACAGTAACCTGTGAATGATTAAAGTTATGAAAAAGACCAAAATGGTTTTATGTCCGCTTCTGTGACCCGTGTTGTGTATGTTGTGTAAATATCTTATTTAATTAAAAACCAACCACACATCCTTACAGAATAATAATTCAGTGAAGAGAGTGAATTACAATAAAAAGTTCTACATATCTTATCGATCATATGAGATTTTATACATCATTGTAAAATGAAAAAATGTCTGTTTAAAGTAATGATTGTTACCTAAGAATATTAAGGATAATGATGCCCTCAACAGCGGGCAGGTCTACTAGCTTCCCGTCCACTTCCAGCTTGACAGCTTTATGCAAATCCTTGCACATCTTTCGCCCGACCATCTTGCGCAGACCCATCCTTACGTACACGCTCTTGTTATGTAACCTGTAACAAGAAAGTGGCAATCCGAGGAGTGTTCAAGTGGTGCACACTAAATCAACTGTTTTAAACGGGAAATGCACTAGCTAATCTACAAATACAAATATTCTTTAGTGTTACGAAACAAGAAACGGAACGAAACACAAAGTAAAAATTGATTTAACTATTTAGCTAAATAGCTATCTATCGCTTCCAAGCAACACAGTGATAAAAGAGGTACTTATGCGTGTCAGCAGAAATTGTACTTGTAAAACTTATAATAGCAATAAATAACTTAATCAGATATTCATTCATTACTAGCTAAACTAAAATAATTAATTTGAGATAAGTGGGACTTAAATATGTTCTTGAAGCAAGCGAGACTCTGGACTTTTCTAATATTAGAAGGCAAATTAGTCCATAGTTTTAGAGCAACTACTTTATCCATTTTAAGGAGGACCAGAAGTTCTTTTTTTGATTTAGATCTATATATTAAGATGTTTATCTCTCGCTAGGCATGTACATGTTTATAAAAAAAATAGTTAACACAAATATACAGATTTTTATATCTCCAGCTTTTTATACCTGCTGTTAAACTTATTAGGGTTCTCCTCTCTCGCGTTGTGGAAGTCCAAACACAGGTCTGCGTCAATACCGATGCCGAAGTAGTTGTTCATAACTAGAATCTGCGAGTTGTCCTCGCTCTGGGAACCTAGTCCAACACAGGTAAACACTACATATCGTTAATATTCATTTTCGTAGGGATTTATTATAGACAAAACTAGCTGTGGCCGCGACTTCGTCCGCGTAGAATAATTTGGGGATTAACTTACTTTAGAAATTTTAGCTGTTACCTACGACTTGTCTGTACGTTAATCTTAAAAGATAGATATATTCTGTCAGACATTTTTTTTAGATCGTTTATAGTGGAATCATTCTTTCACACATAATTTTTGGCTATTACTTATATATATATATCGTGAGGGTTTTACATAGATTAAATCGAATTTAAAACTGTACAGTAAATTTTGAATAGGTTTATAATTAAAACACTCCTTATTTTTGTTATTGGCAACAAATTTTAGATAGACTAGCTCATACCGGGTAGGGTTTGCTTGGTGAGATCCTTCGGTTCATCCTGCTTATCTTCTGGGTGGAAGACGACAGTCCAGCGGTCGAGCCGAATCTCTTCAGCGTCGATGACGTCACGGAGTAGAGACATGGGGTCTTCGCAGCCGGTGTAACCTGACCCCCAACGGAGGACGCGCGCTAGATCGTTACCTACAAATAATAATTTAGATGAAATATCAAAGGTGTTCTCATTTGTGTTACCGTATGTTAGTAACTTTAAATAATAAATATTTCCCTATGATACAGGAGGGCATGTGTAGGTGTAATACCCCAGTAATATAACATCTAAACAAGACGCTATAGACTTATTTTGGCTTCGGATATTCGGACATCCACAGACTATAACTGAAACGTGCTTAAACTTCACGGCTTTTTCGTCTGTCGACCTAGCCGGAACTACGATTTGTCTATTTAATATTCAGATTTCCAAGGTCAACGACCCCGTCAAAATAGAAAAGGCAAAGTTGATGCACCGTGTTTGTTTTTCGTCCTTATACGTTTTTAAAATGGAGGTTCTAATGCTATTTCGGAGATATTAACTAACCGGTGCCTAGAGGCACAATGGCGCATGGTGGGTTGGAGCACTGCGAGTCTTGACCGACGTTGTCTAAACACTGGAGCACCCATCCGATAGTACCGTCTCCACCGCAGACCAGGATCTTGTAGTTGGGGATGTGGCGAAACACGTACAGCCTTTAAGGGACAAAATTCATTTATCCACGACTAAAGTGTCCACTTTAAATCACGCTTTGAGTGTCCTAGGTGAGTAGTGCAAGGTTACACTTTGAAAACATTGTTTACATAGTTAAGACGCCGTAACGTAAAAAAATAACATGTGAAAAAAATTAAAGTTTTCATAAGCTGAACTCTATAAATTTCATCTTAAGCTAGCATAAGATATTGCACCTCAATACGGAAGTGTTAAGGTTGATATTACATTGAGCGAGTGGTGCATGAATCAATATGTAGAAGAAATTCAAGAATGACGAATAGTATACGGTAGGTCAATTAAAAAGAAGATCAGCACGGATATGTAGTACGGATGGTTTTAATATATTTATCACGATGTATGTTTATTCCTTATAACATTCATACACAACCATTTGCTTCAAGTATGCTTACCCTGGAAGAGGACCGCCATTCTCGAGATCAAAGACTTGATAGGGATTGAGAAGTTTCCGGAAGGAAGAGATGAGTTCGAGGCCTTGGCAGCCTCCGGATTTCACGTTCACGAACACCAAGAGTGGCTTCACGCCCGACGGGACCATGGAAGGCTCGATGCTGGGTAGCAGCATCACTGCGTACATTTTTCACATTAGGTAAACTACTCCCCTTTTCTTTCACCAGATCTGGTCTTTTACTCGTCTTCGCTAATAAACATACGCACCTAATAAATGCTTATCTTCATATTTGGCCTCTCGGAGGGCGTAGAGGGCGCGCACAGCTTTGCTCGCGTCCTCGTAGGTGATCACCATTGACCCGTACTCGTAGTAGATCGGCCCGATCGATGTGAACTTGTTATCTGTTCACGAGAATTGCAAAAAAATATAAGACAAAAATGGAACGATTATAGTTGCTTTTTTTGTACTAATAAATAAGTTTTTTTTTTAGTTTTTTTGTAAACATAAAAATAAATGATTAAACAAAATTATTACATTACAAATTAGGTCCAGTACATATTTCGTTCAATTAAATTAATTTAAAAAATTAATTTAATTGAACGAAAAGGGCCCGAGAGGAGGGTGAAGAAGAAGTAGGAGAGAGGAGAGGGCTCGGGGTGGCGGTGACACGTCTGTCGGCGTCATCCCTGTCAAGGGCCAGTAGAAGTGCGGGGTCCTCCAGGGCCTCGCTAAATCTCTCCGACTCGGACTCGGACTTGGTCAGCGTGTCGTCCGCTGCCTCGGTCGGTCCGGTCGGAGAAACGAGTGAGTCGAGCCGCTTCTGGCGCCAGAAGCGGAAACGACCACAGGAGGGAGAAAATTCGCAGGGGGACGGGTCTTCCACAGACACCCCTCTCTCTGTCGCGAAGAAGGCCGCAGGAAAGCGGCCGAGGGGGCGACCGCCAACCACTGGCGAGTACGTCGGGTTGGCGGCTGCGAAAAAGGCCCTCAATGAGGCCAGAAAGGAGGAGATCCGGCTCCAGGCAGAGGCTGAGTTAGCGGCCTCTGTCTCGGAGGCCCGATCGACGCGGCCCTCTTCTGTGGCATCGCTCGCGTGGGACGAGGGAGACATCATAGGCACTGGTGTCTCCGCGCCTCGTTCTGCCTCGGACGCTCTTAGGGGCATCGAGGAAAGTCTGGGCGTAATACAGAGCGTGGCAAAGAGGTCCCGAAACCTCAAAGGGACCTTTGTTCGCGCTCTGGGGGACGCAGTGGCGTCCATCAGGGACAATTCGTCTATCCTCATTCAAAGGACGGTGAGTGAGGAGACGAAGGCTCTGCGTGAGGAGAACCGGCAGCTCAGGGAGCAGCTGGAGAGGCTCACGCAGAGGGTCGAGGACCTGCAGAAGTCCTCCCGGCTCCCCAGCAATTTGGAGGAGTTGGAGGCGGGGCTTCTGCGCAAGTTAGGGGAGCGCATCAACGCGAGGTTCGAAGGACTCGAGCCTCGGTTGAACCCCGCGCCCAGACTCAGGCCGCCATTGGCGGTCGACGGAAGAAGCGGGAACGTTCCTGCGGCCGCTGCAGCGGCGAAGAAGAAGAAGGGGCCAAAGGGTTCTGCCGGGGTGGTTCCATCCACCTCTGCCACGACCCGCTCTTCCGTCCCCGATGCCCCCGTCCGAGGGCGATCCCCGGCGAGGCTGCCGAATCCGGACTCCCTGGAGGGAGGCTGGGTCACGGTGGCCAGGAAGAGTCGGCCGGCTCGCAAGGAGGCGCCCCGGGAGTTGCCGACGCGACCACGAGCTCGGCAAGCTCCTAGGGCGATGGACACGGAGGGGCGGTCGCGTCCGAGGAGGGGGGCCGGCAAGGCATCCGGCCCTCAACCGGCTAAGAAGCCGAAACTTCGGGTTCCTCGGTCGTCGGCTGTCGTCCTCACAGTCACGGAGGAGGCGTCAAAGGAGGGACTCTCCTATAGTGACGTCCTCCGTAAGGCCAGGGAGAAGCTGGACCTCAAGGCAATCACAGGCCTTGAGGGTCTGAAGGTGAGGAAGGCGGCAACTGGAGCCACAATCCTCCAACTCCCCGGAGCTGCGAGTGGTCCGAAGGCGGACGCTCTCGCGAGCAAGCTCGAGGAGATTTTCGACGACGGAGTCGTCAAGGTGACGCGGCCGCAGAAGGCGGTCGATGTCAGGCTTTCGGGCCTCGATGACTCCGTCACAAAGGAGGAGGTGGCCGCTGTCGTCGCCAAGAAGGGAGAGTGTTCTCCCTGGCAGGTGCGAGTCGGCGACATCCGGCGGGATCGCACGGGGCTTGGCGCGCTTTGGGCGCATGTCCCCGTTGGCTCCGCAAAGAAGCTGCTGGAGGGCAGACTTTTGGTGGGTTGGGTGGCGGTGAGAGTGACCCTGGGAAAACCCAGGGCACTTCGCTGCTACCGTTGCCTGGAGGCTGGCCATGTGGCGAGCCGTTGCGATTGCGCGAGTGATCGTAGCGGTCTTTGCTACAGGTGCGGTCAGCCCGGGCACTTGGCGGCCTCGTGTTCGGCCAGCCCGCATTGCGCGGTTTGCGCAGCGGCTGGCAAAGAGGCAAACCATCGGGTGGGTGGTGCCAAGTGCTCGGCCCCCACCAAGAAGATGCGGCGGAGAGTCCTGGAGAAGCGGGCCGCCGTCCCTCCGAGCGGGACCGCGATGGAGGTTGCCGAGACCGTAGGGGCCTAGTATGGCCCTACGGTTCCTCCAGGCGAACCTGAATCATTGCGCCAGGGCCCAGGATCTTCTATTCCAGGGCCTGGCGCAGTGGTCCATAAACATTGCGGTGATTGCGGAGCCATACGCGGTGCAGCAAGGGGACAATTGGGTCGGGGACTTTGGCGAAACTGTCGCCATTGTCGTCACCGGAGCCGGTGGCTCTCCCCCAATTGTCTCTTCACGGAGAGGCCAGGGTTGTGCCGCAGTGAAGTGCGGCCACATCACGGTTGTAGGGGTCTACTTCTCGCCCAGCAGGACTCTCTCGGAGTTTGAGGGGTTCCTGGCGGAGGTGGATGCCCTTGTGCAGTGGAGTCGCCCGAATGAGGTGGTCGTGGCGGGGGACTTCAATGCCAAATCGGCAGTGTGGGGTTCCCCAACCTCGAATGTTCGTGGCGACGTCCTTGTGCAGTGGATGGCCGCGCACAACCTGGCGCTCGTGAACCGGGGCTCGACGCAGACGTGCGTCCGCATAAATGGGGGGTCCATAGTGGACCTTACCTTTGCTAGCCCCGGGCTTGCGCGCCGCATCGTCGACTGGGAGGTGTTGGACGGGGAGGAGACGCTGTCTGATCACCGTTACATACGGTTCAGCGTCTCCTCTCAGTCCACGGCGATCGGGCCTGGCGCCCCTCCGGCGCAGAAGGGCCCTCGTTGGGCCCTGAAGTCTCTGGACAGGGAGATGGTGGAGGTGGCCTCGATAGTGGCCGCCTGGTGTCCAGAGCCGGAGTCTTCTTCGGTGAGGGAGGAGGTGGAGTGGTTCGGGGCGGCCTTGGAGCGTATCTGTGACGCTTCGATGGCTCGTTCCCGACCTCTTCCGCCGCGTAGGCAGGTGTACTGGTGGTCGGAGGAGTTGGCCACACTTCGGTCGGCTTGTGTGGTGGCCCGACGCCAGTACACCAGGTACAGGAGGAGACGGCGTGCCTCGCGGAACACCGAAGAGGAAGGGCGCCTCTATTGCCTCTATCAGGAGGCAAAGAAGGCCCTGAGGAAGAGGATCGCGGAGGCGAAGGAAAGGGCGTGGGAGGAGCTCCTGAGCACCTTGGAGCTGGACCCATGGGGGCGGCCGTACATGCTCGTAATGAGCAAGCTGCGCCCCTCCCCTAACATCCAGCATGGAGCCGGCGCTTCTGGACTCAGTCGTGTCGGCCTTGTTTCCCCATGCGGATGCTTCGCTTCCCTCCCAGTCAACGACACCCCCGGACGCGGGGGCACCGGACGTGACATCGGCCGAGCTCAGCTCGGCCTTGGACAGGACGCGAGGCAAGAGGACGGCTCCCGGCCCTGATGGGGTGCACGGGAAAGTTCTGTCTCTTGCCTTGCAATTCGGCCTCGACGAGCGGTTCCGCAAGCTTTTGTCTGCGTGTCTGCGGAACCGTGTTTTTCCGGACTTGTGGAAGGAGGGAAGGCTGGTTCTTCTCCAGAAGCCTGGCAAACCGCCGGACTCGCCTTCGGCGTATCGGCCGATCGTGCTGCTGGACGAAGCGGGAAAGCTCTTCGAGCGTATAATAGCGACCCGCATCCAGCAGCACTTGGCTCTGGAGGGGCCAGACCTATCCGATTGCCAGTTCGGCTTTCGGAAGGGGCGGTCGACAATCGACGCGATCGCGAGATTGCGCGATGTGTCAGACGGGACTGTGGCGGAGGGCGGGGTTGTTTTGGCGGTGTCGCTGGACATTGCCAACGCATTCAACACCCTGCCCTGGGACGCGATTATGGATGGGCTTCGCTACCATGGCGTGCCTGTCTATCTTCGCGACGTGATTGCGTCGTATCTCACGGCGAGACGCATCACGTTCCCCAGGAGACACGGATGGGGTTCCCACCCCGTCAGGTGTGGTGTGCCACAGGGATCGGTGTTGGGTCCACTGCTGTGGAACATCGGCTACGACGGGGTCCTGCGTTGTTCTCTCATCGGGGGAGTCAGCGTCATCTGTTACGCGGATGACACCCTGGTGGTCGCGAGGGGCGACAATTTCCGCGAGGCCAAGCTTCGCGCCACGGCTGGGGTGGCCCAGGTTGTGGCGCGAATCCAGAGGATTGGCCTGCGAGTCGCCCTGGACAAGTCAGAGGCAATCGCGTTCCACGGTCCCAGAAGAGCGCCGTCGAGCGGGGCGCAAATCATCGTCGGCGGGGAGGCCATCGGGATAGGGACCACTCTCAAGTATTTGGGGTTGGTTCTCGACTCTCGGTGGTCGTTCAAGGCGCACTTCGCGGCACTTGCCCCGAAGCTCGCCGCCACGGCATCGGCCTTGTGCCGAATTATGCCGAATCTTGGCGGAGCGGGCGAGGGGTGTCGCCGCTTGTACGCCGGCGTTGTGCGCTCCAAGGCGCTCTATGGCTGCCCCATATGGGCCCAGGATTTGTCGGCGCAGAACCTTGCGCTGCTGAGGCAGTCGCAGCGGGTGATGGCGCTCAGGGTGGCGAGGGCGTACCGCACCGTGTCTTATGATGCGGTGTGCGCGATAGCCGGGCTCGCACCCTGGCACCTGGAGGCGGCTGCTTTGGCCGACATTTACTGGCGCCGGGCTCTAGTCCGGAGTCGAGGCGAGGAGCTCACTCATGAGCTCCTTAAGGATTGGAGGGAGGACGGCCAAAGGGCTGTTGTTGCGCGGTGGCAAGAGCATCTTGCCACCTCTCGGGTAGGCGCGCATACGCTTCAAGCGATCGCGCCCGTCCTGCCCGAATGGCTGAGGACGAAGCGGTGGGGATCCTTGTCCTATCACGCGGTGCAGATTTTGTCGGGGCACGGATGCTTCGGCAAATACCTGCACAGGATCCGGCGGGAGGGGAAACAGACTCCTTTTTTAAATAAAACACTTTAACGGTTTAAAACACGACTAGGGGAAAAAATTTTAAAATATATTTAAATTAAAATTTTTTTCTGCGCCTCGTTTGCGGGGGTTTGGCGCAGCCGTGGGCACGGGTCTCCCGGCGTGACCACGGCTGCTGCAAAGCATCCGAAACGTCGGGCCGAAGTTAAAAAACATTTTCAAATAAGTTTAACTAATATATCGCGTTTTAAACCGTTAAAGTGTTTTATTTAAATGTGTACTACTCGCGTAAACTATAGACAGTATTTAAACAGACTCCTGCCATCACTGCGGATGCGCCTCAGACACGGCGCAACACACCTTGGAGGCATGCCCGGCCTGGGTAAGTCAGAGGACTGCCCTGGCCGGAGCATTCGGCGCGGATCTATCCCTGCCCGCCATCGTGGCAGGGATAGTTAGGAGCGCGGACGACGCTCCGTGGCGGGCCTTTAAGGCCTTCTGCGCCGACGTCCTCTCGCGAAAGGAGGAAGCGGAGAGGGCGAGGGAGATTGCTCCCGACGCCCCCGCTCTCCGACGGAGGAGACTTGGGCGGCGCCGGCGCGATTTCGCCCGGCGTCCGCCGTGACCTCGGTCTTAGAACCGAGCCAGGAGACGTGGCCAACAACCGGCCACGAAGGGCGAGCCGCGCGCGGGAAACACGCGCGGCAGGACACACGGGCGCGGGCATGCGGGTCAAGGGCAACTAACCGCCCGCTCGCGTCCGGCAAGTCTCCCGTGGGCTCTTGGAGGTTTAGTGGGTAGTGGTCAAGTTGGCCGACCCCCACACTCCCCCCGCCACTTAAGTGGCCAGGCGGGGGCGTCGGTAAAGAGTCGATTCCTCCAAGTAAAAAAAAGGTTCGAATCTCAAGGAAACAATAGATTGTTTCGTTTGTGCACGGCATGGAAATCAACTACTTGCCTGTAAATAAAACCAATCATTGAAACGGACACAAAAGTGTGTACGTCCTATGCCCCCCGGGGCAAAACGGTATTTTACTGTAATAAAATATAAAGACTATTGCCTATATTTATGACTGTTATTGTTCGTACAAATAATAAAATGGGCTAAATGCTAAGCCGAGACGATGATATTTATTTCGTGTCAAATTATTGTAGCGCCTCGTAGAGCAACTTACCAGCGCCTAAAAACTCTACAAGTATAGTCTCATAGTTCCGCTCCGAGAGCCCGGGTGGTAAAGAAGCAACGAACAACGCCAGAGTGGGTCCGTGGGGGTCTCGACGCGGCTGGAGGTAGAAGCGCGCTAGATCCATTCGCCTGACTGAGTCGCGAGCCAACCTGACTAGAATGCGCCATGGCCGCTCGTCTTCCTCTAGCACGCGTTCCGATACTAGAGATAGGAAATACACTTATTGTCTACGAAAAGAGTGACAGCATGCACAAATGAAGACACTCAAAAAGGTGTGTGATCTCATGTTATACTAGCTATGTTAGCGACTTCGTTCGCATAGATTAGTTATTTTGGCCATCCAAATTTGTTTTTGCAAACCTCCTTTTCATCTTCATAAATGTTCCTGTTACCCACCAGCGAAGCATTATCTCATACATATTTTCCCCGAATATTTTCACATTTCCTGCCCTTTCTTCCCTTCTATTAGTCACAGCTTCTATTATAGGCGCAAAAATATTTTTTTTCATTCGAACCACTCATTCCTGAGATAAGCCGCACAAACAAACAAACTCTTCAGCTTTATATTTTGCCTGATGCCTTTATAACTCAGTAATCAGTATAAGATATAAGAAGCCATGTACCTATGTCTGAGGGTATATCTCAGTTTATCAAACGCCTTACCTCCTCGATCGAGTAAGATTTCAGAGCACCGGTAGTCCTGCACAGCAGACAAAGGATCTAATCCGAACCGTTCTAGCGCAGATGCCATAAGGTCGGCCACAGATTCGTCCCCAGAGCAGGTGACAGTCACGAATGTGTCGCCTGCACCCGCAATCCTACCGGGATACACTCGCACTTCACCGCCACCTGTTTCTGGCTCCCTGAAACAATTTAATTATGAAATTGTATCCTGAATACGTGGAAAGAAGAAGAAAGCCATAAAAATATCGTTAAAAGTTTTTTTCGTTACTGGTCTTCTAGTACTTAACGGTAATTAATTGCATTTATTAAAAATTACACGTGGATGGAATCATAAGTCTATCGATTGTAATTATCTAACAATCTATCTATTCCACCGTTTCGACCTTCAACTTTACTCACTTAAAGCGTAAGAACAAAGCTGGTCTCTTGTTCGGAAGACGAGCAACACGGGCCAACGGCGTGGGATCTTTCAGAGGTGGTTCATCCCCAGCTAATGCATCTGTCAGTTCGAACTGCTGAGGGTCACGGGCTACGTGGAACGCGCGAAGAGCGGCCGCGACCAGCTCTCGTTCGCTCCAGTTTCTGCCTACCACCACGGGTCGGTACAGACGTCTGGACCAGGCTGCTTCGCCGTCATATACTTTGACTACCTCTGTGGCAAGAAATAGTCGAATTAAATAAAAGTTGTCAAAAACAACGACGTGGATGGGGAAAAGAAATAGAAAGTAAAATAACACTCTTCTTCAAAATCTTAAGCAAAAAAATCCTAACAACTTCTTCGCCCTTTTACGCTACCTTCGTCCCTGTCGTCTGGTGTGCGATCTCTATGTTGTTTATGGTCAGGCTTGTGTTCCTGGTCTGCGGGTGCTCCCGTCGATCCGCCGCCGGACCCCGAACGGCCTTCGCAGCCCGAACTGAACTCCTCACTCACGCTGCGAGCTGTAACACCCCAAAGAATATTGCTTACGCCCCCCATAGGACCCCGTACAATATCCTTATGCTATTCAAGACTACAAACATTTATTCTGAAAAATGTTGCAGTACATATTTTGAATAATTTGCATGCTAATTTATTGATCCAATTTACTTATTGTCTTCAATATCTTTTAGTTTTAATATATCTACGTTATTGTTTTAGTTTTTTAATCTACAAAAAAAACATTTTATTAATATTAAAAGGCGTCCGTTAATATTGCTAATTTCACTGTCACCTTAAAAATTAGCAATATTTTTAATTACAACATTAATGTAAATAGCAACACTGATGTGTGTATGTGTTACCTTCTCTGTTGGGATACAAAGTACCCTGGACTGGTTCGCGCCTCTCCACAGATTCAATATAGATTAAAAATGTGAAGTGAAACTACTTTTAATGAAATCTTCAAAGGAAATGTTGAATAGAGCAGTGGGAATGTCACTTGAAATAGACAAATATTATTTACTTACTATTTTTTACAGATTTTTTTAAGTTTTTACAAAAAATGATGTAGGTTAAATATTTATCAGAATATCTTCTAAATTTAACCATTTTTGGATGATTAAAAATAAACTTAATAAGCAAATATTGCCTATGGATTTAGCACAAAACAATCTCTACTATTTTAAAAATTACTCATGATTCCTTAGTAAGATTTAGTTACGAAGATTCTATTATGAGTATGTTATGTGTGAAGAAAAGCGAGCGACATGCATTAAAACAACTTGTCTACGTAAGATTTAAACATGCAGAAGCAAAGCTGAGCCTTCTTTTATTTATTTTGTAATGATTTTTTTAAATTTAGTATTACAAGAAAATAAAATTAACCCTTTTATTTCTTATATCACGGTGATCATTCAAAACTTATATCGAATTTCAAAAAATGGGGTTTATAAAGGAAATATATTATTGGTATATTCCAAAAATGTGGAAACATTTTAAAATACAATTTTATTAACACAAAAATTACACCATTACACAATTGCAATGAATCAAAATCGTAGTTTCTTTTGTACCTACAAAAAACAATCGATTATTTTTACTTGTCTTATTTATGCAGTACTAAGCGACTGCTTTTTCATACTGTCCCAAACCACGAGTCCTTCGTTCTCTTTATTACTTCTCTCAAAGAATTCCACCGGAAGGTCAACTCAGTGAAGAATAGAGCGGAAGAGAAGTGTCATACCTCTGGAGTAGGGTGGCGAAGCGCCATGGTGCGGCGTGCACGAGGCTGGGAGCAGACGTCGCGCCAGGGTCACCAGCCGCGGTGACCAGCCCCGCCGGCGCGCTGCCCCAAACACAACCTCACCTCACGCTTTACTCTCGCCCATGTGCGACCCGCACATGTGCGGGATCAAAGCGCGGGAAACACTTACGGCAGCCGAAGTCCCGCTGGGAAGGGGGCGGTCGGACGTGCACCCCGATGATGGCTTCCATGGGCACCTCCGTGCGGGGGATGGACACCGCCGACGGAGGCAGGAAAATGGGCTGGAGAGTGCCGAAGTTGCATTCTTCCGGGATCAGGGCGCGGCAGCCGGCGTGACACTGGTAACATCGTTAAGATCATTTACTTGAGCCAAAAAGTTCCAGGTCTCTAAGATGGAGCGTTGAGAATAAATATAATATATTGTAGTGATTGAAGCATGATATTTAGCAAATATTATGCTGTACTTGCTAAGTGACATGTTATTTCTTAATTTAATTTACCGTCTTAAATCTAAACACCTTGTAGACCTTCCAATCACAAATAACACCTAGACTGGACAGATGTGATAAAGTAAGGATTCAGACAGCCTTACTCGTCACATCTTGTGTTTATACAGCTTATTTACACGCTTGCTTTATTAATTTTTATATAGAATTCAAAGGAACATTAAGACAATGGACACGAATAATTAACTATTAATAAGCATTATTAAAAACAATTGCTGTCCAGCTTGATCGAGCCTTGGCGCGACCCATTAGGGTTGGCTTGATTGTTAACCAGCGATAGCTAAGCGTGGTCGGTCAATAACTCACTGATTTGATAGCTCACAGTCTGAAACTGCTGAGCAAATGCTACGCGACTTAAGGCTGTATAAGGCTATTGTATTTTTAATGGATTATAAAAATTGCTAGTGACTCACAGTACTGCCGCACCACTCGCAGCGGTAGCCGGTGAGGCATTCAGCAGACCAGCACGTTCGCCGGCACGCCGCGCACTTGGAGTTGGCCGGGAGGTTCCCCTCTCGCCAATGGTGAACGTGTCTGGGTTCGCTTCCTGCGCAATACGTCGCGTTCTCCTTGCAATCCGCCGCCGCAAAGTCCACGCATTCTCCGTGGACGTAGTACTCGCATACTAAACGAAGTATATCAAAGTGTTATCTAATATAATAAAAATAATAGCACACAAGCCAAATAACACATTGTAGCATACTATTTATTTGCTCTTCTCTAGCTTTCAATTCGTATTTACCTTTAATAATAAACTTAACTATGTAATTTCACCTCTTCACTAGATCTTCAAGTGTCGTCGTCGTAAACCTTAAGAATAAAAAGACTCCAGTATAATTAACTCCGATTGAGCGGTGCTGTGCTAACCACTAACAATTCATTGTATCGAATTTGTACTCTCAAGATTAAATGCAACAATAATAGAAATAGATGTTATTTTTTGTTCCATAGACAACGCGATGACCAAAGATCTCTTCAAATATGTCTTTATAGTGCTATACGTGATTTTACACTATAGAGAGACACAAATATATATGGCATGCGGTTTTGAGACAACAATCTCATGTCATCTTATTAATATGCTGTATCACCGTGTTTTGTTTGTCACAATTTTTAAGCCACAGATAAAGCCAAAACGTAGACTGAACTGCTTTTTCTGATATTAGTTGTTGTTTGTGTCCTGGACATTGTTTCAAAATTTTCCATTGTATTTTCAGACCAGGTGTAACATGATAAAAAAAAAATTTAAAAAACATGTTAGTTCCTCTGAGATCTCAATCTATAACCCAACTTTGTTAGCCATACATTAAAACAATTGAATCCCGAGTATCAAATGTTTAAAGGCCGTCTGCGTGAACACTATAAAGACACTTACTCATACAATGTAGAGCTGGTAATTCGTCAAGTCGCTTGCGGCACACCGTACAGAACTTGCGTTTGTGGTGTGTCGGTTCTGACCAGCAGTGAGCCACTGGGTTCTGTTGGAGAAATATTATCACATCATGTACACGTACTAATGACACTAAAGGTTGGTATTAAAACGTACCTACGTTACTTTAATAATACCGTTGCTTTGTTTTCATATGAATGTAGATAATAAAAATATAACCAACAGTAAAGGCACTATTTCTATAAAACAATATTATCTTAATATTTTAATAATTACTTCAACATGTATTGTTGTAAAATCTTAACATAGCAATATGTTATGCACGAAGTCTCGAGTTTCGAATTCCAGAAAACCATGAAATAGTTTCTTAAGGTAACTCATCTACTTATTTGTAGAGAAATAAAAATCAAAGATTAAAAGCATCCGAAACGTCGGGCCGAAGTTAAAAATCATTTTCAAATAAGTTTAACTAATATATCGCGTTTTAAACCGTTAAAGTGTTTAATTTAAACGTACCTACGTTACTTAAATAATAACGTTGCTTTGTTTTAATAAAGATGTAGTTCATAAAAATATAACCAACGGTAAAGCCACTATTTCTATAAAAAATATTATCTTAATATTTTAATAATTATTTCAACATGTATTTCAAGAAATTGTTGTAAAATCTTAACATAGCAATATGTTATGCACGAAGTCTCGAGTTCGAATTCCAGAAAACCATGAAATAGTTTCTTAAGGTAACTCATCTACTTATTTGTAGAGAAATAAAAATCAAAGATTCAGATGCTTTTATCTGAAACGTCGGGCCGTAGTTAAAAAATTTGCCAAATAAGTTTAACTAATATATTTCACGTTTTAAACCGATAAAGTGTTTTATTTAAATGAAGTGTGAAACTTTGCAGGAATTATTATGGCCCCATACCCCACACTAGTTAAACAAGGCAAAATATACACATTTAACGCTTTCCCATGACTCAAAAGTAGTAATTACTTCCCCAACCATGGCATTCACCCTCCACTATAAATAGTTTAACGATTCTATTAGTATTATTAATGTTTTCATGTCTACTGACAGTATAACATCCCCCGAGTACGCCATTGGAAAATGTGATCAATTACATTAAAGTTGAGTCACCCCTTCCCCCCCACTTGAGGTAAAAGGAGAAATTGGTAACGCACGTTATCCCTATGGTAATAAATGTAAGTGGTCAATTTAACTATAATAACGAACGTTATGTTAACCTATACGTATGCATATTTGTACATACGTAACGTTATCAAGCATTTTCTGGGTTCGAAGGTAGAGATCCTCTCATCATTTGATGCGGTTCGGGCAATGATTGAGAGCTACTGAAAGTGGACTACAAGTTGTTTTTTTTATTATGACAGAGTAACTGTTAGCCGATGCCTCACCAGATGTTAAGTGAATATGGAATAAACAGAACCACCACATCAGTTCAAAAAATATAAGCAGTGAAAGACTTATAACGATTTAAAACGATTAACTGACATATTTCTCGTTTTAAACCGTTGAAAGTCGTGTTGAGGTTTTGTTTTGTAAAGTTAAATTTATCTCTAACAGTAAGAACTTTTGACACTTCGTGTCGATCTATCAAAAGAATTGTCTTATATTCGAACTCAGGACTTGTTTCGGCTGACTTACCTTGATTAGGCTCGGTGCCACCCCACAGCACGGCGTTACCACTTGCCCCACACATCGCTCGTGCACTATGAAGTTGCACACTGAAACACAATAAGATTTACTTAATAACCCGAAAAACAATCAATAAGACATTCGTTTCATAAAGGAACGATTCTCCTCTGTTACATGGCATAAGGCAGATACATTTTAGTGACTGTTATAATCGATTGACAAATGGATCCACAGATACACTTCCTTCCCAAAACTATTATAATTGTGTCCCAATTCGAAACCGTGTGCTTGCATTTAGCTATTCAACCACAAAGGCGGCATGTGCATGTGATATTATAACTTTTTTTTATGAAATTGTATTGTATTGTAATTCATATTTTGTAAATAAATTATTAATTAATAAATATCGATCTCTGCTAGTAAATAATAACCTGAGAAATGGGGAACCTAATGAATGGTTTTGGTACTTATTACGATAACACACACTATGCAGATTAAATGATATAATTGTAAAATATGTGCGGAAGTAGGGAATTTCAGGGAGTTTGAGATTTTAGAGAGAAAGATGAAATTAGAAAAGGATTTATGGATAAATTTGTTAAATTTCACTTTTTATTGTTACGTTCATAAGTGTAACCATAGGATTACCAAGTTATACATTCTTTTAGATTAAATAGTGTTACCCATATATTCAACCTCATGTTATTGTCTATATTGTAGCCAAAATTATAATCTAGTTACGTTGAAGATGACCGAAAAATATAGCTTTACATAATTTACAATTACATCTCATCGTGGCCATAGACAAGATCAGAAGCAGAGACAAACAGGAGGCGGGTTGCGCGGTCATCCCGCAGGATCGATAGCTACGCGCATGCCCGGACAACGATCGCTCTCAACTCCATCTAACTAATCGACATTTATTAGCCTCTCGAATGTAGTCTTTGCCTTGCAATACGCTGTACGGCGTGTAACAATTCATTGGCGCTACAGATTAAAAAACTTCGATTAGTAGAGTATTGATACAGATAATATATGAATATAGTCTGTATCAAATTGAACTTAGATGGCGTAATTTTAATTTTTAATTGCAATTATGCTTACACTATTTTACCAATTATTAATATAAAAAAACATTAATATTAAGGACACTTTACTAATACATTTTACATATGTTTATTTATCGGTTTTTGTGTTGTATTTATTTTCCCCACCAAAAAAGTAATAATAAAATTTTTTCGTTTTATTTTACAAAATCTAATACAAGACATCACTGATACTATGTCGGTAACTCTTGTATTTTGATTCACAGAATTCTTAATTTTGGTCAAGATTTTCCGTGACACGTAGGTATGTAAAAAGTCACATTTCCAGGAAGCTAACGCACTATAAGTAGTAATTTGTACTACAAACGTATATATATGTAATAAAATAAACGTAGATATAATGTAATAGTTCAGCAATTCCTTGGTTTCCAAATTCGTTGGTTTAGTGGTTAACCGTTGACGGCAGACCTCAAGGCGAGGGCTCAAATATCAGGTCGATAGAAATATTATTTCTACATGCACATGTAAGTAAAACTATTTATATGTGTATATAGAACTAATTATAAGCTACAAATAAGTATAAATAAATATATTTTGCGTTTTAAACTGTTGAAAGTGTTTTATTTAAATGTGTCCTCGAGGAAACTAACGATAGTACTATATGTGTACTGAATGTTGTATTTAAGTTAACATAATAAATTTGTCTGCCTCATATCACAGATGGGGTAAGAAAATCAAGTTAAATCTTGATAATTTCGCGAAAATAGCTCGAATTCTGCGGTTGAAGCAGTTATGCTCGCGAGGAATTTTCGAAGCTATTTGGAAACGGATTTCGCATTCTGGAAGATGCAATTCAATTTGTGGAAAATGTTTACGATTTATAACATAATAGCAACGTTCATTACAGCCGAAGATAGTATTATTCCAAATTCCAAACAGCGATTACGCACGAGCCGAGTTTCAAACCTAGAGCCTCTTGATCTGCAGTGACGTCACTGAACAATAACGACAAGGCAGTTCTATAAAATGTGTATGAGTTAAGATAAAAATGTAGGCATTTAAAAAAGCACTCGCAAACGCTGAAAAATGTTTGTGTCTAATAAAATTGGACGTCGGATAATACTAGCATATTAAACATATAATACAAAAACTCCAAACAACTACCCCGCAAAAATACCAAAGATACTGGAGTACCGATTAATAAATAGAATCTAATATTTAATTATAAAATTATTGGTCAACAACACGAACTTACATTTCCTAGGACACCAAGAAACCGACGCCCCCTTACGCAGCGCCGAGCAAAATATCGTCGACACTTGAGAGACCAAACTATCACAGGACATTGTCAACATTTACAAACTAAACACCGCTATTATTCCACGAAAACAGGCTAAAAATAACTGCAGCAAATAGCAACATTTATGTTTATATTTCGCGCCCTTTTCCCCATAAGCTCGAAAACAAATGCGCGCTATTTTTACGTGTGTCAATAAAGACGAGGTTCTCATGAGGAAGGGCGCCGCTGGACGGATCAAGGAAACGAATTAGCGGTGCTCTGACGTTCATACGTCACAAATCGCGATATATTTAAATAGCCTCGGGGCGGGGCCGCGTTAAACTGATAGACGCAACAGCCCGCGCGGCACCACCTCCCCGGTGTTGCCATTTTAAAAATAATCAAACATTTCACTACACTGCCTTGACAAATCCATTTATTGGGTAATTGTTACATGTCTATGGTACGTAGCGCAGTACCCCTGCCAACGTAAACACATGGAAATAGTTTGGGGGCATTAGCCCGGTTCACCACTGAAGTTCAATGTTTTGTATATCCTTTTCAAATAGGGCAACACGTGAACCTCGGGATTGCACGAAAATGGCAAGTCATGCAATTAATTTGAATGATTTCGGAAATGTCACACGCGTGCACTCAATAGCGGCTTACATGTCCGACTGCAGCGGGCGCGGGGAGTTTTTAGTCGCACGCGCACGTCTTGGTAAACGCCTCATTTCTACGATACACCTACGAGTCTACTGCCATGTAAATATATAAATAATTATAAATATAACATTATTGATTTTGCTTATCTTTGAATTATTATAAAATAGATATTATTTATCTACACATATGTATATAATACCCCGGGTCTCAACATCGTTGGATCGCCTAGTTTGTACAATATACCAAGAATAAAACTGTTAATAACTGAAAGAAACCTGTGAAAGCAATGTTTTAACATGACAAAAAAAATATTCACGCATTACACACTAATAAAATATACCATACTAGATATTAAATATAACTATGTAAATATTTCGTTTACAGTCTTTGTAAGAAAGTTTAAATCTAGGTACTTCTTAAAATAACAAATCCAAATGATTATAACAAAAGGTTCTTTTTAGGATGGACAATATATAATTGTTTTTATATTTGGTTAAGGAATTACGTAAGTAGGTTACGTAATTATGTCAGATGAGAGCAATATTTGCATACGTAATTAGATAATTTTTCAAAACCACAATTCGAAGAGACTCATATTTTCCTTGCTAGCACTCGGACCAAGCGTAAATAATAGTCCATAGATAATGCATTCGTTTATCCTCGTGGCTGTGTGACTAAATTACAGTTAGTGCATGGTAATTGTTGTTAATAAATGGTTTGTAGAGATTCGTTTAACATTTTAAACTTAAAAAAACACGTACGTTAAATAATCCATTTTTGTAATAATAAAAAAAAATTGCGTCATTGAATAAAAGGACATACCTACGATTGTTAAATCAATAATATTAGATCGGTGTTCTAGTAGACGAAATAATAATCTTAAAAATTCGATAAATCATATGTCTATCACTTAAAGATCGTCGACATAGATTTATTCCGAACGTAGTCGACTAATTTTCATTAGTTTTTACATATGAAAACGAATCATATATTATTAATAATCGAAGATACAGACTAAAAAGAAAAATCTTTAGCCAATTAATTCGAGGCGGCCATCTTGCATAAAACATAGTCTATATATCAAAAGTATGGCCAGTATACATATGGCAAAAAATTTATAAAAAGTAAACAATTATAAATTAAAAAAGATACTTTACACGGTTTCAAAGCGGCCCCCATAAGCAAGCAGTGCCTAGTTTGGGATCACATTAAAAAATACAAATATTCAACTTGTACAAATAAAACACATTATTATTTCATTTATTTATTTACACTTTATTGCACAAAAAAGTGTAAATAAATAAAAAAAAATTGTATTTGTTTACGTACGAATTAATGTTTTTTACTATAATCTTCACTACATAGTATAAAGTCACTTTTTCTTCCCTATGTGCGCTTAAATCTTTAAAACTACGCAATTGATTTTGATGTTTTTTAATAGATAGAATGATTCGAGAGGAAGTTTTTTATATAAACGATCACAGTTCTTCTGTAGTGTATTTAGTATAAGAATTGCACACGAGCGAAGGCGGGGCGGGTCGCTAGTAAGTTCTAGACAATAAACCGATCTCGACACTCGTCCATACTGTAAAAACTTCCAAGCACATGACCGAAGCGAACTTAACAAACGTGAATTTGAACTTGATGGTGTGTGAAAATAAAGCTAATTAAGCCAATGAATCAGCGGCCCTAAATAGAACGGATAAATTTAGGCCGCCGTCGGGCTACCGATCCGACACGTGAACACGCTATTTCCTTATCTGGTAGAATTTCGATTTTCAATACCACCGGAAGGAAGACGTCGGTTTAGGACTTTATTTGTTTCTGTTGTTAGCTTTTTCTTAATTAACTCAATCGGATGCTCTATCGACCTATTTCGGATCTGGATATTCGGAAAACCGCTGACTAAATCCGAAACGCGATAAAACTTCACGGCTTTTTGTGGACGGTTGTTCGTGACCCGGTTGGAATTTCGATATTCCTATGTACCCATTTAATATTCCTATTTCCAGACGAAGAGAAACATTTAAATAAAACACTTTAACGGTTTAAAACGCGATATATTAGTTAAACTTATTTGAAAATGGTTTTTAACTTCGGCCCGACGTTTCGGATGCTTTGCAGCAGCCGTGGTCACGGGGAGACTGTCTCCCCGTGACCACGGCTGCTGCATGCATGTCCTGTTGAATATTAGCCGTATTATGCTACCAATAGACCAACTAAAGTAAAGTATGTTTTTCGTCAAAAAAATCCAGGTTTGTGTATTACCCAAAAACAATTTGATCTATTTAAAATGTTGGTACCGTAACGTTTTTTTTATGGTTATCATGAATCGTGCCTCCGACCCGTTGTTGGTTTCCGACCGTTGGCGATATAATACATATTTTCAACAGCTATTTCTATAAAATAAGCTACTAATTGTAGAATTTCCCAAATGAAATAATGGCTGTCAAAAATACCGACTCAACGTATGAAATTTGCAAAATAATTAGGTCAATATGAGCTTTTAAGTTTCCGAATTAATAAACCGCTTTTGCACTTTAAATCTCGAAATATTTTAAAACCATTCCAACACTCAAATAACTACATAAAAATGTAGACCTATTTGGAAAAATTTGGTCATGTATTTAGAATATTGTTTTGTCTTAACAGATCTGTGGATTCCGATCCTGGTTATTTGAAATACATATAATGTATTAAGCTTAAAAAACCGCGTTTCAGTTTTTATTAGTTAGCTAGACATGACTTAGCTTCGCAACTGGCTAACTAAGAAGCAAGCCATGTTATAAATCAGCACGACAGCGTAAGTAAGTTACTTATTGTCAAATACTCTCAATTTAAATCGTAATGTTAAACTGTAGAGTGCCATAACGTAACACCGAACTACGTAGTTTTATTTCACCAAGAGAAACTGAAATACGTGATCCTGATAATTTCCCATCCGAAAATTGTAAATATTTTTTCGTTGCTAGCGGGGCGGCCTTCAGGGCAGTTGCGGGGTGCGCGGCGCGGGCGGGGGGGCGCGCTAGGTCGCCATTGACGTCACACGGTTCAACCAATAACACTCCCTTTTGTAAGAAGTTTTGACAACTAGTTGTGGCTTCTTTCTGCGCTTCTGTTGCGTTTAAGATAAGCTTTTGCTCCCTTTCATTTTAATTGGACAATGGTGACGATGATGATGATGGTGGTACGTCATAATATGATGACTTGTTAAACATAAATGGCGAACAGTTTTAAAACAGTTGTGATACCACATAATAATAGTTCACATAATTAAAATTTGCAATTTATCATATAAAAATCTCGTCCTTTCGCATAACAACTAGAAAACTAGAAACGCGATTAATTTCTCTACTATTAAATCGACTTTTTATTTTCCATTGAAAAGTGATAAATATAAGTACTTACTAAATACTATGTTTTATTAACTTAGTAAAAAATGTTTTTTGCAAATTGAATCATAATATAGTATTAACTTTTGTTTTTACACAACAATTACCATAACAAAATACAATCACAGCATTTAAATTAATTTCAAACAGATTATTGTAAAATACTCTTAAAATAGTAATGGTTTTATAAATGTAGACTATAGAATCTTTGTAGGGATATAGACTATAATCAAACAACGAATTTACCAAACGCTTCATTGAATGTCGATAAACTGATGCAAGGTAAAGCTGTAAAACATCAAAGTACTGAGCCGGAACTAGTGAGACACCTGTAGACGATATAAACAGATCAAAATATAGCTAACAATAGCCACAGACTATAAACGTTTGAGAGAGATCCGTCTATAAACACTATGCTATAAGAGGGATATGTTTTGGAATGACAGCGCAAGTATTGTTTTAGTAAAATTTTATATATAAATATAAACAATCTTTGTCTATCGTTTGAGGGAGGGGTCATCATAAAAGATATATAATATATTAGGTAATTTTTAATTTTATTTATTTCACTCCAATGCCTTAAATCAACCGTCGTCATAGGGGGAAATTAAAAATAAGGTATCAATTAATATTGTTATTAACTTGCATATAGATTGCTGGTAAATTTAAATGTGGAAATATATCGCGTTTTAAACGTGTTTTATTTAAATGTCTTAGAATTGTTAAAATGCTTAGATACTTTTTACTTTGGCCCCAAAAGTTTAATTATCTGCAAATATAAAGTATAAAATGTTATTTTTGGTATTTTTTGTCGATCTAAACCTTATAAACCTAGATCTAAAGCTTGTTTGTGGATATTGAAATAGAAAAGCGTCGTGCAATATTTATTACAATAGCAACACGTTTCCAAAACATTTCCAACAAGTGGGACATTTTTATTTCCTTTGATTGTTTAGTTTTATTTTCAAGAAGTTGAACATCTTCTTCTTTCTACCGAGTCGGACGAAAA